TGCTTGAAGTTGGAAAAGTCATAGTCATAGCCATGGATGATCACCGAGTTGTTCTGAATCTGGCCCTGGTGGAATCGATTTGGAGGAATGCCGCAAACAGTTTCTGTGAAGCCGAATGTAACGAAACCGACACCAGCCATCTCTATGAAGATGATGCTTATTAGACCTATTTTCTCGCGCCATGCACGTTGAGCATCTGGCGTGCGGATACCTGACATAAAATGAGCAATCTTGCAACGAAACCATACAAAAATGCCTACCACATGTCCGGAGAATGAAGTGAGGGATCCAGCAGGTAATGATGTAACAGTAAAGAAACCATGCATCCTTGGGCCCCGGCCCGATGCTGTCAAGACATTTGCGTGACTGGCGGTCAGGTACTGTTAGTGGCGCGGCAGACTGAGTGGATGCTGGGCGCTTGCGCCGAAGGGTTGCACCTCGTTTAAAGAGAGCAAGTCCTGATTCCTGCACGTCCTCTTCACGTCCAAGAAAAGATTTTCCTCTACGGAGCACTGCTTTCTGCGGATAATTACCAGTACCTAGAAGAATGAGTTAGACGACATGCTACCAGGGCAGACATACGTACTTGACGGTTGAACACCCACTCTACCAGTTCCCTCATTCTGCATCTGTGCTGCATGAGTGCGATAGTGCCATTGCCTGTGGCCAGGTTCGATCTTCTCCCTGTCTGGTCGGACCAAACTCTTCTTCCGCCCCACTCGTGCAGGATCGAGGTGATCTGCTCCTGCAGAGTCGACAGCAGGCGAAATTTGGTTTTCGTATGCAGAGGGCAGTGTACGCTGGCGTTGCTGATCCAGGGCACTCTGCCTATCACCACGCTCTGTAGTTTGGAAAGAGATATTTGGTGTTCTGCCCTCTTGAAACTGGTTGAATGCTGGCCGCTGCTGCGAGTAGGCGCTCGCAGGTGACGGAGAAGATGAATGGTTATACCCAGAATACTGCTGTTGTGGATAGACGGGAGGAGTCTGCGGGGGTGATGGGTGATGATGTTGGTGGTGGGCAGACCGTGAACGTCTTTGATCACGATAATCCATTGTTTTAGGGTCAAGGAAAGTTCACCCTGATGTGGTCGCTGTCGTAAACGTCAGCAGCGCTGCTTGTGATAGTGAGGAGAAAAGAGCGGCGGATTCGATTGAAGGGAATGGGAAACTGCCCCGTGTAGTGGCGCAAGGCAAAAGGCCTCTCAATACGTCGTTTTTTGCCACGAGCAAGGTCAAAACAAATGACTATTTTCGGACACACGTTGATTTCTTTATACGAAAATCATTGTGTTTCCATTGCTCTCGTCATGTCTACCGCTCATTAGAAAACAAAAGTAATGTGAATGATAACAACAGCATATATATATTGGTCAAGCTGAGTACGACTCTACAGTACTTGTGAAGAATTTTGGCCCATAATTAACCACAGTACATCGTTTAGCCAATCATTTGTATGCTATCATTGCTATGCTCTCAGCAACACGGGACAACCAACATGTATCCGTACGGTAGCAGAACGCAGCACCTATTTCTATCCACACACTTCTCACATATTCTCGTGAGAAGTAGTGCTCAACTAACGTATAATGTGCTATCAGATACGGCGCCATCGCAACACGCAAGGTACGGTAGCGCAATGACCCTTGCCATAAGTATTCGACTAAAGACATCTCTGAGACTATCTCGATTCCCGAAGCTTGCGGCGTCCCCTTCAAGCACAACCAACACGTCTCTCCTGCCACCTACTATATTGGCTGCAGTTAATGATGTCTCTCCTACTGCAACATCGTGAAAGAAGGGCGTGGAACTACGACCGGATCCGAAGAATGGACGGTGCCGGCGAATGTTTGCATTTTGTTATTTATAGGATCGTCACTTACACACCATACTAGGAACCCTTGTACCCTTCGCTAGCTGAAGCAAGTGGTTCCACCGACGAATTCAAGGCTTACTATTCTTAGCTGAACGGAGAAAACGAAGGTGTCCTCTAATCATCTCTTTTCGTGGATACTACTGGTGACTTCTGTGCAGATGTACGATACCGAAGTCGCACTGCTAGTAACTTAGTAAGTACAGCCCTCCTACTCCTATTGTGTTGCTGAGGACTTGCTACCAGGAACAATATCTTGAGTACACCACCACTTGATGTCTTCGAAACGCATCTATCTCATCAAATATGGAATAGGCGACCTTCCTGCACTTCCCACAGGAACGACGATCAACCCCGTCAAGTCATGTGTGTTTTCCTCGTTAAAAGAACTGACCATTTACTACTATGATCAGGGTATCTTCCGGAGTCTACACATCCTGTGCTGACAGCTCTTAATTTCCTTACCGATACTACAACAATGTCGTATTATAAATTGAACGACCCTGAGTGCTATCCATTCCTCCCGCCCGAACGTTATTTCCATTGATACATTTGCCAGTGGTTTGACACGAGCTGAGAGGTCATTTTGTGGATACAATTTCAGCGGCATCGTGGCCTTGGCAGCTTGGCTTGAGTATTCGTCGCCAGGCCCAAGCCAGGGGTTTCAGGCCCGACACATCACTGATGCCACTGTCCCTGTCAAGTCCCTGATGTTACGGGGCCTGCAATAAGTACCTAGCTAATCATTAGCCAGCTGATAGCATACCGCTCTGCTCTAGACGTCAATGACCTCGAGCTTGCTGGTAGCCATCGAGAAATACGGATCGCCGCCGAACGTTGCACGTTGCACATCTGTGTGCTGTGTGGAGGATATAAATTCTATCCTTGTCGATATGTCCTCTAACTCGGCAAAATTTCTGTTCGAAAATACGACCTGGACGTAAGGAAGGGATGTCGTCAAGCTCCTTCCAAATCTGCCGGAGCCATGGATGTATGTCGTGGATGGCTCTTTCACTACTCGTCCTAGACCCCGCCTATTTGTCACAGCTAGCGGGCTAAAGTCCTCCAAATGTGACATTGCGCAATCACAGATGGTAGGAAACTCGGGCCAACCTTGTCGACGAATCCTGGTTCCCCCTGCTCGAGTTCTGAATTACAAGGCTATTCAATGCTTTCCCATGGATAAAGTTGTTGCAATTTGTCATCGACTTTAGAATAGTGTGGAGTTCCTGCAAAAGCTATGAGACTACATCATCGCAGTCGGTAGGGGATGGTGGTTCATTTGGATCAAATCAGTGCCACTCGATGATTTGAAAGTCATTGTAGTGAATCCATGACTGAGAGTATTAGTATGAGACGTGTCAATAACAATGATGCATATGACGTGCATATATGATATCTACATATTGTAAGAACGAAGCGATTTCCAATTGGTGTCGACGCCATATGTAACCTCAATCCAAACGCAAATCACGAAGACCTTCTCTGCAAAGCCTTCCACCCTTTCCTGAGACCCAGATTTTCAATAATACTCGCAGGCATGCAGTACACTGGGTCAAGGTCCACTAGTGTCGGGTATCCCAATAATGACAGACCTGTCGAGAAGACGGTTCTAAGGTTGGCTCTGAGATTGTAACACTTTACGCACCGGCCAAGCCAAATATTGTATGGAAGACATCAGGCATATCGCCCGGGCGATCAGCAATACCTCCTGACTCGGTGTCTTGTGCAGAGAGAATGAAGCCTTCCAGTTTACTCGAGTCTATCCATGTAAGCTTATTAAGGATAGAAAGGGCGGATAACACCCAGAAGCTATAGCAAACCTGTAAACAGAGAATCAGGAACACTGCATGGCAGTTATATGCACAGAAACTCACATCCTCCAGCTTTTCAGGGCGTCCGTTGAGTCCTCCATTCGGTAGTTGTCGCTCCGATAACCACCAACACAAGGTTGGCTGATCGACCTCATCCAATCTGTCCAGAATCGCAAGTGCCGCAACGCAAACAAATACTATGGCACTCCAACATTCTGAAATTATGTGTGTTGGGTGGCTCACCTTGTGAAGCATGACTTTCGGCACCCGCAACGTGGCCAAATCCACCATCAAAATTCCTGCAACGCCTGATATATGCAACCGTTTTCTCGATGTCCAACTCATCGAGCTTGCCAAGAAGCGAGAGAGCATTGACCGCACAATACACAAACCGTGTATCAGTTTCGCCAAAGGCATCGCCCGCAAAAACTCCAGAAGGTTGCTGCAAAGATAGAATGACTGAGTCGTGTTAGTGATGTAAACCTATTTAACAATAGATAGACAAGGTACATTTCACAATGCGGCCAACATTGACTCTATTGAGCGCATTCTGCATTAACAAAATTTGTATTGCGCTGAGAGTAGAAAGTAGGTGCACGTCATGATCAGGATGAGCGCTAAAAGCGCCTGCAGAATGTGAGCTCGAAATGGCATGGATCTCTTGATAAGAACAAACCTGCCTCTTCATCCCAGCAGCTCATAACGAAATCTATCATCTCATCGCGATCCAACGCATCCCCATGTCCCATGATCAAAAGAGCAGTCAGGCCCCAGTATACTGCGTTCATCCTTAGGTGAGCTGAGAGATGATAGGACAACTCATGTTTACTCTGCTTGAAAGTTCAGAGATCAGTTCACTGAGTAAGAGAAGAACTAACATCTCCAAGAGCTTTGATATATGCAACATGCTGGGGAACGAGCAGAGAAGTGGACATCACGATATTAGTATAGTTTCAAACCCGACGAACGACGGTCGGGTCACGAACGGTCACATCGTGACCGATGCCCATCACTCAATTTCATACCGCGACCCCCAATATTACCGTTGATCACGAACGGTCAGAACACCATCTCAGATCTGCCTCGCATCTTCGCGACCCACCGGCATGCAACGAGGAGTAGGAGGGGAATCAAGAACGAAGGTAAGGCTGCTGGTTGCGAACGCTATGCATTCTGGCGCCAATACTATTGCTAACTCTCGTAATTGATATAATTGATATTAGTCACATGATATCACTCACAGCATCCTTTTTTCATTGATTCAACTATCTGGATGTCTTCTATAGTACTGAGAACGACTCTTTCTCAGTACTTAGCGAACGATTCTATCAAATTTTGATGCCACTATCGAGGAACTCAGAATGGCGTGCTGGTAAGTTTGAGTGGCTGTATGTTAAGGTTTAAAAGCTTATGTAAAGTAATTTACATATGCGACACCTCCTGTCCCTTATTACCAAATTCACTAGCTATGTAGGTCCACGTGTGGCACCAGGCAGCCACGGTTGTCTGTTCACTTTCTTTCACCCAGCTCTTCATTTCGTACCATGGTCAGAGCTGTTTTTACTTCCCCAGAGCAAGGTACTGTCGTGCAGCCTATATACCAGTACTCCGACGAGCAACAAACCCATATAAAGGCATTACGTGAGGTATGACACTTTTCTTTCTGTCATCCGTTACCTGAGTCGTCGTAAAAAGTATGCAGATACTCTGCTTCTGGACTCATCAGACCCGTACCATAAATGGGAGCTGCGATGGTTGAACAAGCCAGATACCATGCCTCGGTACATGCGCGCGGCAAAATGGAAACTCCCTGACGCGAAGCGTAGAATAGAGGGAACCATCAAATGGAGGAGGGAGTTCCAACCAGAGTTAATCAGACCTGATGATGTATGTGCATATTCAACTCGAAGATAATATTGATACATACACAGTTGCCAAAACGTAGGTGAAGATAGAAGCCGGGACAGGGAAGATGTATGTAACTCCTTCCCACTTCATATGAAAGAGAGCTAATCAACGGAACACAGCATCTTAAATGGGTTTGATAAAGATGGCAGGCCCATAATCTACATGCGCCCTGGTCGCGAAAATACCGAAACCAGTCCTAGGCAGTTAAGACACCTCGTTTGGTGGTTGTACGTTCTTAGTCCTCTCATTCAACGTCATCTCACAGGAGTACAGAGAACGTGCAAAGGATTTGATGCCCCTAGGACAAGAGTCACTGGTTATCATCGTAGATTATAAATCCACGACGCTTCGCACCAACCCTTCGATATCCGTTGCCAGTAAAGTACTTACGATCCTTCAGCAACACTATGTAGAAACTCTCGGTCGCGCAATCGTCACCAACCTTCCAATGTTGCTTAATTTCTTCTACAAAGGCATTTCGCCATTCTTGGATCCTGTCACCCGGGACAAGGTACGCGTTATTCTGTATCTGCGTAGGAAACGTGATTTGACAGACTATAGATGAGGTTTAATCCTGATCTTCTTGAACTGATTCCAAAGTCTCAGCTGGACTCTGAATTTGGAGGTGATTTTGACTTCGAGTTCGATCACGAGACATACTGGAAACAAATCGTCGAGTAAGTTTCTAGAGACCTTATTCATCGATCAATGTCAATGATACGAGTTCTAACATCATCAGCTTCTGCGGCATCGCTGAAGACGGCACCCGCTTAGAAGGCTATTTTGATGGACCAAAGAATATTTATGGAGAACTGCCTTCACAACATTCTGAGTGAGTCTCTACCCATTAGATGTTTTGTTTTCTGAACGCTAACAGCGTGGATACTGAATCTAGTACTGCATCACCCACTTCCACATCGTCCACCACTGCGTCTGTTACGTCCGCTAGCGAGATTGTCTCACCCGAAATGACACCCGCTGCCCCAGAGTTAACCGAGGCATTGTAGATCACTCACGGATATTTTTTGATGATTGTACACTATATACACGGAACTGTAATTCAACATAGCAGCGTCTGTATAACATAGTCTTCGAACCCTTGCTACAGATATTCCGATGCCTTGTAATAGCAGATTATATTTGTTCCATTGCTTAGCGCTCAGTCACCATGTGTCATGGTTGTTCCATTGAAAACTTGAAATTGTCAATATATTAGTATCTCGTAGGTCATTTGGATAAAATACAAATGTGTGCTATAATACTGTGACACAGAAGCCTTCGTATCACAACTCTTCTAACTCTGCCTTTGATACTATCAGAGGCCTCACCTGACAAGACTTCGCAAGCCCTTCCATGAACTCCTCGAGAGTGCCAAGCAAGATTACGAACTTGAACAGCTGCCTTAATTAGCAAGATGACATAAGCCTCCGTGCTAATGCCACGAGTCGCGGACACCTTCTGCCACATTCTGCCATCGCCCAAATTCCCCCGCCGCCGCACGGACGTCAGCCACAGGTTTAGCCACAGCGCATATTGACGAGCGCAATCCAATCCCAATAAATTCTGAACAAAAAAATCAGGATCATCTTAAGTTTGAAACGGCTGATCTAGTGCAGCGCACCATCCAAGATGGTTCGACAAGCAAAACAGACAGTGCGTAGTGCTCGCGGATTGAATTGTGCTTATCAGCCACCTGAATTCACTGTGGCTGAAATGTAGCCGGAACAAAAAAAAGAGTCACAGAAGAGAAAGACGACTCAGAAGAAAAAGGTGACAGAGACTGGAGTGTGGCCATGCAAAATCGATGGTTGCAACAAGCAGTTTGCTCGGGAGGCCGATCTGAAACGGCATCAGCGAACTACCAAATTACACTCCGTGCCAGGATTGTGAGTGCTTATTCAAGCATGTATGATACGCGACGGTTCTGACGTGGCTATGCCCCTGTAGTGCATGTCCGCAATGTGATGCTACGTTTACACGAGTACGTTATTCTTTGATCACTTTCATTCATATGGTGCAATTACTAATACATGAATCTGGCAGACTGATGCATTACGGAGGCATCAGAAGTCCAGGCATGGACATATATTGAGTGTCAGCTAATTTATCTGATTGGAATTGTATACAGACACAACGGCGTAATCATCGAACCCACGGAGGTAGAGAAGAAGAAAAGTAGTACCTGAGCCCCGGGCATCAGGGTCTCAATCTCACAGCCGAAGTCCATCGCCGTCATCGAAAGGTGCAGATAATCCAACCGATGGCGCTCCACCCCCTCTTGGTACTCTTGGCGGTCCGCAAGGCTCACACTAGTTATTATCGTCAACACACTATGCCTGCAGGTGGTAGGTGCATTCGTTCTCGACCTAATTCACCCTCTCAATTGTGACAGCATACATGGCACCACCCCTTGGAGTAATCGTTGAAGGTCAATATCCTCCTAACGTTGGACTCCCAACATCATCGGCTCGATTACACCAGGCAACATGGCCCCCAAGCGCCTGGATTCCTGACGGGTCGCAACCACCACCTATTCCGCCTATAGGCTATCCGCATCCTTCATACTATGCATACTATCGTGGAATGCCTCACCCTCCACCGCCCTCTGACCTCATGGCTCATCTACAAAACGGTGTCCAGCCGCACTCTCCCTCGCCCTGTGATGACTCATCGAGCACTAGTAGTCCTACAAGGACGAGTATGCACAGTGGCGGCGACCCCTCTGCGTCGGGAACAGGGAACTTCCATGGGAATGAAGCAAGATCTCCTGTCATCGACCCTTCGCTAGACATCTCACCAGTGTCACCAGCTGCAAACCATAAAGCATCTTTTAAGGTCAATCAACCCGCTGTAGAAGTCGTCTTGTCATCGACAGAAAGAGAGCCATCACGTGCACCGGATATCATACACTCACCCAGTCATGTGGACCCTCGATCGGTATCACACCATTCTAGCTCGGCTTCTACCGGAGGTAGCATCGAACGAAACGAAACATCAAGAGAACTCACGTCCAGTCACGATATAGAACCACCTGAACTATTTTATGCTACCCAATCGCCACCCCATACTCACACTTTCGAGCGTCCACCTGAAATGGAACACATGCTCACAGAAGATGGAGAGCCTATGCTGAATCCAGGTTCGTTCTATTCTGTTGTGATTCGAAAGTTGATGCTTATATGTATCTGCAAAGCCGAGCTGTTGACTCAGGTGGGTAGCGCGATGACTGCTGCAGAATCTAATGTGTATGATCTGATGCTGGACCTACTGAACCAGGAATCCCTCGCATCTCCACCTCCATCTTTATAACAGTCATACTCTAGATTATTGATGTTATTCCTCGCTGTTTTTTTACATGCATTACCTTACTGTACTCACGCATACACAGCTTGTCTTCCATGCATAACATTGGAGCTTTTTGTAACACTTTAGTCTTAATCATCATCGAAATCATAGATTCGAAATATCAGTTGCTACATGCTTGTGGAAAGCGAGTGATGAAGGAACATCGGTATGTGTAGTAAGGATACAACAAATATCGCTGTTGAAAGCGTGATATATGTAGGGAATTCAGAAAGTGTATATGGATAGTTCAACGTGTTTAAAGAACGGAGACCTTGGGCCACAGGTATTGGGGACCAACCTAATGGATATCTATAATCAGCGAGTGTCTTGATATCAAAATGCATCGACTTACAAGCTGGATATTCATGGCACCCATCTTGTGCCCAACCTCGACACACTCATCCAAGCTTTTACCAGCGACATACGCGCCGAGGAAACCACCCGCGAAAGCATCACCAGCACCGTTGGTGTCGACGATCAGCTCTTTGTCGATAGCGCTGACTTTGAAGACCTTGGGGCTGTCAGGCTCAGCGGATGATACCAAGGTAGTGGACTCAGCGCCGTGCGTGAAGACCACGACACGCGGGCGAGATTTGTTCGATTTGGGGAAAATCGCAACAGCCTTGGCGATAGCAGCAAGGTCCTTTGTGTCTGGCAGACCGTTTGCGGCTGCGTATGCCTCAGCCTCGGTCTCGTTGCCGATGATGATGTCGCAGTAGGGGAGGACGGACTGGAGCTGGGTGCCGAAGAACTGCGCAATGAAAGGTGCAGAGAAGTTCATTGCAAACACCTTGGAAGCAGCGGATGCCTTTTGGCTGAGCTCGAGCACAACGGACTGTGCCGTGCGTCAGGAAGAAGCCTTCTACGTAGAAGACTTTTGCGGCGTCTACCAAAGGTGCCACTGTGGGGGAAGAGAGATGCGATTGCTCGAACTTCTCAGCTGCCCGGAGGGTCGTGACCAGGGAGCTGATATACCGATTGAGTTTGGTGCTACAGATTTGTGATGTTGACCTTACCGATCATGCCCCGTGAGGACGACGGCGCATGCGCCCGTTCTTTCACCTGGCTTGACGAGGTAGACCTCCTGCAGGCCCTCACGCTTGTTTGCCGCCCGCAGTTGATCTGCCAGGTTGTCATCTCCCACGCAGCCAGTGTAAACTACTGAATTGGGGGGAAGAACATACTGTGGGAGTGTCAGTATCTGAAACCTGAGGCCTGATTATAGAGCATAAAGACTTACTGCGGCTCCTCGGGCAGCGTTTTGAGAAGCACCACCAGCAACGTATGTGACCTTGTAGTCCTTCACGAGCTCATCAGTAGCTGTAGGCGTTGACGATGAATGTCTGACGTGGAGAGCGATTATCGGATACTCACATGGACATGTGCTTCTCCTCCGCAAGGATGGCATCGTTGGCCTTCAGATCATACTTCTTGAGCAGCTCTTCACCGTTAGTGACCTGCACGTCGAGGAGGGGGTTACCGATGCAAAAGAGTTGGTACGTCTGAGAGGCCATGGTGGTATGAGATCAACAGATGATGTGAACTTTGAGGAGAACAAGAAGCCAATATCTAATCGACGTGTGATGGATGATACAAATAATTTTCCATGCCAACGTCAGCTGCTACATTATCATAGCACAAGATTTCGTTGACATGATCGCTAATGGGCAATTTCTGGGCATACAGATTTGATACAGATCGTAGCCTATCTATAGATCTAGCATAAAACGTGATTGATCGTTGGTCGACGGTCGACGATAATACTTTCTGTGCGATCGTCTTGCGAGTATGAGACCTTCAAAACGATATCATAGAACCGAAAGCCGAGTATAACTCTTGTGTTACTCAGATTGTACTAATTAACAGTGCGAGAACAGCATCGGAGGAGCAGGAGCGTCTGTGCAAAGACGCGAAAATAACCCGATAGGGTTGTTGCATAGTTAGCGGTCTATAAGTACACCGTATTGGAAGGATGGCAGATGTGTGAATCCCTAGGCTAGAGTGGAGAAAGGTGACTGTAACTTCGGGAGGCTGGTTAATGATGATGCATGGTGATGGGCAAGGGCAGGTGAACAGCGAGATATTTGAGTTCTCAGCTGGCCTGTGGATCAACTCTGGTCACGGTAAATCCACTTCGTGTATGAATTCTTGAGCTCAATCCATCAGGTGGATATAGCCTTGTCGACGTCGTCCAGAACCTATTTCCAGGTTTAACAGGTATATCGATAAATGAGATAAACACGCACTGGTGCTTGACAGCGGCTAGTGTCCAGCATTTCGACCCGGTGCCGGGTGGTGTGACTGCATGCGCTATAAATGAGCAATGTTGATCGAAGGAGCAGCGCTAGTTAGTACTACATACCCACGAAGAAAACGACAGTTCAAAGTTCGAGTGCCTTTCCCTTGAATAGGTCCAGGTGCCACTCATCAACAACGGTTGGTCATCGCATCAGGGCCAAAGAGCCCATGAAAGAAGTTGGAATCATGACCTGTGTCAGAAAGCTCACGACCGCTGAGAAATGCACGACCAGTCAGCGCTAGCGCTAGTCAGCTATCGAAGGTGGGTCAGGTGAGCGACGTGATAAGCTGTTGTGAGGTTCCACGATCAACAGATGCATCGGGACTCGCCACACTAATCGGTCTTATATAAAATTCAGTCTGCCCGAGTTAGGACAGTTTACTTTTGAACCAAGGTATCCGTTAACGCGAAGACTCGGCTCGCAACGTTGCAACTCCCAGACGAGCTCGAATTCATTGATCCACGTCTGGACTGTCCACTGGCATGTCCGCGTCATGGTGGAGCTAAAATCTCATTTCCGCAGTGAGTCGCCGGTGACTGCATGACTAAGTATTATTGGAACATGGGAAAGAGGCGCTATGAGCTATGTATGTCAGTAATCGTAAAATCGTGGCAAGGCATGACGTAGATGTAGCAATACATGTAATACGAGTGTCGCACATCGTCTGTAGAATGAATAACTATAAAGAAAGAAGCCCTAGAAGACAATGTCTTGCATGCGCAGCGACCTAAGTGAGCTGGGACAGCCTGCATGATCATGCCATTAGTGACCCGCGCATTCCATCACCCCGGCGTGCCGCGAGAATGCCCCGTATCAGCACAACAAGGATTGCGAACGTCACAAGAAGCCTAGCAGGAATATGAACAAGAAAGTGATGGTCATGTATCAATAGCACGCACCAAATAACCCAAGCAAAACCCTCTAGCGCGTTAAGTTGCCCGCAATACACGAACACCATCTGGGTACTAAAGTGATAGGACATGAACAATAAGAGCGCGACGCAAGAAGATACACGAACTTGCAGTTCAGCCCTCCACCGAGAGCTGCGGTTATACTTGCAGCACCCGCAGTCCAGAAGATCCATGTTAGAAGTAGGCTATGACGATTTGTCAGCAAGTTCTATCAAGTCAAAGGAGGTTGACTTACAAGACGACATGAGAAGCTACACTACTCATGGGGCTATCTGGCAAAGAAAAGAAGAAAAACATGTAGACACCAGACAATACGATCGTCCATATTGAAGTGAACAGTAGAAAACGCGTGCGGTCTCGTTCTGCTAGACTGAAGTAGTTTTGATAGGAATTAAAACGTGACGTGAGCCAGGCTGAGATTGCAAGCTACCGCAGGGATTTATTATTTCAGCGTTGCAATGAAATGTGCACATACCTCGATGATACAGAACAAGATGATCAACGAGAATACAACTGCGATCCAGTAAGTCAGTTGAACTGAATGAAGGAAACAACAGATTCTTACTAGGGTGTCCCCTTCGCATGTGGGTATTAAAATCCATTGTTCAAACTGGATATACAAGACTCGTTTGGCTGATAGTTCGTGATTGTTCGTGAAAGATGAAAGAAACAAGTTTTGATGGAGACCGGTGGAGCTGCGCGAAAGTTGAACAGAAGCATAGTGGCTATGCAGCTGCGTTACCACATTCAGTTCTGACGTCATCTAGAAGTAAACTGTTCGATAAAGCCAATATCCAAATGTCCATATGCGATGAGCAATAATATACAAATGAGACTATGCTGCGTGGAATATATTTTGAAATCATAAAAAGTCCCTAGAAACGGACACTAATAGACATTCCTTCATCCGGAACGCAAACACGTTCACCAGGCATGAGCTTGTCGCAGTCCACTTTGGGGTTGACAATGAGAAGTTTGTCTAAAGAGGAATTGTGGTCGTTGGCGATATCCCAACAAGTGTCTCCAGGTTGCACGATGTAGGAGAGGGTCGTTGAAGGGCATGGAACAGGAGCGATACGTGTAGGCAACAGAACGAGACGCCAGACCAATAATAAGACGACAGCAATCATGAGAAAGAACGGGAAAAGTGTACGGTAAGCTCCTCCCCGGGGATTGTACCGGGTGCCGTTCTACAGCCGAATTGAGATAGGGCGGGCAATGACGGCGAGAACTTACCTCATCTAGCGCCAAGATGCGATAACCGTCAGTGCCAGTAGGAGCAGCTTCCAGGTCACTGTCTTCATCTACCTCTTGAGGGATGGAAGAGGGTAGTTCAGACACTGCATACACGTGTGAACTGCGAGCGCTAACAAAACGGCGTCCAAAGCATTTACCTAGCTTAAGCTCTCCGAATTCAGAGCCCTCTGGCCCTTGGTATACCAATCCTTCACGGTCACGGAAATAATACCGCTCACTGTCGGCGTCGTAACCAACTCGCTTCACGCCTTCTGGGAGCCTGTAATCGTCCTAGAAAACTTTGGGTCAGCTTGCCGAGGACAAGGTCAAAAATAGTAGTACTTCATCGTACTGCGTCCAGCGCCCCATAGTTGTTCGTTACGCACAAAAGGCCAACCAGTGGATAAGTGCTGTTTTTTGCAAAACAAAGAACTCCTAGTTGAGGATTGAAATGGAGACTGAAGATGCTTTGACGCTTCACAGGCAATATAATGCAACGGAGAAAGCCGAATAACCGTCACTGCCACTGTCAGACGTGGTATAGCCCCACTCGCTAAGCGCTAGGGGTTGTGGGTTCTCCACTCCATACTATGCAAAGGGTGGTCAAGGCTATGTTTCCAATATCCTCAGAACTCATATTCAAAGTCGCCTTGCGCGGCGAGACATTGCTCACTTCACCTCGTTGGAACAAGGGAACAGCCTTCACGAAAAAGGAGCGTAATGATTTTGGTCTAACGAGCAGACTTCCTTCTCGCGTCAATACCATCGAAGAACAATGCGAGAGAGCCTATGATCAGCTACGCTCTCGTGAATCTCCCATACAAAAGAACTCATTCTTGCAGAGTCTCAAAGAGCAAAATTGGGTTCTTTACTATTCTCTGCTATCCAGGCATCTCAAGGAGTTGACTCCTATTATATACACGCCTACCGAAGTGAGTTCTGGTCTTTTCTCGAGTGTTTAAGTGATTGACTGTATTGTAGGCAGAAGCGATTGCAAACTACTCTCATCTTTTTCGTCGCAGCGAGGGGTTATTTCTCACATTCCCAGACCAAGACTCCATGGAGAAAGATTTCCTGGAGCAAACCCGCGGGAAAGATATCGAGTTGATAGTCTGCACAGATGCAGAGGCTATCCTGGGCATCGGCGACCAAGGCGTTGGGGTAGGCGCACTTCCGTTGCTCTGCCTTACATCTCTAACCACTGCCTGACGTCATAGGGAATCGGGGTGAGTATCCGCACATATCTCACGACAGGGAGTTGTTGAACAGTTGTTCCAGATATCATCTGCCAAATCTGCGATATACACGTGCGTTCGCACTGCCCTCGCTTTATTCTTACTTCATGTGGTGACAGGTTATTGGCTGGGATAAACCCAGCGAAAGCGCTCAGTGTGACACTTGATGTCGGCACTGACAATGAAGCGCTCTTGAACGATCATCTTTATGTCGTGCGTGCCTTTTAAATCACTGTCATCATTCGCTCATCAGACAAATTCAGGGATGGCCTTCGAGAAGGATCCGGGGTGTTGAATACGATAAATTCATCGACAAGTAAGTTTGACTTACCTCTTAGTTGGTCTCGCCTCATGGGCTTGCGACACCTTCATAGGTTTGTCCAGTTGATACGCAAACACCAGCCTCACTGCTTGCTGCACTTTGAGGACTTTGGAGTTACCAATGCTCAGCGATTTCTTGACCTGTACCGCAATGAGCATTCTGTTTTCAATGATGATATGTATGGTTATGCGTCATCAATATATCAATTAGCACTAACGCACAGTAGCCAAGGAACTGGCGCGGTTACACTGGCTGCTTTGATGGCCGCTATTGGGGTGACCAAGTCGAAGCTGGCAGATCAACGCTATGTCATCTTTGGAGCGGGTTCTGCGGGCCTTGGTATTGCAACACAAGTTCGGGACGCAATCATACTCACAGACGGTGTGTCTCGTGAGGAAGCCAACAAGAAATTCTACCTCGTTGATCGCTTTGGTCTCATCAAGCAGTCTCTTGGTCCTAACAAGATACGCCCTGCGTTGCAAGAATTTGTACGGCCTGATGAAGAATGGAGCGATGTTCCAACTAATAACACAGGAGAGGTTGAGCTTCTGGAGGTTGTCAGGAAAGTACGACCGACGGTCTTAATAGGATGTTCGACGAAAGGTGGCGCTTTTACCGAGCGCGTCGTGAGGACAATGAAGGAAGGTTGTGAGAGACCTATCATTTTCCCCCTCAGCAACCCTAGCCATCTGGTGGAAGTTGATCCGAAGGACGCGAATGACTGGACAGAAGGGATGGCTTTACTAGCCACGGGCAGTCCGTTTCCACCAGCTAAGATGCCGAACGGCAAAGACTATGTGTAAGCTTGTCATATCATGAGTATCATGCACAAGCTGATTTGTGACTTGCAGTATCGCTGAATGCAACAGTGAGTTCATATAATCCCCCGTTTGTGCAAACTGACCGTTGCTACTTTCAGATGCTCTCATCTACCCTGGACTTGGATTTGGTTCCATGCTGTCGCAATCCAGGCGCATGACCGACGGGATGATCATCGCAGGCGCACAACGCCTTGCTGCCCTCTCTCCTGCACTCAAAGACCCGGACAGCGGCCTGTTACCCGACTTCGAAGATGCTCCAGCAGCCAATCTTGAGGTTGCAATAGCAGTAGCACAACAGGCATTTGATGAAGGCATCCAGGGAGTTAGTTGGACCAAAGAAGAGGTGAGAGCTAAGGCAGAAGACAAGCAGTGGAAGCCAGTGTATGGTACGTATGAGTATGATGAGCAGGGCGCAAAGTAGTTGTGGTTTGTTTTGCAACCTCGAGTCACGAGAAGCGAGATTGTTCTAATCGAATTTTTGCTATAAAGAAGCCCAGCGCCTTCGATCAACCTTCGGTCTAAGATACCTGCAGCGGCCCATCGCGGTACCGGTATTAATATTGTTCCTCATCGATATAAAGTCAGCATGTACATCTGCTCGAGGTTAGTGGAAGGAACCCCAAAAACTTGTCACGGTTTCGCGTCTGTCACAAACGTGACAGGACGCGTCTTGGTCCAAGATCAAGCTCGAGATTCTTCCCCTCACTAAGATGTCTTTTTCTAATCTTTGTGGGTCCTCCGCTGTCGATATGGACAGCGACGAGGAATTTTCAGGGCACATCACGAAGAAAATCAAAATCACCGCCAACAATGGATGGGAACACGTCTTTGCAAGAGGTGGAATCAAATCGTGCTTTACAAAAACTACCGCCGTAGATGCGACAGAATTTCTCAAGAACTATCGTCCCCGAGCACAAAAACAGAGTCTCGAAATACTTATCTCCTTACCTTTGGATATCCTATTCGAGGTAACTCAGGTCCTTTGTCATTTGATCATCCGAGATAATCACAATCGGCCCAGATCTTTGGGAGGCTACTTCCGCTTGACTTACTTCATCTCTCACGCACTACCAAGGCTCTGCGCTCTGTGCTGATGCACCGCTCATCTACCACCGTGTGGATGGCTGCGCGCTCCAATGTAAAGGGCATGCCTGCTTGTGCTGATGACATGTCGGAGCCTGCGCATGCGAGCCTCGCGTTCGATATGCATTGTCACGTAAGTGTTCTAATCATAGCACACCCGGATGCATTTGACCTTCCTAACTTAGAATTGTCTCAGACCAAATGTGCGCAATGTTGACTGGAACCTCCGAGTCAGGTACTGCCAAAAATGCTTTAAAGAGCGGTAAGCTAGGTCTCGCTTGATGATGCATAGGCTTACCGACTGGCGCTTTAGTACAGAGGTTGTCGATGATAAGTTCAAAAAAACATATGGATTAAAATTGCACCATTGTCTGTCATTAAGCATGACGCAGAACCGTTAGTTTTCTGTCCATTCACTGGCGCATGTCCTTACTTTGATTCACCTTCAAGGAAATGACGCCCGCTGCCTGATTTCAGACAGGGAATCATTGGTCGATGAGTTGTCGAAGCTCGGGCCAGAAGAAAGATCTGTCCTTCGAGGTTTGAAGAGAGATGCGGTGCTCGTTTGGAAGGAGGTATGTCTCCTGTTTTCGAAATATTCATTCTTGTTTGTTAAGTATATGCAGCATGCCGTTCTGTGCACAACATGGATGGAAGGCGAACAACAGAGCAGATGGAAGGAGCTCGATCATCTGAGAAGCTTGCGCCATGACGCGTAAGTCTTGTGTCCAGCTCCTGATGCTCACGGCTCAACATTCACAGTATCCTGGAGAAGTTGATCGAACTTGGCTGGGAGGAAGATGTCAACAAGCTTCCAGATCGGCATACTGCACGAATCTACAAGTTGTCCCATTTTGAAGATCATCCACTTGTCAAGCAGCCAAAGCCCTTGACCGATCGCAGTAAGGCTTTTCATCTACTTTTGTTCGTTCGTGTTTCTTTAACGCTAACTTATTGAGCAGTCTGGCAAAACATCCAACACAAGATGGTCGAATTCATGGGCCAAATGCGCGAATTCCGCATTCTACAAGAAAGAAAGCAACAGATCAGGGAGCGGCAAAGCCTCCTCGCTACGATATACAGTGACTGGCAACGGGAGAAAGGGTATCACAAGTATCTTATGCCTACTGCTGCCGACCTCTTCGGGATGCGACAAGTTCGCGATATTGTGGAGTTGCCTGCTCATCTGACTGTCACTACGGAAGATTTTCAGCCTGTTCGCGAGGAGTTATTTAAACTAGTCGACTCTTGGAAGCGCTGCAATGGTCATGATTTGCGGTCAGACTTGCTATGGCGGCTTGAAATCCACCCACCGTACTGGCTTGACAGACTCTCTGTTCAATGCGAGAGACTTGCTGTTGCTGTCTTTACGTGCACAGGGTGGCTTTGCGACGACATTCCTGAGCCTAATGACTCGCCTCGGTACATGTACTTCCCAGAGTACCTTCACCATAGATGCAATCGGATCCGGCGACGAGTATGGAATGAACTCGACCCTGCTAACACGTTTGCAATGGGCCAAGGGTATCCGGGAAATACTGTGCAACGAGAGTGGTCCACGGACGACCTCGAATTAGATAAGAAGGCCTCCCAAACCGTGAGGAACATCATCGATGCATGCGACTTAGACTGGAGAGAGGTAACAGTATCGGCGCTCGACACTCTGGATCCTAGGTTGGTCTGCCTGAAGTGCAGCTACGGCAACCGCTGTGATGGAGAGAGACCTATGATGGTCCGTTCGTGGCGAGAATCTGTAAGTTGATCTGTGGGCTGAAGTAAGACAACGTTGACGAGGAATCACAGGTCAAACATTGCGCCAAGAAGCATTGGAGTGATTCCACTGTGAAGTGGCAGAAAATTTCAGATGAGGAGAGTAGAAGTCTTCGCCAAGACCAGGAGGAAGCCGCCGCGAGCACTACGATACCTCCGCGCAAAATTTGGCGGTGCACTCATTGTCATGACAAGCCTGGAGAACCGGAGAAAATGACTGTGCAGGGAATGACGGATCACTTGGAGGATCAGTAAGAGATCCACTATGTATGCGTATCTCTCTCAGCTGATATCGACTCTGCGAAGTCATTCGATAGATCTAATCAACCAAGTTGCCGGAAAGGACTTCGCTGAAGCTTTGGACGTGCCTCCTATAACGATTCCTTCTGTGAAGCTGAAGCCGAAAGCCGTGGACCCTTAGCCTTTGAAATTTCGCCCAACACACTGGGAAAAAAGCTTCTGCGATACATTTTCATGAAGTCGCTATTGAATATGTAAATATTGCGGTCTTCATAGGTCCATTCATGTATGGAACTCCAGTTAAACCACAATAATTAGCGTCATATACTAGTCTTGCGAGCTTGTAGTTACGATTAGATCTAGTATTCGGGTCATTTACATGAGCCAATCGTAAACCCCACCCAGTCTTTACGAAATGATTACTAAGCACTTTCTGTAAGTCTGAGCTCGACGAAGCTCGCACTTATCAAGTCATGGCCACATCACAGGCAGCCCCAGTGGACCCTCACTCTATGCAAGATGTTGCACCAACATTAGCAGAAAATGGGACACCTCAACCAGAAGGGGAAGAAATTCTTTCTGAGACTCTTTATATCCAAAACCTCAACGAGAAGGTGAAGATCGACGGTGAGCATCGAAACATACCACAACTTGGCTGTGATTGATTTCTCTTCTTTCCATAGTGCTCAAGGCTTCACTAAAAGGCTTGTTCAAATCGTATGGGGAAGTGCTGGATGTTGTAGCGCATAGCAACTTGAGAATGAGGGGTCAAGCATTCGTCTCATTCGCATCCCCAGAGATCGCACAGAAAGCTATGAAGGAAGTCCGTGGCTTCCCTCTCTACTCCAAACCTATGGCACGTACTTCTATGTCATAAGCTCGTTCTCCGCTCATATGATTGTCTCAGCAAATTACGTTTGCGCGGACGCGATCTGACGCTGTCGTCAAACGATTGGATGCTAACAACCTTGAACAACATACGGCCAAGAGAGCTGAACACAAAAGTGGGGTTTTCTTGACAAGGTTTGTTACTGAGAGCTGAGAAAAGTTGAATTGTGCAGGGCGTACGCGATATTCGAACCCCTTGAAGCAGAAATTCAAGGCCAAGCGGATGGCTGCAGAAAGTTTGTGTTACAGCCTTATATTCACCGGCTGCACGCTGAATTATGTTCATTACAGTTGACGGAGCTGCTGCAGCTCCTGCAGCTAGGCGTCCCAATGTCCAGATGCCAGACGAATACTTGCCTCCCAACAAGATCCTTTTCCTTCAAAATCTACCCGAAAGCGTTACCAAGGACCAGCTTATGGCCCTCTTTTCTCAGTATGTAAACCCCCTCCGCGTTGAGAGGCCGATCTTAACTTTCTCAGGTACCCAAACCTCCACGAGGTTCGGCTTATTCCAACAAAAAAAGACATCGCGTTCGTGGAATACATGGACGAAGGCAGCGCTGGGGTTGCCAAAGATGCTCTTCACAACTACAAGCTTGATGGGGAGAATAAGATCAAGGTCTGTGGATATGTTTTCTTTTCTTTAAGAACCACTCTCACTTCGTTTCAGATTACATTCGCCCGGAAGTGAACTTCTTGTATTGTTATGCTTTGGGATATTGTATCATATTTTAATTGATGCTACTTGAGTTAGAGTGGTCCACCTGTTATCGCCATGACTGCCTCAAGTCCCTAATTTGCCAAATGACTTCAAAGTTCAAGACCAAGATTTCGAAGATCAGCGAATGTCTGAGCGTGATTCAAAAATTATACTCCGGTCCGGGCAAGCGAGACGAGAGCGCTCTGACAGAATCTTCTCGCCATCATGATATGTAACCGAGTCTCGGGCTCACTCAGGCTACCCATCCGCGTTTAGCCAGGAACTTGAAGGAACACCATAGCAAGTCCCAGAAGGCGTTCGCGCTGCACTCGTGGAGTAATGGAAGCTTTGCTGAACCAATACAAGCCTGGACCTTACGGCACATCTAAACTTGATTGGCACCCAGATTGTATACCTTTGGTTGACAGCTGTTGGTAGGGGTTCGGCCTCGCAATTGGAAAGAGTTTATCAAGACCCTGGTTCATCGATATCATTACTCCTTGTTCTAAAATTCCCTCAAAATTTTCCCCAGCATTTTGAATCACGAATCAAAAATGGACCCTAAGACTGTGGTGAGTGCGTTCGCTCAGCGTGCATCGAGATCATCATGGCCTCCCAGGTGGTGTATGAATCGTCGGACGACGGTGAGTACTCAAATGGCTGGGACGACTTCAAGATGCAAGTAGAAGCTTTAGGTACGCGTTGGCAACCCACCTTAACGTGAATTCATTTGATCGTTGCAACTCTACAGAAATCTCGCAGTCTCCAACTCAACCATTGGCAAAAGTCCTTGGAGAAAAACTTTCTATATCGCAGAAGATAACGCTTCAAGCGCCTAGGGCGGATATGCGTTTACGAAGACGCGTGTCGCGTGATGAGGAGATGCGTGAGATCGATGAAGGTACAGTGTTGGGTTTAAGTTTGCTCAAATGAATATATTATTCACGCCCTCACAGTAGCCCAAAGATGTAGGTGGTCTCTCCCTACTAATCTGCGCTTTATTACTTAGTATCATCCAAATCAGTGATGGAGTCGGACAGTGATTCCGGGTCGGCACCGTCGACCGAACAATCTTCACTGTTCTCGAGTCGCACGACCTCGATGTCATCCGTTGGATCCACGGGCCTGAAGCGTGCACCAGACTGCTTGCTGCCTCCTCCACCAGCGGTTAAACGCAAAGTCTCACCATGCGCACCAGTTGTAAGTCATATAATTTTCTTACATTCAATGTGTTCTCACAACGCCGTAGGTGAATCTGCCACAAGGAAAAAATCGAAAACGCAGGTCCCCCGAGTTCGGTGTTGAATTAGATGTCGCCCACATTGCCCACTGCGAGGAGGCTCAGGTAGTCCTTGATCGACATGAACTCGCCTGGGGAACGATTTTCGAACTAGCACGAGGTGTCACTCGTGGCATGTGGACATTCCAAGACATGACGGAGCATCGTCTACGAAAACTCAAAGGTTCAAATGTTCAATCTGCCTGGAAAGTCACTACCGTCATGGCAGACAAAGAACCACCTGCGATGGGAACGCCATCAGAGCTTTGGTATTAGCTTTATTCGCCTCACAAATCGCGAGCTAAACTTGATTTAAGGCTCGAATACGATCGGGAGCAGCTCGCGATTGTCGAAAACAAAGGTCGCGGTTTGGGAACTATGGGACAATGGGAGGGAAAAGACCATTGGTACGGAGGGAAGATACAGCAAGTTGCACGTGTCGTGAAAGCTGGAACGTCTTTCAAATTCGAACTCGAGAAACCAGAGATTCGGAGATCGCATCGCTTTGCTCGGTTCTTGGGGTCTCGGCGCATCATCCAAGTCCGCGTGCCAGATAACCTTACGTATGATAAAGTCGGCTCGGCACTTCGGGAATTCCTGATATCAAGCAAATTTGTATTGTGTGGCCGCGTCTTCGTACCCTTCCATGCTAAGGAAGGGAGCATGTACCTTATGGAAACGAACCAGAACATTGATCGGAAAACGAACCTCGGCGACGGCGACAGTCACAGATTGTCACTCTACCAGTTTGTGAAGTGGCACAATCCTCTGGCGTTGAATTCGATGCAGGTGATTACTTTTTTGTCCTCCTCATGCAGCTCTGACACGCTTCCCGAGTAGCCCATCAGCAAGTGGTCTACACGATGGGCGCTTGGCCTATCAACGTCGGTGCCAACAATTGAATTCTCTCCGGAAAATATAATCTTCATTGCTGACCAACGTAATATCTCCTCGAGCTCATAAAATACGAGGTACTGACTGCTCAAATATCTAGATGCTGTGGACTGTGGCAAGGGAAAGCCCCCAGCTGAAAAAATCATGACCGATGGGTGTGGTTACATCAACGGTTCGGCCTTGACGGCCATCATGCGAGTAATGAAGTATTCGAGTAGACCGACCGCCGTGCAAGGACGTATTGCTGGTGCCAAGGGAATGTGGGTTCTGCACCCAGATCCCGTGCACCAGATCACCGATGGACCGCCGAAAATTTGGATACGTGACTCACAGAATAAGATCAATCTTGGCTCGCTACACAACGTCGATAGCGCACATAGGATTTTCGACCTCCTTGCGCCATCTCGGGTAACCGGGCCAAGCCGTTTGTCGAGCCAGACACTCGTCAACTTGGCACATGGTCGTGTTTCCCTTTCTGTTTTAAAGGAGCTCATGGCAGATGGGCTTCACGAGGAGGTCCGTCAGCTGACAGAATGGAGCGGACCGGACAGCATGCTTATGGTCTGGCGAGCTGTGGAGCAAGCCGGCCGTGTTGTAACATCGAGGCTGCGGCGGCGCATTGCTGGCCAGGCACGAGCACTTGGTCTTGGCCAACTCCGACCCAACGAGGAGCCTGCTGCCGGGATTGATGATTGTGACGATGTTGCAGTGAACCCATCGCTGCATGACTCGGCTAATCGGGGACGCAATCCTTACAGCGGTGAACCGCTGACTCTACACGAGACGGTCCTTGAACTACTGCAGGCCGGTTTTCATCCTCTTAAGCTTGACCAACTTTTTTCCAAACTTGAGTACGTGGTGACCCAAGTCCTCGACGAGTACATCGAGAAATTCCACATCCCGGTCAAGGAGTCTTTGGAAGCATATATCATACCGGGCATGTAACTTTTCCATAATCATTTTCTTCTAGCTCATCTAGTAGCAGATCCATATGGGGTCCTTGAGGAGGGGCAGATATATTTTCGCTCTTCAGAACTCATCACCGACCCCGAAAGCGGAACCCAGATGGATATCGTGACCGGTTCTGTTCTGGTGAGTACTTCAGTCCATTGAAATGAACTGTTCTCAGACGTTGATAAACAGGTATGGAGGAATCCCACAAGACTGCCCTCTGATATCCAGAAGGTAAGGCAAGCAATACCTCCTCGAATGACCTTATCAAATATGGATCAGGTCACTGCCGTCAGCCACCCAAAATTGGCTAATTACTTCGATGTCATTGTGTTCCCTGTGAAGGGGGAGCGCTCATTGGCAAGCTACTTGGGTGGAGGAGGTAGGCACTTACTTCCATCATTTTCCGGGTATCGCCTGACGTGTTCATTCTATAGATTATGATGGAGGTGAGTTTACGTCACTTGTATTTTGTCATTTAATAATTGCTTTCAAAGATACGGTCACATTGGTCTGGTCCAAACGTCTTGTTGAAAGTTTCAATACCGCTCCGCTGTGTACGGCGCCCGCAAGTTTGAGTGACGACTTTGAGCGAGAAGTTGAACACGTTGAGGATTTTGACCTACGAGTATCCAAACTCACTGCAAAGGAGGCTCAAATCGCGTTCCAGAAGGTCCTTCTTCTTGGACTCGCGGAAACAAAAATCGGATTATATTCGAAGTTCCATGATCTCGCTGTGTATGAGCGCGGCTATGCAAGTGCTGCTGCCATTCGGTTGGCATACATGTGAGAATTTCCAGTCTATTGCTATGGTACTCGCCTTATGTTGTGCGGCGCAGGTTTACCACCTGCCTCGATGCGAGCAAGACGGGGCTGCGGGTTAAACCCCACGTCTTCGAGGCAGATCGCAAGTCTTGTGGTAAACGCAAGCCCTACTATATGGCCGCTCTTGAACAGAACATCGAGGGTCAAGAGGTATCGAAACTGCAAAGGCTCGACTCCGTACATCCTGGATGCCCTTGTTGATGAGGGCCGTCGCCTCCGTGACGATTTCCTCAAACATTATTCCGTCCTCCGGAGTTCTTCCACTAATACGGCAGACCGCGACCTCGCTTCACCTTACCTTTCTACGTCTCGTAGGGCAACACAAGCTTCGCACAAAGGTTTTCAAATTCTGCAAGACAACTTAAATGATGTCAAAGTTCATGTCCAGAGAGTACATGGAGAGTGGCAAGTCGCTGTTGCTCTCCAGAAGAAGGCTTCAGAAGGGAAGGGGTCTTCGGATCCCAGGACACGAGCGATCCAAAAGACAGCTCAACACTTTGCGCGGCGACCAGAGGTTTTATTTTTTTCCGACGAGGAACTCAAAATCATCATGGCATCCTATGCATACAATCTAAGTGGTGCATTCGGCTTCTCCAGTCGCCTTCGCAGATCTCTGCGCCATCAAGGCACGAGTTCAAAGTGGTGTGCTTTTTGCAGATAGATTTGCAGAGGTGATGTGTATACCTAACAATGTCTTACGAGCTCTTTCACAAGCACAGGATGACGCGGATGATTGAAATTTTGCATCTTTGTCCATCATCCATACTTCACATCTTACACATGCTCCACCATATAGCACATCCTTACAAATCCTTCATCATACACATCCTTGCACATACTTCACCATATAGCACATCTTTATCTTGATTCTACCATCTCGATTTGTTAGCCACTATCTCTCTGTACTACGTAACGACAATCAACAGACCGTATTCTCCCAGAGCGATTTGAATACTCTGAGTAGGATATCGAAACGCATTCAATTGCTGCGAACTAAGACATTCGACATCAATATCTGCATCTCATTCCAAAAATTCCGGCACGACACTAACCCGCACGAGGCCCGACATCTTCTAGTAGCGTACAACAGAATGTCATGCAGTTAAGCGTGTCAATCGCAGTCGAAGCTCGCCGGTGTGAATGAACAAATATATTCAGTGCTACTCCAAACGAATTGAATTTCCTACAGCCAATATCCCCTTCATTGATGAAGAATGCAATAGTTTCTGAACTACTGCTGCCTCACACAGTCAGACTTGACATAGATGCGATGGGGTGAGTGAAAGACATTTCATTGCCATCATCATACAATGCGCTAGCTAGTGACAGTTATCAAGCACCATGAACCGCGATATCGCCTCATTGCGTAATTCCATTGACCGGCCGCAGACTGATGAGGCGCTGCCAGGTGATGATCGATGATCTTCCGCTGTTGATCACTAACTGGAGTAAAGACAATTAGGAACCAGTGTTGAATGTGTTGCCCACGGTTTGACGGAGTAAATCGATACGACGAAAGCAAACTCGATATTTTGCTTGTCATATTGTTCGTAAAACTACATCGGCGTCGCTAAGTCCCACCTATCCTACTCGCTTTTCAACATAAACATAATACAAGCATAACCAAACTGTCTATTCTGTAAGGTCCGGGCCAACCTCCGTCTGAATGGGGGAAATGACCCGAATACTAATCTCATCATGCAGAATCTACAACGCAGCCACATCAGACTGTTACTATGTTCAAACGAAGAACACGTACCCATGTCACAGTAAGCCGATCCTGTTCCAAGAATATACTGGAGCCAGCTGTCGGAAATGGCGTACGACAGACCGTTGCGATGTATGCACGATCCGAGAAGATGTTTTTACCAGAGGAGTCAATGATCTGACCCGGCTTGCAAATGCGAAGATCCGGTGAGTCAGGATCGTTGACACTTTCCGAGCGAGCAATGACTCGCTTATTGAAGTCCCAGATATGCACATAGAAGTAACCCTCATTGGAGAGCTCTTCCAGTCTTTCACCAGGATCGGGAATATGATCTTGGGGAAGAGCATAGGCCATTTTGCTGCCAAACACGCTGATATCGTAGCTTTCGTGGTGTGGAAAGTAGCACGCATGCTGAGGTCCCCAATTTGACCAGGGAATCTCGACGAGCATATCTGAGTGCAAGGCCTTGTCAGAGAAGATGGCCATATCGATGACTAGGATAGCTTTCTCCGCTTCGGGAAGAAACTCTAAAACCATAATCTGTGACTCCAGGGAGGGCACATAACTCGGCATGAGTCCTGGGCGTGCTGCTTTGCCAAGGAGGGATGGAAGGCCATGAACAACGATTGCCGATTTGCTTAATGATAGATGGGGGATCGTGGGAGGGTGATATATGATTCGGCACTGAGGCGGCCCATCAAGCCCTTGTAACGTGTACAAGTATATCGAGCCTTTCAGGCCAATGATGACAAACTTCTGTTCATCGACTGGATAGAAACAATGTTGGGCGTAGATATCCGGCTGACATAAAAAATGCTGCTTATGCTGAGCAGCAGAATTGTCACAAAAAGGAGGAAACTTACCCTATTCACATATCCCTTCCTCCAATTGATCACTTGTATGAACGTGCCGGACACAAGCCAGTTATCCGTGTCCTCCATTTCATAGACAATAAATACGCGTTCGCCACAGATTACAGGCGGTGACAAAGCAGCACGGTAATGGCCAGGTGCATCAAAGGTATGCTTACACTCCAAAGAACTGCACACAGCGCTCGGATGCGGACGCTCGGATGAAGCCAGTCGAAACTGCACCCGACAGACATGGTGATTTTGTTCCGCATCGGTCACAGTGACACAATCATCAGACTTAGAACACACAACCATAAGATCTTGCAGAGGGTCGAATGTAGTAAAACAGCCCTCGACATGATCGATAGACCATGTCCGGGAGAGCGTAAGATTCGTGCCACAACCCTGAATGTAGAGTTTGTCTTCTTTCAGCGAATGTGACCACCAAAGCCCACATTTCACATATTGGATCGGTAACATGAGTTGCCATGTGGTAGCAGTAGTGACCACTGTTTCAAAGGTAGTGGTCGCATAGAAGTCAGATCGCCACAAAGATGCCAATTTCTTGAGCGAACACAGAGTCTTTCTGGAAACGCCGGTCGAATTCATGGTAGCGGTCCCAGTACTGATCAAGCCCTGAGCATAAATTTCAAGCTTGTATTGAATGTAGACAGAATTCCGGACCACAAGCCAAAAGATGTTGCATGTCTAGCATGATCAAACATTAGCCCTGAAGGAAATTGTGGAACTACAGGGGAAAGCGAACCAGTGCACAGCGACTAATGTCCCTGGGGTTAAGAAGGATTAGAATGTGGCATATGAGTTCCGTAGGAAGCGACAAGAATCCGACCGCCATAGTCATGGTAGTAGGATTGAAGAGAGGACCTTTGAATTTGAAAGTTTTAGGAGGCCTCTCCTCTCGGAACCCCGGACCGTCATCACGCCACTAATTTGAGTGACTAAAGCCTTGGGGGAAAAAATCGCATCGAAGGTAGGAGCAACAAAATAAATCTCATCAGAAAACCGGCGAGCTCGATCGTCAAGTTAGCCTGATCAGAAGTTAGTACTACACGAATTCTATCAAGCACAATTCCGTACTCCCGCGCAATTAAGTAAGCAACCAGGTCAGGTTGTCACATGTCTATGGCACCAGAGACATTGCCGGATTGGCTGGAGGCTAACATGCGGAACATATTTGTAAAATATTTTACATCTATTGTTCGATGTTGAACCTAAACAAATAGAGCACAAATGTAAAAATTGTGGTTGAAATTGATTCCCTACCAGATTTATCTCCAAATGAAGAATATATAGACCACAATATTGAGAATTTGAAAGGAAGGCTTTGTTTGTGCACCAGATCCATGCTCATATTGAAATTATGACAATAATATTTTGTATGTGCAGATCTGGTTTGTATTATTCTGAATTTGTTCGATGACTGACCAATAAGAAATCGCTATACCAAATATGTATAGGGTTCATATTTAAAATTTGTAATTAAAATTGATCAGCCACCATATTCATACTTAAATTCTATATATGACACGTATCTTAGAGCAAAACAGATTTTATTTCAAAGTTTAGATATGTGATGTCATCAGATTTAGGATATTGTCCCCCCCAATTTGGCTATATGTCATATCACGAACATATGTAAAATTTGATATCCAATACTACTGCAGTACAGATCCTATCACCAATGCAAAATATTTCTGTGGATATGATACCAATCTGTGCTGCAGACAGATTCCGTCCTGCCTCAGGTGTGGAAAGCCAGACAACCACGCTCAATCCCAGGACCTAGAATAGGTACTGGTTTAGCAAATTTAAATGTCTGTCGTACCGATCGCACAGGGCCAGTTTTAATCCCGGTACCGGATGTCTTAGTCATCCTTGGTTCAAACTTCTCCTTTTCTCGTCTCTCATTATATTTTATTTCGACTTCATCATGGTGTCCAGTTCATCAACATTGTCAGCTTCATTGTTGCGTCCTCCAGTTTCTCTCGTTGTTTCGGATCAAGAACTTCCTGACGATGGGACGTCTGTGGTGTCATCCTGCGTTCTATGCAAGTTAGGGCCTGGCATGGGTAGAGAGTGCCTGGATACCCACCCGGGTGGAACCTGTGGGTAGTGTGCGGGTCAGGTGCTATGGGTCACAGGTTGGCTTGGGTGTATTACCCGGGCGGGTACGGGCAGCAGCATCCAAATTTCGAGCTACCCATGGGTGCCCAGCAGGTCACTACTAGTATTTGGTCGAGCTTCAGCCTTTGTATCTACCAGGTACATTAATATCTATTGACATCAAGTACTGTTGTAGCTGATGTCAAATGACATGCCAACCTTGACAACTACTCCAAACTTGCATCTTCAGCCTCATTGTTAAGGTCGTACTCTCGTAGGGTCGGATCTGAAGGACTTCGGCCTCAGCTCGTACGCTGTGCCCCTTTCCCAAGTACTGTCCCTTATTTCAAAGTACTAACAGTAACACGTCCGAAGGTCCAGGACGGGTCTTGTAGTATATCCGGATGTCTTCCAGATATCGGAAACTGTGTATAAGGCTAATCCGGACGTATCCGAACTAGAAACTAACAGAGTAAAGACTACCCGAAGGTAGAGCTGAGGATATAGACTATCGGAATCTATCCGAAGTCTCGGAGAGTGACAAGAGTAAGAAGGACTCAAGTCCAGAGGACGGAAAGAGGACAAACTAAGATGATATTCGAACTGAGGTACTACAGGACATATACACGAGTTTATATACTAAGAGGATAACACAACGATAAGTAAGCAAAGGTCCGAAGGCTATGTACTGAAGCATGTGCAAAGGTTATCAAACGCAAGTCGGAAATGAAGCATAGGTTAACGGATCAGTAATCATACCGGTAATAAGTATAGCCGAAACAACGGGAAGAGGAAATACCGAATAGGCTGTGTTTAATATTAAATGAACAGGAAATGAAATAGGAAGCTTATCGGATATCGGATCAGAAGTGGATCTATGCATCGGACCAGACACATCGGGGTGAACAATATTTAAAAGAGGTTTATATGTTGTACAAAATGTGAAGACAATATTTAATATTTAAACTAACATAAAGATGGGTGCATGACTTCAAATTTTGGTGGTGTTTTGTGTGTAAACCAAAATATCAAATATTCACAACCATATTCCCACAGACAATATGTCAATAAACATAAGAAATATAGTCAGATTTTTCATGTCTGCTTCAACTTAAAGTTCAATTTCCATGTAAAACTTTGGAGAAAACTTGAAGTTTTACAGATGACATGACATTAAAACTCGATTTAAATGTCAAGCTTTGGCAAAACTTCAAGTTTTCTCCAAAGTTTTATGTGAGAATCAAACTTTAAATTGAAGCAGACATGGAAAATCTGATTATATTTATTATATTTGTTGACATATTGTCTGTGGGAATATGGTTGTGAATATTTGATATTTTGGATGACACACAAAACACCACCAAAATTTGAAGTTGTGCACCCATCTTTATGTTAGTTTAAATATCAAATATTGTTTTCACATTTTGTACAACATATAAACCTCTTTTAAATATTGTTCACCCCGATGTGAGACCGGATCTCAAGGTCCGAAGTCCTGGAAGAGAAGCGTGAATATATGGGATATGACACTCATAACTATTGGGCTAACCACCTGAATTCAATATTTTCGACTGATAATGCTAATATAAGAGAGATTTTGAGTCCATGGATGGTATCATTGGTATGGCACCCTCTAACCCCCCTCACACTCCTTCCAAACAGACCAGATCATGAACTCGGGACAACACAGATTCACCAGTGCCAGTCATACTCTCCCCCACCAAGCCTCGTGAATCGGATTCCAAAGAGAAAAGTGATGCTGATGTTTGGGAACTAGTAGACACTGAAATTATTCGTAAGTCCAACCTACCTGTCTCGCAGTTATTGATTTGATCTAGCTGATGCAGGTCAATCGCATGTACGATGGAAATCAAAAGTCTACAACCATTACAATGTCTCATTGGAGTGCCACTGCCATAGTGATGGCACACCTGACTACATCACTTACACATTTACCTGCCGTGTTGATCCAACCAGCCATCACCACAAGTGAAAATGTATGCAAAGTGGACAAGGAACAAGAACCTTCAGCATGGGGCAACTGAGTGACTATGATTGAGACGTTGCAGAGTTCAATAGCGACTGTCCATACTAAGTGTCTTTGTACTACTCACCCAATGCTAAGATATATCATGTACCCGCGGGTGACCCGCACACCCGCAGGTACAACCCCCAGGTCGACCCGTACCCATACCATTTGACCCAGGATGGGTACGGGCATGACTCTATTTCTCATTTTACCTGTGGGTAGCACCCAGGTATGACCCGGGTTGACCCATGTCAGGCCCTAACACAAGTATTTTGGGTTTTTCGAGATCTCTCGAGTGCACCTATCGGCGTTGAGCCAATATACTGCGGGTAATTTGCTGCCCATTACTGTATCCAACCTATGGCAATTAATTGACAACTTTTCTTTTTTTACTAAAGAGCAATACATTGTGATCGCACTTGCACATGGAGTTCACGGCTTCCTTTTGCATCATACAGATTATATTCGTGATATGTTATGCGTACACATTTGTGATGTCAGTTGTATCTCTAATTTAGTGGTTCTCAAACTCTTAAGGACGCCTTGTCGGGATTTTGCCAATCAAATTCTTCCTGAGCCGTTCACTTTTCGTGAGGTTAAGGCAACTTCTCATCGTGTTGCACGTGCAGGACTTTCCAATGTGCAACATTTGGAGATCTTGAAAAGAAGGGAAAAAGGTAGACATCATGGTCACCGACAGGGCGAGCACGATTGTACCCATCATGCAATATCATTCAACAGCAGTCATGAACTACATCACAGCACATACTTTTGTTTCACTCTATCCCAAGTGGATGAATGATAGGAAGACCTTGGTGAATCCTGCCACATACATGGATGACAGAACCAACATAGCGATGGTATTGGCGCTGACGAAATACATGCAGCGAGGGTTTGATGTAAAGGCAGAGCCTTTTGATTTGGGCATATACAACTGCCACACAAGCACATACTGCCCCCTCACGACAAGGAACACAATTGATGGAGGAACCTTGCATTGGGAGTTCAAACCTACACAGATGGTAGGGAGGACCAAAGTGACATGCAACGAGATGGCAGTGATTATCTGGTGTCTCGGGGGAGAAAATGTGATGAAAGCGGAGAAGTGAACATCTGTGCATACATTGGAGTTGCAGCCTGAGGATAACAGACATTAAAGACTTGAAGATTGATCAGGTTAATCTTAGCACTGATGTATCGAAAAGCATTTGATGGGATATAGAGAATAAAAATATCAGGGACTAAGCAACTAGGAAAAAGAGGAAGACAAGAATGAGTGATGAGAAAGCTGGTATGCAGTAAGAACCAAACAGCGAGCAATGTATGATATGATATCGAGTAGTCTAAGTCTGATGCAATGTCAAAGATAAAGTTGAGAAAGCCAAATCTAGATAAACACACATCCAAATATTAGGACTTAATGAGATTGCGACAGACCAAACCAAGTCAGTCTGGCCTTGGACGGGAGATGATGTCTCACCAATCTTCACATCCCACACCCAGACTGTTTGGTCCCAAGAACCTGAAACGACGTGATAAATCACATGCAACACATTTTCCATCTGGCGACAGTACAACAGAGTAAACCACGTCACTCGCATGGAGTATCTTCGCCATCTGAGGCCAATTTTTGACATGGCCAGCGACGATGTGAGGAATGCAAGGAAGCTTTGAGGCGAACTTGCGAAACATTCTCGACTGGGTTAATATGAACGGTGAAGTGGACAAGTATAAATGGAAAATACTGCATGAAATAGTGATTACGAAAGTTCAGGACAAAACACAGGGTATCCCTGATGGCATCACGAACATGCACAAACTTAGGATGATTCTATGACCATCCCACTCATAAGAATTCATTTGGCAATGAATGAACTGGAACTATGCACCGAAAACCAATCTGCAATAGATGATAGAGTCACTATCGAGTTGCTGAGGCCTTTCATCAAAGCCAGAAGCTCCAACCACCGAAGAAGGCGCTCTCAGTCAAAGAAGGCTTCAACTTCCTTGGCAAACGATGATTCGAAGGATGGAGAGCATGAAGTTGAACAAAGAGCAAATTACGAAGTCAATATGAATGTATAGTACAGACTTCTGCGGGATCACAGAGGACGCACTGGAGACCTCCATCCATAGCAGGGCTCTCCCCCACAGAAGTGAAATTGAACAAAGAGCAAATTCCAAAGTCAATATTAATAGGCAGTACAGACTTCTGTGGGATCACAGAGGACGCACAGAGACCTCCAGCCATAGCAGGGCTCTCCCCCACAGAAGTGAAATTGAATGAAAACTGAATTTGCAAAAAAAAACGATGAGGTCAACACTGGCAACACACAGTGCAATGAGCGGAGTATGAAAAGGCTTGATGGCAGATGTATGACTAATACACCTCAGCAAATCGGGTAGCGGGCTTTACCACTACGTACTTATGATTATTAAGAGGCTGAATAAAAATATTGGGGACTAAAAATGAAAAATTGTGGGATGATAGAAAGGTCCTGGGATGCCCGGAGGGTTGTGGCGAATGTATCATGTGCATGCTTCTCCCAACGCACCATATAAGGTATACACTTCTACAGGACATCTGCCACCACGAATCACAGGTGGCAGTTTGCAAGAGGTTATTGGACCAAAAAAACTCAATGACAATAGTACAGATGTTTACATCAGGTGTGACAACATTAAGATACGGTGTGTTCAATATCAAGCTTGCCTCCCATATGCCTCCAACTCGAAACCGGACCATTCACAGTAATGGTTGCACACATGTTTCTTCTCAAACTGGCTCACCACATCTTCAATATTTCCATCACCGAAAAGATCATTGCCTTCAGAAACAGACCTGGAATGAATATGAATAGTTGAAAGTAAGCTCACAGCTAGGGTACATATGGGTGCATTAATATTTGCGGGTCTGTCAGCAACTCCGTGCTACCTGTGGTAGTACACCATGTGAGCCAACAAAACAAACACAAGTAACTTTTACACACCCTGATAGTCGAAGATATATGCCAATCCACCGGTCTTCTCATACTGAACATGTTGAGTAAATGCCAAGAAAAGTGCTGTACTGTACCTGTCCTTGCCAGGATCAAGGAGAGGATCGCAGTCTGTGTTGTGAATGAATTTCACGAAGGCGTCTGGCCCACCCGGAATAAGTTCCTCTAAGAGAAATGCAGCACTGGACAGAGCATGGTTTAGCACCTGGTTTAGTAATGATCATCTGGCCAGGTAGGAAGGATAGTGTGAGTCCAGCATGAATAAAATGAAGACGTGGAATCTCAAAAGGAGGGGGGTTTGACGAGGCTGCAACACAATGGTTAACGAATGCATAGGTGAGATCTAACAACAAATTTGCCCAGTACAGGACATTGGCTTCCTTGAACTGCTTAGACAATTTGTCGGCCACAGCGTAACATCCAACTTTGTATGTGCCTGCCGATGGTCCATTTGGAGAAAATATCTTGATGAAAGGTCTCTTGACTACGACTTTCTGATGTGGGATTGAACCTAGTCCAGTTGTAGGAATGTGTAACGCGAGTGTTAACCACCCAGGATGGGCAGTCTTGAATCCACCTTGGCCGATGAGATTGGCAGAGGATGTGTCGACTGTCATTTGCCCAGTTGCCAATTCTGCAGTATGCAATGTGAACGACTGATACTTGCTATTTTCCAGAATTTCGGACATTGGGCGAGTAGCAATCCAGTACAGCTGGACATTTTCGTTCTGTAGGTCATACACTTTGAAAGGACATTAGCGCCACGAACAAGATACTCAAGATATGGAACTCACCACTCTGCACATCTACATTTGCTATTCCGCCAGATCGGAGTGCTTCTTTCAACTCATTACGATCAGGTGACCGAAAGATATTGGCAGAAGCAGCTTTCTTTAGCGGTGGTGATGTAGATGAGGATGTAGAACTAAGGCTACTGGCTGTACGGAGGTGGGTCCTCTTTAAGGGAACTTCAGGAAGTGGTACCTCAGTGGCAAGGTAGTCTTCGCCCTGGAAGACATCAAAGGAGGCTTCAGAGATAGCTGTAGTAGCCATTGGAGCTTGGTGGGTAGCCTCATCCTACAAGAGTCTCAAGTCAGCCTAGATGCACAAGAAAAAGTAGTAGCATTACCTCTTCAGCTCACTCAGTCCATTCTTGATATTCATGCCACTGGCTCTCAGGTATGACGACCATGAGTGCAAACTGTTTTGTCTTGAATATCGGTGACTTTAAGCCTTTATGTCCAGCTTGAACACATTGGGAGTAAAAATATGGCTCGCGTGCATGATGACCTGATAGATCCACCCATCGTGAGTCTCGGATGACAAATTCTTCATACTGCCACTGAAAGGCAGGACAGAATGATTGAATCTTCAGATAAACAGTATCAAGGGCTATTTGCATGAGACCTGGGGCGTCAATTTGAGCGTCTATATCCTTTTTTCCTTCACAGATACTCTGGATCGGCATTAGTGGTTGTATTGCAATAGAGTAGTTAAACACATACCCCGAAAGGTGTACCACGCCCACCCTTCTTCCGGCTACCTCCCTCATGAACAGCCAAAATTTCGAGTGAGATTGTTTGAGATGGAGGAGGAGCATAGGATAATTTTGCCCAACGATCACGCTCCGAGCCATAGTGGGCATGGTGTGGCGTATATCCAGTGGAACTACGCATAGTTTGCTGCGATGATGCCTGGGCATGGTGTGGTGTATATCTGGTGGAACTACGCAGAGTTGGCTGCGATGATGCCTGCCACAGTGACAGGAACACTAATGTCAGGCCCTGCAGAAAACTCGGACCAGTCCATGGGACAAAGGTATCACTGGTGGTGGATTGACCGACACTTGGCAAATCAGTCACAAGTTACACCAGGTAATTGATACGACGACTTACATTTTCTTTGGCCTGCTAGTGATGTAAAAGTTTGGTCCTGGACCACGATTCGAACCGAATTTTTAGTGGACTGAACTGCAGTCCAGTCCAACATTCGACCGCTGGGGAGAACTGAACCGGGTGTTCAGTTCAACGTTCAGCAGTCCTTGGACTGTTTTGAACGTGTTCAAACGTGTCTGAATGCATACTTATTTTTTGCATGATGACTCAGCAACCTCATCGATATCCACCATCGATAAGTGTTGCCATCATCACACTTCACACAGATCGGTCGTCGTCATTAAATAACCTTGCAAATAAACTCGGCATCCATCTATTTGATTTAACACTTAATAGAGAAGACCAATAGAGAAGACCTCAACGAGTCATGAGACGACCTACACTGTAAGCAAATCTTTCACGCAATAATATTTGATCAACTACTAATACTTGTGTTGCGAAGACCTCTGATCATGAAGCTCAATAAAGCAAGAACATGGACTGGGACCACAGTGAGTTCCCTGACTTTCTCCCCCTCAATATGTCAAATAACCAAAGTGCTGTAGGTGCCAATGGTGCTCTTCTTGATGCCAGTGATATCACCTGGTTTCACAATGCTGATGATGATACTCCACTCCCTACTTCTCATATGCCTTTGCCACCCCCTGCCATCATGATTGCTGGCTCACATCGCTCTGCTCGTGTTCCACGTCCTGCCTCCAAGCTTGTTGACCCCAACAATGCTGTCTTGGGCAAACGCAAAGCTACTGGACAGCAAGTGGTGCTTACTGAGGATGAATCTGAAGATGCAGTTGCCGAAGACCCTGAATGGGGTGACGCTGACAAAGTACTAACTGATGCAGGTACTGCAACTGATATGGATACACATACTGATGACAACACCCCATCAACATATCAACAAACTAAAGAGATGGGTGATGCAGACCGTGAGGTAAGTGAACTCTCCATTCAATTTTTCGTCCAACTTAACTTATTCTTTGTGCAGGGTGCCAAACGGCGTAAAAGTGACTTGACCGCTGACATTCATACAATATTCACTCACGAGTCGAACACTATCAACCCCGATACTGGAAAGAAAGAGGATGGGCACTGGTGTGAGGTCTGCAAGTAAGTTTTGAATGCTGTGTCGTTGTTGTTACTTATCTAACATCACTTTCGACAGGGGAAATGGTCTTGCTCGGAAGTTTAGTTTTTTGAAGGGCAGTGTCACTTCCCTTCGAGCTCATATTCAGAGGTAAGCTTTCAATTTGCTACTGATGTACCCTACCTCATGTATCTCAGGCATAAGGACCACACAAAGCTCTACAAAGATTGATGCCGCAAGTGCGGAATCCAGCCACATATGCGTGCATTACCTGCAGATGATGTACTGTATGCAATTCATTGTGTCCCACTACTCAATCTAAGATTCTAACAAAACTTTTTTTAACAGCTCTAATCAGAAGACATTGGACAGCGCAGTTGTAAGAGAGCATCGAGCACCAGCATTTACCACTGCTGGATTGCTGGACTACATAGTCAAACTGATTGTTGCTGAAGACAAAGCATTTCAACTCGTCGACAAAGGCGCTTTTCGGCAACTTCTCACATACACTCGCCCTGGCCTTTCTGACAAAGATATCCCTCAATGTCATAAGATATGGGAAGAGATTGTTTGCCTGTGCTCAAATGGTTGAGTCCTGGATCCGCGAGCATCTTAAGGACATTCCTGTGTGAGTGTCCTTCACATTTGATTCTTGGACTTCAGGACAGCAGCAATCCATACTTGTCAGTCACAGGTCACTACATCGACGCACCCACGGACACCCCACATGAGTGGGAACTTAAGTGCGATCAGCTCGCTTTCACTTCCATTGAAGGGAATCACTCAGGAGAGAACATTGGCAACATTCTTGTTCGAATTGTGGACTGTTTTGGGTTGCAAAAGAAGGTAACGTACTTTATTGGTTGTATCATGATTGAACTAATGCAAAATCACATAGATCAGGTGGTTTACAGCTGACAATGCGACGAACAACGATTCAGCCATCAAGACATTTGCCGAAGTGGTTCCTGAAGCCAGGATCAAAGACCATCATCAGCATAGAGTTAGGTGTATGGAGCATGCGATCAATGTGGCTGCAGGTCATTTTTCACAGGCAATTGGACCTATGAGCAGCTCAAAACTTGGTGCTGGCAACGACAACAATGACAATGATGACAATTCTGACACATCTGATGCACTCGGGAAGGCTCTTGCGCTCATTGTGCAGGTGTGTGATGCTACTCATTGTTGAAGTGAATCACTAATATTATTTGACTAGATCTGAAAGTCACCTCAAGCTCGTGCATTTTTCTGCCAATCATGCGCTGAGGTCAATGTGCCTGTCCTTGAGCTTCTACAGTGGGTCCGGACTCAGTGGGCCTCACTCTTCACATGCCTCACTCGCCTTCTTCTGTTGCAGAAGGTGCACTTTTTTTTTCAATAACCAATATCATACTAATCATTTGCAGGGTGTCAACCGCTTCATACATCTTGCTGATGACAGTGATGATGTGCCGAACTTGCGAAAGAAGCAGTATGCTGACTTCAAGTTAAGTCAAAGTGATTGGGTCCAGCTTTCGCTTCTCTGAGAAGTCCTTCAGGTGCAGTGTTAACTTATCTTCGAGTCTTCTATATCTAACTGTTGCACTGTCTTACAGGAGCCTGCCAACACTACTCAAAGTTTTTCTAGTGCAAAGAATCCAACAGTCTGGCGAGCAATTCCAGTGTTGGAGTTCTTGCAGCAAAGCTGGCAAAATATGGCAGATGACGAGAAGTTCTCCAGCATTGCTGATGCATTACAAGCTGGCCTTGAGAATTTGGGGAAGTGGAGCCGGAAAATGGACGAGACGGACGTGTACTTTATTTGCTTGGGTGCATCTCCATATATTCAATAATTCTATCATCAACTGATACATGCACTGAACAGCTCTAGATCCTAACTACAAACTCGAGTATGCACGAGCACAATGGGATGCAGACACCTTTGATGAAGGGAAGAAAAAGCTTGAAGCTGCAGTAAGTCAGGGCTATCATCACAGTCAAACATTGTTACTAACTGTTCAACAGTTCAACTACTATCACGCACCGATTACACCTCAGCCCTCACCATCCGAACCCATTCCATCAGCATCCAGTCAACCACCCACACAATATGGGCACTCGTGGATGTGATCGGCGATTCTAGCTCGCCAATCGTCTGAAAAAAGCATCGCCGATCCACGTCATGAATTCACCCTATACTTAACTAGCCCATTGGAGGAGGTGGCTGATGTGGTTTGCTGGTGGGGGGTAAGTACTCTATATTGTATTGACCGGCCTTTGTTGATGTGCTTGCTCTAGCATCATTCCACCATGTACCCCACCCTTTCACGCATGGCAAGAGATTACCTTGCTATTCAAGGCTCTTCAATGCCATCAGAACAGGCCTTCTCAAGTGGTGGCATGACAGATGATAGTCGACGCAACCGGCTTACACCTCAGGTCTTCGAGGCACTGCAATTGTTGAAGAGTGCCTACCGTAATGGGCATCTACAGGCTGCAACTGATGCAACAGCACATGTCGAGCCTGATGCTAGTGTAGGTGCTACTGACATGTAGAGTACATGTTGTTTTGATATTGCTGCAATCCCAAGTCTCTTTCACATGCATTGAGTCGGAGACGTTCAGCATCCAAATGCCAAACTGAATGTGAACTGAACATCCCAAATGTGTTTGACTATGTTCGGTCCAGCGTTCAGCACCTGTTCATGGCAGGGTGATACTTAACTATGTCCAATAATACACAGTACATTTTGTAAGTTTGTTTCTGAGCTACCAACATGAAGCTTCATGAAGCTTAATGTCCTCAACAGCACATCACACATGTCACTCGAATGATACCAGGCACAATGCCTCAATGGTTCCAAAGATCGGGATCTCTCTTGTGATCTCGATGTTACTGGAAATGTTAGTATTTCAGGACCACATTGGAAATGTTAGTATTTTTAGGACTGGAGTGCAGTCACCAATGAATTTGATTGCTTCGTCAGAACATTGTAAATAGATCACAGTTTAAATTAAAAAGTGCCATTCACAGCACCCCACTTTGAAAGGAATGTATCATGGAGATCCTGCCACACGGCTGCCTGACACTTTGCATATCCTCTGATACCTTCAACCTCTGCAAGCGCGAGCCCTGTGCGATGATCTGCTTGTGCATCCCACCATGTAGCATGCCACAAGAGATATGCCACGACACGCCTCATCTCCTCTTGAAGAAGTTGCACCTCCTCGACCCAACACATGGCTCGTGCGCGAGACTTGCACCATTCAATTCTTAATGCTAGTAATATCTAGGTATCAGCAATTGCAAAATAATAAAAGAAAACATGACCTACATTCGTTGAGCACCGTCTCCCCTTCAGGAGCGTCACTAGCTATGCTGCATGCCTTCCATATCCAGGACAATGTACGGTTGCCAGACGATTGGCCTGGCTTGCCTTGAGACATCTCGCGGATGTTGTCATTCTCCAATTTCGGGAACTCCTCCTTCCATGTAGTGCGAGACAGAGCAGGGGAGAGACGTTTGAGTGCAGACCATGCTCTGTGATACCTTGCAGCAGCAACGGACACATTCGACTTGACCTTGTCAATGATGGCTGACGCGCGTGTGTTAGCTCGCTGGCCACAAATATGGGTATCTTTGAACTTGTAAAGATGTGTGCATAGGCGCAGGTGACATCGGAGGTCATCCAGCGCATCATATGCCTGGGCCCTGCGAAGCTCCCACTCATACTGACTCAGTGTGGCATCACATTGATGCACTGGGTCTGTTGCATCTCCATAGATCTTGGAGGGAAGCCACAGTTCGATCTCGTGAGCCTTCTCTTCAGTCAAATGGGTCCTGCTTGTTGGCATATCCAATGCGCAAAGGCAAGCAACGACCGGCATGTACAAAAGTTGGACCTTGCTCCATTGTTCTATTTTGCATTGTAAAATGTTGCCCCGTTCTTGAAGCTTCGTGCGCTGTAAGTCAGTTGGATGCCCTCCCAGAAGCTCAATATCTCTTGCAAGCTGACACCTGCAAAATAGCCTCAACATATATATGAAACTTTGACAAGTGAAACTTACTGCTGGTCCTCGATCTCCATTCCTGATGAGATTAACACGCTGTGTGAGACTTCCTCATGCAGCGAGTCATCCATACCATGCTCGAGGTTGTCAGCTTCTTGCTGAGAGAGACTGAATTGTACAGCTGCTTGTGTTAGTGCTAGAAGAAAGTGAGTGTTTCGCATTCCTCGAACAACCTAGTAACATATGTTTGCCTGTAAGCGCAAAAGGATGAATCTGATTCCCATCGTTCCACTGCCAACCTCCATTCCGCCACCTGTTCGGGTCTCTCGTGTTCAAGTGCATTGTTGAAGTCTTTGAAATCGCATACATGCTGGTCGCATTCAGGAACAGCAGCTTTAAGCTTTCGTGATAGACTGACACCTAAATAATGAGTCAGATGTAGTTAAACGAAGACATATTGAATGACTTACCCATATTAGTGACCTTCTTCCAATTAAAATCACCGAAATCATCAGGTAACCGACACGAAAATGATAAAGTTTTGTAAAGCTTTACCTGGCCTGACATTTGTATAATATCCATCAAAATTGCAGTTCAAAAGATAAAGCTTTATATACCCGGACTAAGTTGGATGAACACTGCCAACAGTACAATTATGACAGACTACTTGCAATTACTTGCCATTTATCACCAAACCGGCAAATGTTTGCAATCACTTGTCAGTGCTATCAGCTGTTACATACTTCGCTAATGGCCTGGGCTGCATACAATTTTTTCACTCATTTGTTGGTCTGGTTTTTTGAAATTTTTGATAAAAACAAAGTAGCAAATATACATAGGTAATTCTACAACAAATGGAAGCAACAAGATAAGAAAAGAGTATAGACGAGGAAGTAGGGTCCAGATCCAGATCCATGAAGGGCCACAACCATGAAGAAGGACCAGGACCGCGAGGAAATACCAGGACCGCGAGGAAGAACCAAGACCGTGAGGAAGGACCAGGGCCGCGAGAAAGGACCAGGACCGCGAGAAAGGACCAGGACCATGACGAAGGACCACGACCACCAGGAAGGACCGAGATCACGAGGAAGGACCAGGATTGAGGAGGTACCATTGGGGGCCAACCATTGAAGGGGAGTTAGGACCATGACGAAGAACTACGGAGTGACCTTGAGTGAGGAGGGCAAAATAATAATAATAGCGGTGGTAGTGGTTGAATGGGAAGTAGCGGTAGAAAGTTGAACTTGACGAAAAAATTTCAGATGGCTCACTTACATAAGCTTCCTTTCAGGCCGAGCATTGTGATGCGCTGGATTACAATGTGATGCCATTGGTTACCATTCGGTCGAGAAATGCTGGTGCACTTGCGTGATCAAGACCTATTTTCATCTGAATTGTAGGTTTCTTGTCATATTTTATCCTTGAATTTCAGTTTGTTTTTCTTGTATATTACTTTATCTACCTTTGTTTTTGCATGTAATCTCGTGAATTTCTGATCTGATATTACCAAATACAACTAGGAAAACCATCCCCTCGCCGATTTTCTGATGATGGTTGTCCAGAGTATCGCGGCGTGATCCTGGGCCCATCTCGCGAGTGCTCGTAGCAACTGGATTGATGTTGGCCCAGCCATGATCAGGTGCCTCTCCATCTGTCCGCCCCATGCCTTTGAGGAGGTTGTGAGAGTAAGTAATCTGGCAAATTTCAATGTGCGCAGGAAGATGGAATTTTGGCACAAGAAATGTGATGGTCTTGTTATCGTGGTGGCAGAGATGTATCGTAGATGGGTATCGATGCATGCGCTGCCACAAATTCATACTCCATTGACAAGTGATGTCATAAGATATGTTCAGGACCGCAATATCCCCCGTGTGTTGCATGGTCGAAAAGAAGAGATAATCCATGTTCACGTACCTATAAAAAAGCAAGCATCAGTAACAGAGTTAAATCAGGCATGTCATCAACTACATACTTTTTGCCTTTTTGCAAGTCACCGACACCACAGGGCCGTTTGAAATTGTGTCGCGAGCAGTCAACGGTTCCTGCTCCAGTGGCTGCCAGGCCCTGAGAGTTTTTCGTTTCCGCTAAGTTGACTGCATTATGGCTTGCGCATGTGCTTTTCTAAGTTGCTGTCAGACAGGATTCTCGTTTAAATTGAATGACTTCACCTCCTGCGGACATCTCCCGACATCAGTAAGAAATGTCTTGTATTGTTGTTCCTTCACGAAGTATGCCCAGCCACAGTTGAGCCCAGGGTCCATTTGATCTGAAGAAACATTCTTGCATGCCAGACGGAAGTTGGCATCAATCGCGAGAAACAAGGCATATAACCAGCTGGATAACATTGATCAGCGCGATTCTAACAATACAGGTTGAAGCCCATACCGAGTTTCTGACGGGGCACTCTCCCAGTTCTCAGGAAGATTCTTACCAGGCTGAGGACAAGCCAGACACAAGACAGCACATGAGCCTTGCTCTGTTGCTCCAGTACCTGCAGGATCATGTCCCCATCCAAAGTGTTTGAGCAAAGTAATGTTTCGCCATTCCCGTATCATTCGAAGTAGAGCGTCATAATGATCCTATCATTGAGTGTCAGATATTTACAGAACCGCAAATAACAGTTATCTTACTTTCACAATGACCACACCTCTATTGTGAGTAAGACGCGTTAAGGTCTGTCAATATTCGAACGTGGAGACCTTAGATTCAAATGAGAGAATGTGAAAATGTCGAAGAAGCTTGAATGTTGCTGTGGTTTTCGGCTCTAGGACTGTTGCAGGGAACCATCGAATGTGAAGCAGCTGGGTGGTGGGACTTTGAGTGGTCTCGCACCCGCAGAAGTCTAAATTGACTTCATGAATGCCATTCACGTGGAGTATGACGAAATCCTGGCAAGCAGCTGGGTTGTAGCAGCACTCTTGGGTGGGGTGTCCCAGTTGAATTCACAGTCCAAGAGATTTGAGTGTGACATCGTGAAAAAACACGTCCTTCCAATGCTAAGAGATGTTCAATGATAATTTTTGTGAAAACGTTCAAGCGGCTTACCTTAATCCTGTGCAATGGATGCTCATGGTGCCTCTCCATGGTGCATGACTGACAGTATAGCTCGGTGCCAAAACAATCCTCACAACGAAATTCAGCTGGCAAAGAGCAGCCATAAGTTCCATGGCAAGTGGCTTGAGATATGAAGTCTCCACGTCCTTCCAATCTTAACATCTCCAGGATAAAGGCATCTCGTTCGGGAAGCCATGATGCGAGTGGATAATCCTGCACAAAATTAATTCACAAATCCAAATTTTCAGTGCGCTTGTGACTTACCCCTGCAGTGCATTTTCGCTTTCTAGTATGCTCAATGTTGGTATCTTCTAAGTAGTTTTCATGTGCACCATCCATGATGTTGAAATCCAAGTCATTGAAAGATTGAGGATCACACACTGGTAAAACTTGATGTTCTGTGCTTGTGGATGCTGAACCTTTAAAATATTCGACTTGTGCAGATAGTCTACTGCAACTCGTATCCTGGGTCTGAGTGAATGAAGTGTGTTTGTGCTTGGAGGTTGACGGCTGAGAAGCTTCCTCTCTCTCTGTCGTGGCTGAGGCAAGTTGACGAGACTGTTCAAGTTCTCGATTAAGAACATAAAATTTCTCCCACATGTCTTTGCTGTATTGTCGTAGACATTTGCTAACCATGATCATTGGAATGTGGTGGGTAGATGTATTGCTAGTAAACATGAGGCAAACACAAGTCGGTCATACGCTAGTACATCCATGTGAACATGACTCAAACACGGAGGTTTTTCTGATACATTAACTCCCCTGACGAGTGAGCAATGCAAAGTTCTGAAACTCCCCCCCAGTGAATCAAATAATCAATCTCTTCAAGATATGCAACTATGGTGCTGAGAAATCGAGACACTGAGTTAGCTGTACGAAACTCATCCGAAATTGGGCCACAAAAATTAAGGATTTGATCTTGCACATGAATCGTGTGATTTAGAATATCTTGAACCTTGAGCATCGTGTTTGAGATAATGGTGACATCACCATTATCACCACGGTCATCGGTGTATTTGATGCTTTTGACATATTGAAGGAATTTGTCCTCGACAAATTTCTGGGGTTCACAATCATTGGTCAATGACAACATCTCGTCCTTGATACCTTTGAGAGCAAGGAGGCACCCAGGAAGATCTGATCTGTTGAATGTTAATTGTTAATTTTATGTTCATCATATCAGTATCTATTTATAAAACATACGGTGTCTCATTCTCATCATCGCTAGATTCATCAGTCTCCGACAGCTCAGTGTCACTCTCATCTTCATCGTCACAGCTTTTCAAGGCTCTCACAACTGCCTTCTCAAACTGTCGGATCTCCCGCAATGGCTTTGTTTTTTCAACACGAAGTTCTCATTGTCTTTTGAGTATACAGTCTCTGTTTCTTCAATTGGTTGCCCAGTCAGGAACATTGCACCACAGACAATTAATTAAAGAAACGTACTTCGCATAGTGGCGCTGGGACTTCTCACAAGCGGCTTGTAGTTTAGCCTGATTTGTTTTATGTATAGGAGGATGTGGCATGGTGTGAGATTAGTAACTTTAGTTGGTTGTTGGTTGAAAAGAAGCGCAAAGGTTCTGGTCAGACCATAACTCAATTGAACCAAAGCTACTTGCGCAATGGTCAGACCATTTGAAACTACATGTAATACAATTCTCGCAATACACTGACCAAAAGTATTAATTGATCCATTTGAATGAGGGTCTTATTTCTCTACAAACATTATGAGTATACACAGTCCGACATCATATCTTGAGCACGCGGGTTTTGGTCAGACCACAAAGCATTGGTGTAGTAGTACCATATCAATTAAGCATGGGTTTCGGTCTGACCAAAAGTGTTAATTGATCCATTAATGAGGGTCTTATTATTTCTCTACAAATGTTAAGAGTATACACAGTCCGTAGGACTGTGTATACACGTTTGTAGAGAAATAAGACCCTCATTAATGGATCAATTAACACTTTTGGTCAGACCGAAACCCGTGTTTAATTGATATGGTACTACTACACCAATGCTTTGTGGTCTGACCAAAACCCGCGTGCTCAAGATATGACGTGTTATAATGAATTTATGGTGTCTTATTGCTCAAGCGCTCAAGTTCAAGCTTAACATGGTGTACATAAGTGAACATGTATGTACGAGATACTCCATTAAACTCTCCCTAAGTGAATTTTCATTGCTGCAATGTTAAAACCTGATATGATCAAGATCCCCACGTCAGTTTCAAATATGTCATACTGAATCAACATGTACAGTGTCATTTTCACAGTTGTCATTTGCTGTAGTGTTTGTTGTGAGTGACATAGACTCAGTGGAGGATGATGCGTGACATGCAGAAATATGTGCGCGGCAGACATAACAAGTCTGACGATGAGTACGGAAGATGCAAGCAGGACAGCCTTGCAAACCAGGTGATGGTAAGGGTGCATCGGCAAGTGAGTAGCCATCGTGAGCTTTTGTCATTACTTGGTGTCATCGGTCAATACATAATGCAGATCTAGTAGGTAATTACATACCATCTTGGTCGTGAATCAATTGAAGCGCTGATGCGAGCTCGCTCATAGCAAATACTGGCCCATAGTATCCAGTTTCAGATGAGCTGGGGGAGTCATGGACTGTGAATTTCAAGTATGTGAGCTGGCAGGTATCTGTGTGCATAACATACCTTGGTCACAAATTAATTGTAGTGCTGCTGTGAGCTTGCTCATGGTAAACACTGGCCCAAAGTATCCATTTTCAGGTACATTGTATGAGTTGGCAGTGTCAGGGTCCATCATTTGGAGCAAGCAGGAGTGAAAATTTCAACTGAGATGATTATAGCATGATTATATGAGCCTAATTTTAGCTCCGATGCATTGTGATTGGACAACTGACTAACCTCGTGTGCATTTGAACTTTAATTTTGGGTTGGTGGGCGCAAACTCTCCAACTTGTGACACGACTGTCAAAAAGACCGAGGTAAGCCATGACATACATTTCATAAATTAAATTAAAATGACATTGATGTGGTGGGGCAGATGCCGCCTGCAGAATGGACAACACCGGACCAGAAAGCTTTTCTTGAGTCGAAGTACAACAATTTTTTGAAGGCACAAGTTGGGGCGTCTGTTACGCAATTCTGGGGCCCTGTGTTCTCGGAGTGGTTCAGAAGGTTCCCTGAGGAACTTGCAATTTTTGGTGAAGTGCCGGAAGTCTTGTCAGAAGAGCAAAAAGAGGCGAAAGGCACAGCTGTTGAACTCAGGCAAAAGGTGAGTTTATCATTTCATGAGAATCGATTAGACCCACTTACCATTTCATAAGAAAATCAAGAATTGGTTTAACTACCATTCTCAGAAAAGCAGCTGCTCTGCTGTAAACGCAATGGGCAAAACAATTCGGCAGATGCTCACCAACAAAGCCAAGGGCACGCGAATCCACACAGAGGCTGAAGTATTCTCGAAGATGAGGTATGCGGATGACGTCCAGGCGCAAGTGAAGGAGAGCATCGCTTCAGGCAGCCTTACCAAGAGTGAAAAGTTGGGAGCTGTGAGATTGATGACACGCACAGCTTATGAGGATGCGAGTGAGGATGTTAAGGCCTTGTGTAGGGCAAAGGTTCAGGCAGAACGGGATGCCAAGGCATCAGAAGTCCTCAAGTAGACAGATGAGGCCCCTACCAATGCGCAATATGCTAGGTACGAACCATTCTACAACACTCCCACTTTAAGTTGCTCAATGGGTGATTTTATAGGGCACTTACCGAATGTATGGGTCCGATTTCACAATTCATGCAAGTCATTAAAGACATGACGGGTTGGGAATGGAGTCTGATCGGTGCTGGACCAGACCCACGTTTGGACGGAAATATAAATGCTATGAGGTAGATAAGATGTTGTTGTTGATTTGCGAGCACGGGAATCTCACAGGCACTGCAGTTACCATCATCAACAAAAGAAGCACTGGCATGTATGGCCGGTTTCTGCCTTGTGCGGCTTACAAACCACGAACTGACTGGTATGTGGTATTGTACAATTTGTAGCACATATACAAGTAGTAGCAGCTATGTTTGAAATGTAAAGTTTCTACACAAATTGTGCAAAGCTTGTCCAGCAATCAACAGAAGCGCGGAGGTATGTCTGAAAATGTGACGTGTATGCAAGTCGTAGCAGACATGTACGGAATGAAAGCTTGTACGCAAAAATGTGTTAAGCTTGTAAATTACTAACAGATGTGTGGAGGTATGCATATATACTTGCAACGTTGTGTGTCCTATACCAGTAGGAGTCTTAAGGCCTAAGGCCCAGGTGATGCAGGACATCCGGACTATTGAAAGAGTGCTGTGCTGAATGACCTGCCTGGGCCACTGTGCGGACGATGAACATGTATCAAGCAAACATAGTATTGGGTAGGGTAGTACTGGAGTGCCTCCGGGGTCAGGGATGCAACCATGATCAGAACTCATCAAAACCCTCTAGCTCTTCATCACTGTCCTCACCATCCTCTGCACCCAGCTCGTCATCAATCTCCTCATCACCTTCAGTGGCTTCAAAACCTTCCCCATCCTCGCTGTATCCGTCCTCATCTTTTTCTTCATCAAAAACTTCCCCTTCAACCTCCTGTATTCCAGAGTAGCCATAGTCGTTGTACTCCATGTCAGACTCGTCACCTTCATCCAGCTCCGTGATTTCGCGTCGAGCTGCAGACCCTTCCCCATTGTCCATTAGACCACTTTCGGGCTCGTCACCTGTATCAAGCTCCATGGCGTTGCCTACAGACTCTTCCCCATCATCACTCGTATCACTTCTGTCGTCATCGCTGCCGTCCTCACCGGTATGGACTACTGCAGCGCCGGCCTGATGTGTGTCCAGTTTGTCACGATCATCTAGAAAAATGTTGGTTGCTTTGCGAGTTGTTCGATGGCCAACACCACCCCCTCGAAACCTCATCAGCATGTCTCGATCAACAAAACTATTAGAAATTAGCGACATCATCCACCCATGACAATATCACCTACATATTTAGATAGAAATAGGTCCAATCTTCATCGTTGTCACTGGGATGACGGGCGATTGATGGCGACATATATTCGGAGGTATGGCCGTGAGCAAAGGCTGGGATAAGATGGATTCCATGGATGATATGTTTTGGATCGATGAAGCCAAATGCACCAGGATCTTCGCTTGGGATGAAGCCAAGTCGGTGTAGTCGCTTCGCCTTCCAGCCTGAACGGTGACTAAGATCACGGCCGAACCAATGTACCCAAGCGAAGTCGACTTGGATAGGATCATATGACGATGAGTCGACGGCGGGATCGTGATAAGAAACCAGTGCATGAAACACACCAATAATCCGGGCATACCAATAAGGATGGCCATTGGCCTCGTCATCCTCATGGGACAAGACCATGATATCAGCGTGAGTCCTGGAGTTGAGCGAGTCTTGTTCTCGTCGTAGATCGTATGTAGTGTAGTTCACACGGATCACCTTATGTCGATAGATACGATCATTTACCAACATCAGTTGGCAACGCTGAGCAGAGGAGAAGGAGACCTCATCGCCATCATAGTCGTGTCCGAGCAGTCATGCAAGGATGTGATCTTTTAATCTGGGAAGAAAATCCTAGATATTTTAAAATACTGTCTGAGTGACGAGGATAGAGGTTGGAGTCGGGGGTACTCACCATGAAGGCAGGATCACCGTCGTTCTTCCTCAACCATTGAGAAAGACTCAAAAAGTGGCGCGCCCCATTGGAGATGTGGTAGTGTACTCGAGGGTCAGTGTGCGGTAGCCGTTCTGAATCTTCAAAGCGTAAAAATGGCATCTCTATTGCATCAGTAGCAATGCTCCGCCTCGTCTGGACCTCTCTGTTGTGCAATGCAGCGGTTTTCTTCTTTGTCTTGGCCTTATCCTCAGGAATCCGCGTTCTCATCCTGAAAAGGATTCTCTCCCGTCGTTGTTGCTTTGCAATTCCAGATATGTATCGATACTTGCTCACTCGCGGGTAAAAGCGCTTGACGCGCCTGTGCTCAAGTTCGCCCTATGAATCAATATTAGCGCTAAATCAGTTGCTACACAGATCACTACTAGTACTTACCAACTGGGTTGTAAAGTTATCCGTTGTCCCAAATTGTCTGATGGTATTAACATAATCACCCAGTGCGTGAAGCTTATAAGTCCGCATATTAAACTCCCTGCGCTTTGAGCGTCTTTGAGGTTGTTGTTTTACCGAGTTTTCGTGCGCTTGACTGTGGGGCAGACTCTGGGCAACCTTTCGTGCTTGGCGACGGCCACGAGCGGCTTCTTCGCTTGGGAGATCTCGAGTGTCAAAAGTTGCTGTCTCGCTGGAAAAACGTCTCAAAATCTTGCCGATTCGAGTTGTGGATGTATCGAGGAAGGATAGGGTAGTGTCCGTGTGCAGGCGCAACTTTGCCAGTCCATGCCACGTAGCCAATTCAAAAAGAAGGTCAAGGACAAGGGTGTTAAATGGTTCTGGGAGAAGCTCTTCAAACACCAGGATCGCACACTTAAAAACCTTGATTAGTATGCTGTACAAGTACCACTATGAAAAAACATACCTGTAAAAGGTCCTCGAAGTCCCGCGCTGCGAGCTTCTTCATGCTAGAGGCGTTTTCAGTGAATTTTCGGATTGTGCCTCTGCTAAATGTGGGCACTTGGCGATATCTGTTGATGGATATCAATACAAGCAATTGAAGTAGTTAAGCAGGAACTAGTACCATCTATTCAGCTGTTGTATCATATCATGACCATATGCATAAAGAACGTGGATGAGATGTGTAAATGTAGCCTTCCAGACTCCCAGTTCGAATTCGTGAAGCAGATCGGGGACAAACATGGTGTAGAAATTGAATCCAAAGCGTGCGAGCCGAGTTGAAAATGCATTCTAAGTAAATCAGAGAGATAAAATAGAACATAGTATAGGAAACATACTGTGCTGGGGACAAGAGACTCGGGTGCAAGCATCCGCTTGACAAAGATGCTGGTGATGTTAGTGCCCTTGACATACAACCACTCCCGAACCTGTTTGATTATCGTCCATATTCTGTGCCCGTCTTCACACATCTTTGTCTCGCGCCACCGTCTGTCAGCTTTGTTTCCAAGACCACCTATCTTTATCTTGGGGATCAGGCACCGTGGACACGGGCATTGAGCAAGGAATTTAATGGATGCGAGAAGTGTTCTGATCAGGCAAGATAAATAAACTGAAATTGCAGCTTTGAAAGGCCCTTACTTTTCAGGGTAATCTGCCGAGTAAGTAAAGAAACGAGGAAAGACTCTGCGGGAGACACCATCAAGACATTCGATAATGATCCCAAACTCGTATGCGTGCATGAAGTCGTCATCAAGGAGTAACAGCCAGACAGCTTGCATCAGCTCGTGCCGACAGTGACTTAGGACTTCAGCTGTCGCAGCCTTCTTGAATACATGTTGATAGAAATCTTGAAAAGTATCTGTAAGCTGGCGGAAACATGTCAGGCATGGATAGAGCAAAGCAACAAAGCTCATACCTTGGGAATGTATGCGAGATGGTGCACCGCAAACGATGTTGGCTTAACTCGCATGTACTTCGACTGATTGCCTAGGAACAGATAGATAGGCCAAAGTGATGCAGTCCCGAAGTTCGTGAGATGGGTGGAGTCTGACCAGAACATCACCGCCACAATCACAGTCTCGAGTGTACAGCCACCTTCTCGGGGTTGCGAGCGAATTTTCTCATGCTCGACAAGCATTGCAGGTGAATTATAGATTTCTCCATAAATTTTCTCCGCAGGAATGTCGTCAGAGGGCTGGTAAAACATGTTGAATGGGGTGAGATGGAAATGTTCTGCAGCTGATTCATGGAATGCAGCTTTGACGACTTCGAGAGGCTTGCGATAGAATAAGCCAGCAACCTCAAACAGCGGGGCTGCATCCTCAGTTGCATGCCGAACTCCATCGGCTGGGATGCGGATTTTCACACCAGTTTCTATCCATCCGTCTGATGCAGAGAATGAAGAACGGATGTCTTCAGCATCACCCTGATAGTTGTCAAGGCGACTGCTTTCCTTCAAGGCCCCAAACTCCTTGAGTTCAGCTCTGTCGAAGTCCGCTGCAAGGATGACCTCGTTCACGAGACGATCTAACTCGGCCAGAGATTTCATACTGGAACCACTATAAAACCAAGACATGAGACGAAAGGTTGTTGCGTTGAGAAATGGTGTGAAGTAATTTGTCGAAGGAGCTTGAGTTGATCCACCAAATCCTGACCACCATTGTCGGGCCCCGAGGCTGTCCGGATTCTTGGTAAATGTTGGTGAGTCAGCCAGATGTGCCACCAACGTGAGGTTATCGGGGTTGAATGATGGAAGTGAGTGTACATATTGGCGATATATACCATAATGATCTCGTGGAGTGCTGATAATGACAGGAGTTGGGGGCAGTGGATCTATTGGTTCGACCTGTTCTGCATTTGCATCCTCCGAGGTTGAGGACGATGCTGCTACCACTGGGATAGGCGGTAAGTCATCGCGGAATCTTCTCGGTAGGCGGCGGCGGCAATTTGGTAGACCTGACAAACGATATGTGGCAGGTGGTGATGGAGACCTTGGACCCGGATCCTGAATGAAAGACATCAGACACAACAATGTGAAAAATGAGTGAACATACCGGTGGTAACTCTGGCTCAGCAAAGTGTTCACGCAAGTCCTGGCGAGCCATCAACTCTGCTTCTGCTTCTTCCCGACGGCGGATTTTGACTGCTTGCTGAGTTTCTCGGTCATGTCTTCTCTTCGCTAGAGAAGAGGCGACAGCATCAGCTATTTTGCTTGAACAAGACCGTTTGTGGGTACTGAGAGCCCCGCGAGAATCAAACTCTCGACGACAGCCCCTACATGTGTGGGCCATGAAGAAGAAAAATAGAAAAATATAGACGTGAAATTGTGCTAGCATAGACTCAGCCTGGAGAGGGAAGCTAGGGAGTTGAATGGCTTTACAGTGTTTTGCAGTCAGTGGTCACTGTGCGATGACATAATCAAGTTCCGGGTTGAAGTTTGTTTTGGCGTGACAACCTGAAGCATCTGGGTCTCGATGAACTCACTGCAAAGGCCAGATAAATGGCAAACCAATGAAATTTCCAGTATCTACCTGCTGCGGTGTGTAAATCTACAACAAATCTATGGAGAGAAGACACCTGTTCTTAGGGAATGGATGTCTCTGCGGGGAATTATGAATCTGACAGTGCAATAAAAATGAGCTATTCTCCTGCAATGGAAACAGGATGATGAAGAGGGTAGGTAAGAAGCAGGTATGTCCGCGACAGTAGCTATTGAAATTGTGTTGTCCGAACGATACATTGGAAAATGGGTTAGAAACTTACAAGGTGGGTCAGAGAGGTAGCTCGGCACAATCCTTATGCTCTTTCCGAATGTCTCCCTGTAGAGAGACATCTTCACGAGCCACGCTTGTGAGGATGAACCAGTTTAAGGCATTCAGACGAAGCCATCTATATAATTTGTATTCTGAAATGAAAGAAATGAGTTGGTACATTCAACATACGTGATTGAAAATACTTACCGTGATAATCAAACCCGAAATGCTCCACAATCTGCACCCCAGGGTCATTCGCCATCTCAAACACAAAGTTTCACACAAGGATGAATAGCACAGCCTGGGACATATCCAAACCCGGTCAAAATGATCGTGAATTAATACTCAGTGTGCAGCTGCGTACCTTGAACTCTGCCAACGCAAATAGCATCCCTAAGCACATCTGCACCCATTCACCAAGTTCGTACAGATCAGTGATGATAGCGGTGGAATTCACTGTATTGGCGAAGCCAAACAACCAGCTTGAGATTTGGACGGGGTGAAGGAGTTGCTATGACGACATTTTCGATAGAAATGTCTGATTTAGCGTGTTGTGACCTCGAGAGAACGGAGGCGGTGTCAACGTGTGTATGGGTAGGAGAAGGCATTGTACTTGTGAGATCCGATCTAACAGGATGAAGGTGAACCATGCCATAATCACCACTAGCATGGTCTGGTTCTGTTTCGTCTAGACTGCTGTGACCCCCATGGGAACTCGCAAAAATTGTGTTGCTAGATTTTCGGTGATGAACCGAGACCTTGTCCATTGAAGAACTGAGCAAATGCAAGGACGAATAACCGTTGTGTTCGTCTGGTTTGTTATCCTCAAGGACAACGAGGTAGCAAAATGTACTGAAGATTGAGTTGATAAGGTGGGAGATGGAGGAACAAATAGAGAGGCACCGTCGTTAGAAGAGACCACTGTGAGGGATGAGGAATGAGAGTGGGGAGTCAAGTGAGACCAGATGCTGTGATTGAGGGCTCGGAGGTCCTCATATGCGTGTTGCTCATTTGCTTTGACGATACACTTGCAGGAAATAGAGACTTTGGGGAGGCTGGTCACCTTGCGAAGCGAGGTCAGTGCGTAACTTAAATTTTGCCACACATGTAAGCTCACGTACCAAGCAAGAATATTCCGTGTCCATCATGGTTTGATCACTATCCCCGTTATCATCCGAAATCTTGGGTCCATGTCAGCAACGCCGACCCCTAGTACCAGAAGATTCAGAACCGAGACACATGATGGCCAAAATTTTGATCCGTCCATGAAACAAGCCATGACAAACAGTCACACTCACTGATTTCGGTGCAGATCTTTGGAACACAGTCTGGGGTTGAATATTAATGTTGATTATAGCTAGTACTGTACCACTTTTGCATCATTCACGCACCTAAACTACCAACCATGTCATCTGAACTGTCCAACACTTCGGACACATCAACTCATTTTCAAGATCTGCTTAAGGACCTGAACTTTGGCGTGAAAAGTGGGCGTAAAAGAAAGCTCTGGTAAATTCCAAATCTTAAATTGTAACATCAACTCACCATGAGACCAGTGGTCCAATTGAACCGTACTTACACGCAGCTCGGTGGTTTCCTCTCGCGATCGACCCATTTTCTTCGCTCGAGAATGTCTTGTATGAAGGCATGGAAGCCGAATTCTCTGAATTGCGGGAAGACAACACAGATCGATCCGAAGAAAGTTCAAACAGGCAAGTCCAGTGCGGCAGCCCGAGCTACCCAACACTCTGATATTTTACCTGCACAGTTGTGAAAAGGAGTTGTGCATAAAGCAGTACAGTGAACTCATAAAGCTTGTACCGACTTTCAGCGACATCATATCAGGGTTTGAGAAAGTTCCGTCGGCCATGGACAACTTCATTCATGCGGTAATGCAATCATGCACATTATTTGTGTGTTATTTGTCTGACAGCTAACCAGCTCTCCTCTGCCACAAGTGATGCACGATCCGATGACACTGGGAGTCTGATGCGAGAAGGCCTCTCATATATGCTCAAGAACCCTGGAGTAGACCAGTTCAATCCCCCCCTGCTGAGACAACATGGAAAAATCGCTCGTGGATGGAACCACCCTCAGACTGCGTGGCTACTGTGCCCGATGCGGATGCTAGACACATTTGACAGCAATCCCTCGTAAGTTGTGTAATTATTGCTCAGCCGCTCTCACAAAACCAGCTATAGGTCCTTTATGGATAAGGTGAAGGAAGGTGAAATTATGATCACAGCTGCAAAGCTTCCCACATTTCTATATGACGAGTCTATGTTGGACCCCACAAGGAAAAGACAAGGTTGTCTTCAGGGATACTACCTCAAACGTGTATGTTTTTTTCCCTATTCTTCTTCTGTTCTGTCAATGTCGTTTTACAATCCAAGCAGGTCTTTCGTCACATATTCACTGGGCCATCAAGCGCCATTTCGGCGAATGCTCACAAAGGCAACAAAGCTCCAAAAGGCAACAAAGCTCCAAAAGGCCGAATGCATGGTATGACATCACCACTCCCAAGGGCAATTGCATATGCCGCTGTACAGGTAAGTCATTGCACGAAATTTACACACTGAAACCAACTGATGACCGAAGGCATATTTCCAGCTTAGTTCTGCAACACAATGGCGCCAGCAAATTGAAGATTTTGACCTTGTTCTTTTCTATGATCGCGTGGTTGATATGTTCGAAGGCAATCCCAACGGACAATGGGTTGAAGAAACGCTTATTCATTGGAAGTCGTAAGATCATTAACTTTCCTCTGTGTACTGATCCATATTCTGAATAGAGAAACTCCTGGACTCCTCCATCGTGGGCACTCCAGATCTAGGACAGATGCAGGACTTCATGCATTTGACGACAGCGAGGATGATATGGACAATTTTTTTGATTCTGATGAGCATTCTCCTAACAACAGAGAACAAGGCTCAGAAGGTGGGACCGGGAGCAGTGGTAATGCAGACAACTTGCATGGTATATAATTTTCCCCGCATTTGAGTTGTGCCTATAACTAATATACATTCTGACCCAACAGCGCTGGGTGGTAACGGGTCAGTACACCAGGTAACACCAACAGCAGCTCAGCCGACACGCGCAGCACGCAAGAAAAAAGGATGCCGTTGACTCCAATTCAATTTTGTTGCTCTTAAGCGCACATACTTATACATATATCATCCTGATATGAGATTCTTCTATCGCAGCACCATTATATCATCTTGTAGTGCTTTTTCACCGCTTTCGTTTGTTTTAACATCTGTATGACTTGCTACCTCTGAGTTTTTTTGAATTTTCAGTCTGTACTTGGTCAGTACTCACACATCTATTCCTGACTTGTGTTCATAGTCTAGTGTACTCTATGTAGCTACTGCATTGTAATGTTATGCAACTGCGAGCTGCATGACCAACTTGCCAACCGATCAAATTTTAGGTGTCGTCACATCTCGTCACATGTATTCAGATACAAACGTGGTAAGTGGACTTGCTCTTCTCCGCTCGGATCATCAACATAGCACCACAGTATGAAACACTGATCATACCCTGAATCTGTTTAGAAGATATCTGACCTGTGAATTATATTCTAGTTTAAGTCATTTCGGCTGCCCACCAATGCCAAACCATTCAAGTTGGTGTGTGTCACGCCTTCGGACACTAAAACTTTTCCTTACCAGCTGTCTGATGGTATGTACAATTTCTTATTGTTGTTAATTCTGCTGACATCGATTCTCAGGTACTCTGGCTGTTACGTCGGTCGAAGCGAGTAATCTACTTGTAGCTTCCGAAGGCGAGCACATTGCAACATGCCCCCTCTGTCTGGCCAAAGTCACCAACATGCGTTCTCACATTGGCAAACATATTCTCTGCGCATCAAGCAATGTACCCGAGGAGGTCATTCTAAAGGAGCAGGTATGTGTTTTTTTCGTTACAGTTCGTTGTATCTGTAGCACTCCTCATGTACGTCATGAAATCAATGCCAAACTCATGTTAGCTGTAGCCTGGGCTGTTTGCACCTCTCATGCGAACCTGAGGAACCTTATTTCAATTCATAGGCGCAAGGTTCATACCACATATGAGTTAGAGCTGCACGTCAAATTCATTAAGTGCCTACCTCCTTGGGACCACATACCACATACTTACATAACCGCTTAGAATGTTGAACGTGTCGGATGCATCATAAGCAAAAACTTTAGCCAGCTATCGCTTCACACTTCCTCTCATGCTGGTTCCCTGTACCTTGAGTGGCATGTCCCTCTTCAATAGTGTGCACTATATTCTTTCGCCTTCAATACAAACAGAGCAATACGAGGAACTCTCAGGCTTGCTGACTCTCCACGGTGCAACGAGCGCACCACCGCATACCCATTTCATTACACTTGCTGGATCACTTATTCAGAGTGAGTGCCAGGGATCCTTGTATGTTGTGTCAGAAACATGGGTGCAGCGGAGCATAGCCCTCGGAAAACTTCAACCGCAAGTGTCCTCTATCTGTCACATTGGTACAAAGACATTGACGGTCAACGTGTCAGTGAGGAGTACTATTCAACGGATCCAAAAATGATTTTTTCAGGAATTGTTGCATGTGCTACTGATGTGAGTGAACCGTCATTTGTTGTATCTATTGTATTGAATTAACATCCATTACAAGCTCTCCTCATGGGACCTCGAAGTTCTCTCAGCTGGCATCACCTCATTGGGAGGGCAGTGGCGAACAGCCCTTACCTGCGACGTAACACATCTCTTTGCATTGCATGAACAAAGCGATAAGGTACTTGATCTCTTCGTTCCATTCATCAGTCTAATTCTGATGAAACAAACTGTTACGACGGTAAGTCGCGTGCGAACTGGGATGATCTAACAGCGACGATCACGACAGTGATACCACGTGCTGAGAGTCCAAGGTCGGCTCCCACAGAAGAGCAGGAGTTGCGTACGTTTGCGGAGGCGAACGATGATAGCGGTTTACAGGCAGAAGGGGTCTCAAGTCCTTCTGAAGGTACGGATCTGATGTCAAGCAGGTAGCTTTAGCAAGACAAAGGCTTCGAGGTAAAACCCAGTAGGATTAAAGTAAGGAACATCTACTTTAATCATTGACCTTATATAAGGCTACTCTATCGTATCTAAGCTCAGCTTGAAGCTGGGTTCTAATCTGCTTATCTATCGAGTCAGAGATACCATGCATGAGGCAGGCTTCTATCAGTACATGAGGCAACACGAGGCTTGCCTTCTATCTTGATAACATACATAGGTCTTCTAGACCTATGTCGTCATATCATGTAAGCGATCCAGATCGCTTTACCTAATCCGGCATCTTCCGGACTTCTCTTCTATTCATCATCTATCATCAAGGCCTAAAGGCCCGGTTATCGTGCTGTTGCCGTGCAGGGTGGCAGAGGGCTGGTCGAGTAGCTGGGGGCTCTCGTAGTGACTGTAACACAAACTGTTAACCGTAGTATCAAACTGCAATGCATTTTGCCCCAGATACCCACATGTTCATCCTCACACCACATTGGTTTGATGATTCAGTTCAAGCTGGATGTCGTCTTCCTGAACTTCCTTACTCATGGCCTGATCCTGAGGTGTTAGAACTAGAGATGCCGCAGGCTACTATGGGTTGTGAGATTGTAGTTGTGATACGATATTCAGCAGGAATGGTTTATCACTTAACTCTTATCGTAGAAGACTAGTAAAATATCAATATCATGCCAGCCCACTGTTTTTCTGCTCAACCGATGGTGTAAAATATTAGAAGTCTTGTGTCGGTATCGGCATATTGTCATTACATGATTGAAAGGACCTCCATTTTAGCTTGCTGTTTTGGTCTAATGCAAATTAGATCGCATCTCAGGGAAACCACTAAATCCTAGCTGCATGTAGCATCGGAACTTGAGAACTTTGTTTCATGGAGTTTCGAAACACATATCAAACTTCGCCTGTCCATCAAGAGTGGGAGACCCCATTTTGCCATGCTCTCAGGCTACGATAGTGTTGACTCAAATTCACACCCCTCTGGAGCTCTCCTCACTGCATGTGCGAGCGAGAGTCATACCCCCAACACAGAACATAGCCATGACTTTGAGGCGTGCGCTGGTGGTCAAGCACATGGTCAAGGCGCCCCAGTGTACCCTTGTGGGTGCTACCGGCACACCGCGCTCACGAACAGTGAAATTGCAGATGCAATTGCCGATGCATCTGAACAATGCAAGAAACTCGAACAGGTAGCTGCCTCAAGATGCTCTACACTCAATTCCGAGTCTGATTGTTATTGTTCTAGGAAATTGACACTTGGAACACGCACATTGAAAAAAGCAGTGGTGAAAACCTATCACTGAAGCGCAAGAGGTCGATGTTGACCCTCGACTCAGACTCCATTGGAGACACAGTGAGCTAGACCCATCATTTCCATTGCTTTTCACATCAATTGTCAATAACTGTGTGATTTAGACACCACGCCAATTTGGACAGCACCTTACCAATATTCAACGCGCTGAATCAGTGCCGGTACTCGAAGTGCCCAAACACAGGAAGCTGGGGAAAGCTTTTGAATTTAACGAGCATACAATTCACGAAACCTTAGTTGATGTTGGGAAACACCTCGAAGCTGCAATGGACAGGCAGACAGAGGTGCTATCCAGGATCTATCATGTTCTGGAGAGCCGTACCATGTAAACTTACTAACTGTAATACCTTCAGTTGCACACCCTGTATTCAAGCTCGATGGAGCAATTGGCGCAAAGTCTTTTCTCATTCTATGCTGTCACTAGCCTGACAGTCATCAGTGCCATTGCAAAACTTGCGAATGTCCGAGTCCAAAGTGGGATGTGCACATAGCCAGCTGCAAGACCCGAATAAGATTTGAACTCTTGGAGTACGTCATAACGCTGATACATTTGAGTTCTCACTAGCACCGTGACAGAGCTTCAAGTTCCAGGTACATGGGCCACCTCCGTGACGTTAGCACAGGGATCATATCAGTTTGATTTCTCGGGGTGTTCGTCGCTTGCGGAAACAAGAATTCAATCAGTAAACGGCTTAGTGCCACCACCAGGTTGATGTTGCAATGTCGTTGAAGCTCCGCAATGGCTAAGCTTGTTCAAGTTGACTGTCTCCTTTTTTGTTGTGGTATGTCACTCATTGGTTGCATCAAAAATTTTTTAGCTCAACTGTGGCAACTCGGTCCCTGTTCATGGTCTTCATTCAGTATGTTCGAATTCACCGTGACAGCAGGGTGGGGTCGCAAAGTCTCAATAGCTATTAGCTGTCCAAAACTACCGAGTAATTGGCACCAATGTATGTGCTCTCCTCCATTGTGAATTCAAATTCTTGCACACTCAAACCTAAATGAACGGATAGTATGGGTCAGGCCAAATGCCCTAACAATGCAGTGTGCAGGGTGATCGGCGCTGAATTTGCTGATTGTGACGCCAAGTCTTTTACTAAAGGGATATATACAGGTCACTCAGTCATTTTTCCTCGTCTAGAATATCCTGTGTTCACCATCAGCTCCCCCATTCAATGTTTCATGGGATACTTTGGAGCACGTAGCTTCCATGGGTTCTACCATCTATAATAGTCGAAGCGGCTCGAGAAAAACGGCGAGTATCTTTGTTGCGCTACTTACAAAAACATGAAACACTCACTGTGTCCAAAATACAGTCTGTACTGTAAATTGCTGGTTTCTGATTTCAGCCGGAGTGCGGTTCGTGTGGTATTCCCTACAGAATGTAAAAATGTACTAACTATCATTCTCTCTGAATCAGTTCAAGGTTCAGAGGAAATGGTGCCTAGAATACAGTTTAAGTTGAAGATTTAAGCTTACTCGGATCTGTTCTTACGGTAGGCCTGGGGGCAGCACCCATGACTTTTATCACATATACAATTGACGCACTAGTTACAAGTAGCTTAGTACTGTCCATGTTCATACTAGTAATTTTAAGGTTGACCGCTATCTATAACACTAGCCCTGAAGTACCTGTGATGAGTCTGGATACCTGTGTGTACCTAGTACACGGCGACCTCACTGCCACAAGCGGGTAGAATTAGCATTTACACCTTGACGCACCTCGAGACTAGTGTACATTGGGTATACCTGTGCTGATCCTGAAAGGGAATAAAATTAAGAATTTGACTATATCCAACATCTGTCCCGATTGTGCTGGTAGAAGTATGCAAGGGATCACCAGGAAGTACAAAGGTTACAAAAGTTGTACTAGTATGTATCGAACTTAACACAAACAAGGGTCTACCGAGTAACACAAGCACAGCAAGGCTGGTGAGAGGTTGCATGGATCATCACCCACACAAGGGAATACCAAGAAGCACAACTGTTACAAATTTTGTAGTAGTATGTAGCAAATGTAGTGCTGCCGCAGTCCGGTTCCGAACCTCGGTTCGAACCTGAACCTTTCCGAACCGGACGCATGGTCCGGTCCAAGGTTCGGCCAAGACTCAGAACCGAACCTTTCCAGAGGTTCGGGGTTCGGGCTGGTAGTGAATAGGTTCGAACGGGTTCGAACCTCTCAATTTTTGTACGCTTTACACTTTTTTAAAAAGATGTAAGTATTTACTATGTGTCAATATATGCAAATGCATGTGTCTGCAACCCGCGCAGGTTTGAGCCGGGTGAAATTGACGCGGTCCTCTGTCGCGCCTGCCACAGTCGTGACGCGCTGTGACACAGTACTGCACCGTCACAACATGTTCAAACACTAGGTATCTTATGTCGCTATATGAATTCCAAACACTTTGAACTCTTGCTAATGATTAATATAGGTAAGTACTACTTGGGAATGTTATGAGCCATGCTGATCAAAGTCGTTGCTTATTGTTCGCAGGAAGTGAGTATGTCAAGATTTTCGAGCTCGAACCATTCTGATCCAAATCGTTGGCGGACCAGGCCACCGTTCCTCGTTCGAACAAGAGCCGTGCTGATCCAAGACGTTGGCCACCGTTCGCAGGTCGTGAGTGTGTCGATCCTCGTTTGAGCAACAGCCATGCTGATACAAGTCGTTGCCCACCGTTCGCAGTTCGTGAGTCTGTCGGTCTTCGTTCGAGCTCAAGCTATGCCGCAAGTTACCGTGTTCATCCTCGAGGGTCTCAGGTGGAGACCTGTCAGGGGTAGCTGATGGGATTAGTGTCACAGTGGCTGCTATTGGAGGTACGTCTTATTTCAGTTGTGATGATGCGATAATGGATGACCACCTTTCACTACAGGCTTTGCGCATCGCGCGACGATGCAGGTCGTGTGCGCGGTGATCACTGATCTCAAGTTTTTCACTTTTGGTTTTGGCCGCCGGTGAGTGGTATCGTTCATCTTTCCACCTTTTCTCATGCCTTACTTGAAAATACTAGAGTGTGTCCTGGTCAACATGTCGCGAATCGGTCCATCTTCATCAATACGGCTGTTATTCTCTGGGCTTTCCGCCTTTCAGAGAATCCTGCAGCGAAGATTGACACGCTTGCAATCTCGAATACTGCAACCGTACATGCTGCTGCGTTTGAGATATGTTTAGAGAAGAGGATCGATGAGAATGTGATCAGGGAACTATGTGCACCGGGCAAATAAAATGTGTTTATTTTAGAAACTTGAATTCAATCTTTGTACAAAGAAGTTCTCCTTGCGTTAGAGTCTTTTCGTTGTCTGTCCGACTCGAATTACATGACAACTCATGGTCTCGAGCCTATACAACCACAGATGGTCCAAGCTTAGTCGAACCTGGTTCGAACGCAAACCGGACCCTCCCGAACGCGTTCGGTGACGTTCGGTCCAGGGTTCGACCAAATGGCTGAACCGAACCTATGGTTCGGTTCGGCGTTCGGAAAATTTGCCCCAAGAACCGAACCGAACCGGACTTCGGCAGCACTAAATGGTAGATCCAAAACATGGATCCGCCGAGTGGCACAAATGCAACAAGACTCGTAAGAATATACATAGAATTTTATAATCCTTACAAGGAACCACCAGAAGACACAATTGTCGCAACAATTTTAGCACCATGCTTGACTTTCATCACCCAAACAAAGATCTAACAAGCAACACAAATATGACAAGGCTAGTAGGGAGCATGCATCAAACCTCGCTGCATGCATGGACGTGTACTGCAACTTACAACTCACTCGCCAGTCTGTCATGCATTTGTAGGGAATGTAATGATTGTGCGCCTTGTAAGGCCTGTAATTGTCCTGTCACTTGGTTTGCACGGTTTGGTATTTTTTGTTGATGATTCAGGTGTGAATGCAACTGGTCTCAATTGGAAACAAGCGACACCACACTTCAACGAGACACACTTGAAGGCGTATGTTGACTTCATTAGCACAGTTTTTCGTAAGTGTTTTCCTCATACTAGCAAAGACTCGATGTTCAATATTAATGTTTGCAACTTCAAATATAGCACCGCACATCAGGAAGACACGTGCACTCGACTATGATGCTTCCGAGTCAGCATCTAGTAGTACGCCATCCGCCCCATCCGCTTCCCAGTCACTTGATTCTGGTTGCTCTCAGCCAGACGCACTTCCCACAACACCTCCGGCTACAACATCCTTTCAATCACCACCTCTGAGTTTATCTGCACCCCCTGCTTCCACTGAGCGCTACGGCCTCCATGACCCATCTGTTTCTTTCTCCCCCAATGTCGGTCTGCAGTCATCCAATGGATACAACCTCCAAGACATCTCATTCACAACAAAGGCCTCATTTGACGCGCCGAATTGGGAAAATCCACCGCCTCTTCTCTGCCCCTTACTCGACAGATCTCCAAGCACGCCCAATGGATCTATAGGCTCTTCCACCTGGAGGACACCACCTGTACTGCGCTCATTCCTGTCTTCATCAAACTCTTTCCCCCCTGCATTACAGTTGTCCCCAATCACATCACATTTGTTTACCCAATCGGCAGCATCGCACTTGCTACCTTCTTTGCCACCTATAGCGACCCCGCAATTCACGTTCCCGTCGCTCCCTTCCCCATCACTCCCTTCCCACTCTCTTCCACATCACTCCCCGGTTCTCCCTTCCCACTCCCTTCCACGTCACTCCCCGGTTCTCCCTGCCCCAATTCTCCTTGCCCCGGTTCTGTTGTCCATTTGTTCTTGATTCGGTGCCCATCGTTGTGCAGTGATTCTCCATTTTCTGCAGGGACACGCTGCTGATATTTCTTCCGACAGCGTCGACACTCCCGTCAAGAATGTCATAATGAGGGTATGACACTTCAAGTGTACAAATCTATTCAGAGAGTTTCCTCGATCGAATGGCCTACAGTCTTTCCTAACTGGCCCACTGGCAGCTGAGAATCAATGGCCCAGACGAGTTCCCGAACGCAATTTGCCATCATCACATTCTGTCCAGAGTACGTCCGGGATTCCTACCGGGCGTCTGCAGCTGTAAATTCGAAGGTCGAGAAGCACCAGTCTTGGTGCATTGTCTGGGACTTCCTCCACAGAGACTCGCAGCACTGTTCGGGACGCCATGCCCGGGCGACACGTAGCTCAAACAGGAGGACATTGGTGGGCCAAACGACTCCCCATATAGTAGAACAGTGGGATGACGAAAGGGCAACATCGAACCCGTTGTTTCAGATGTTGTGACAGTCACGACAACTTAAGCCACGGGTTCGAACGTTACAGTATTCTTGAAGAAACTGTTGGAGTCAACAACCAGTGTGGAATTTGTTGGACGTGTCACACAAGGTTTGACTTAGCTTGTAGGAGTAGATTGATACACGATTATAGCGGCCTTTCCGCGTCCGACATGATGGAGGAAAGTTAAATAGCGTTGCGCCCATTAGATAAGTACAAATACTGATAGTTGTGATAGTACTACGTAGTGTGACCAACAAGTGTTTTGATCTGTTTTGATGTACAAGGTATTAGTTACTACAGCTACTACTACTAGTACCCGCGGCAGTCACTCTTCCGCTGCCAGCAACCCCTGGTTTATCTCTATCAGTGATTGGTCTGTTATCGCGAGTGTGAACTCAATCAGACGGTGAGTTATGAGCTCGCCGTCGCTATTCTTGGAAACTTAACTAGCGCGCCAGGTGACCATGACTTTTCAGTTTACTCGCTCAATGCAGCACGCTCGTGAAACATTACAAACCGCGACATAGTAGCTGGTCCAGTTTCGTAGCCTCGAGGAGGGACTGGAGTGTCATCAACTTGCGCACGAAAATCGTCAACTTCGTCAGACCTGGTCACCCAAGTGCCACATGGTTATATCTGGACTTCCACGATGCGATCTTCTCGTTGTTTCAGAAACGCGCGGAGATGGAGCTACGGGGTGCAAATATATCCAGCCGCTCTTACATGGCTGTCATGTGCTGTCAAAAACAACGTATTACCCGGGAAAGTTAGTTCCACCATCACGTATTGTGCCTATGCAAGAAACTGACAATCGAAGTATGTCTTATAGGGACCATTCCTCTAAGAACGGAGCATGGCCCGGAGAGTCTGTCTACTGTGTGTGTTTATGTATGTATGTGCAACCTCCTTTCAACGCCTTGAGCTACTTATAAGCTATACCATAGGGTTGGGTAGCCTACTAGGCGTCTTTCGCCGGTTCTCCCAACGCCCCACTTGTTATCTTTATGACGAATATTGGTCTGATTTATGGAGCCATGCTGGTCGGTGGCTTGCTGGCCTTCAGGGATGTGATCAACCTTGATGCAAAAATATGATATCTGTCTGACAGATCTCCTCACAGCTTTTCGGGTTGCGTTAACATGCAATTCATCGTGTACTTCCGGGTTTATTTTCATGAGAGTTGGCGTACTAAGTCATTGGTACGTCACGTTGTCTTTCAAGACTGCACCTTTTTAATCATCTTGCAAAGGTCATTGTAATATGGTGCGTTCCAGTATCCTGATGTATGCGAGACGAATGTCAATGGAATTAAGGCTGCTTGATCTATCCCATTCCGCACTCGTTGCAGTTGCCCTTTGGGATTCCATCATTGCGACCTACGGTGATCTCAGTAAAATTGACACAATCCCCTGGTATGTGTGATGTCATCGTTTATAATCAGCTGGAAAATCGATCGATTATCAGGTGTATTGGTGTGAGCAATCACGTTCTAGACGTTTTGACCTGGCGTTAACGCGGCCCCATAGCCTGCGATTGAGCTTACTGTGCGTTCTTACACGTATGGAACCTCACAATTCTCATTACTGGAATATTCACCAGGCTTTGATTACCTTCCTTGTTCAAAGGTTAGCCAAGCTATACGAGGAAATGCTGTTCTGACTCGAGCTTCAGCTTCTTTGCGTACCGAATCTATAAATGTTTCGTACCTTTCTTTGGTTTTGCGTTCCCCACACTGATGTCGCTAGAAAGTGCAAAAGAAGAAGCTCACTGTAGCGATTCCAATTGTAGGTCTCATGTTTGCGATTCTGCTACTTGAATGATGAGATTTTCGCTTGTAGGTTGCACTCGCTTTTGCTCGTTTAAGTAAGTGCGCTTTGGTAGTGCAATAATGCGAACTATTTTGATAAATTACTTCAGTAATGGCTAGCAGTAAGTCACGAAGTACTGCACATATATTTCTTGATGATAATCACGCATTTTCGTCAGTTACGAATACCGAGATGTGAGCAATATTTTTTTAAAATAGGATTGATAGTCACTGAAACTTATCTTTCGTAGGCTCAGATTGAAATCATACAGCATATTCTTTCAGCGTAATTCTTCATCTGCAGGTGGTGGGCAGCTTCTCAGTATTGACATTCCGATAGAATTTTCTTGGGTCTTCACTTTTGGCCTTATACTTTCGGCATTCGTGGATATCATGATCACAGCTTTCCTGTGCTACTTCCTTCGCAAAAACCGACCATCTTTTACAGAGTAAGTCATTATATGGCATTGCTGTGCAGCTGGTGTTCACCAGCTTGTAGCACTATGCGTATCATTGACACCCTGACATTCTGGACAATTCAGAATGGCTCGATAACGTGGTATGTCATCTAAGCGCATGCCATAAACCATATGCTAAGGCCACCTTAGTGCTGCAACCATCGCAACATTGGTCTGCGTGAGCATTCCTAATTCTTGTTATGTTTTGATCACTCAAATACTACAGTGGATGACCATGCCTTCAAACCGCATATTTCTAGGTCTTCACTTTGTCGTAGCAAAATGTAAGCCATCTCAGATTATCGTGAACTTATCTCATCTAAATATTATTGGAGTAGTATATGCAAACTCCTTTCTAGCTACGTGAGTCGCATGTGTGATGCGGTATTTGTGGGCTGTAGTTTGATCTGGTCCTTTAGTCTCAACGCCAGAAAACAAATATGGAATGGAAAGCAATACACTCCTTCAAGCAATCGGCCTATGCCAGTCGTCTTTCTGGGGGAGTCCGAGCATGGACCTGATTCTTCGATCTCGCAACAGGAATCGGTAAGTACCATAGTCGGTCGCATGCGAATGATATTGCGTCTTACATAACTACAGCTGCGAATAAAAACTCTCCAACCAACAGCAGTGCACCATCGGGGGGAAGCGGTGCGTACCCTTGCCACGTACTCAATGACCTTTCTGACTGTCACAGATCCAAGTAAATATCGAACAGAATGTGGAGACCAAGGGTGATGATTGCGATGGGATCGATAGCCCGGTGTGATGTTCTGTAGTTCGACCACCGTACTGATGACAGCCTCATGATCATTCACGACATATATTTGACATTAACTATGCTATTTTACTAACATGTTTATATTCTTATCGTGTACTACCAATGTTGATTTGGAAGCTACTGCGTATCTTTCATCCTCGAGGACTTTAAGCCATCATCCTCATTTTCCATATCATGCAAAGTGTGGGATTTCAAAAACTAATACCACAAATTACATCAATAGTTAGTGCGCATCACTTATAGGCTGCCGTCTTCTATATGAGACATGCGCAGATAGATTCGGTACGATTCCCTCCCCAAATATGAAGTTTGGCGGACGCGATGTCCATTCATCACCAATTCTGATGTCGTAGGCAGATATCATGTACGCAAACATGACTTTCAGCTGATAAGTGAGCAAGAAACGCCCAGGACTGAATAATAACCATCGCGATTCATGTAAGTGTCAGAAGCTCAAGAGTCGATAGAGATCTTTCACTCACCACGCATGTTTCCCGTAGCCAAAAAACAACCACTGAGGTGTGATAGTAGTTATGCTGTGCTCTGGATTGTCCGAAAACCTGAAAGGTCTGAATTCATCGGGGGCCTCGTATGCGGTGCTGTCACGGTGAAATGGCGGTAAGGAGACCGCGATAGTACAACCCTTGGGGAGAAATGTGCCATCAGAGAGCGAGAGATCACGCGTCGCTTGCCTGAAGAATCCCACTGGCAAATGGTTCATAGCTTAGTCGCAGGTATGTTTAGATGAAAAACGCACGAGATGATACGCCGTTGATCCTGGCGCTTTCCCTCAGGAAACTGTCGATCTTGTTCATCTTTGCGACGGATTGTATATTCCAGCCATCGTGCTGTACGATGGGATCAACTTCATCCCGCAATACCTGTGCAAACTCGGGGTTTGTGGCTAAATGATATAGGGCGTGGGTAAGGGTCTATAGACAAGTTAATGTTAATGATCGTCCGGCTCCGAAGGATTTCTTACATTTGAGGGCGTCTGGAGTATGATGTCAGAGAGACTATTAGGAAAGGCATCAACACATACAGATGAAACCGCAATGGTGAAACCAAGGAGACGCGTCGTGAGGTTTCTCAACAAACTATCTTCACCGGTAGATCGCCTTACGAGTCGCGCGAGGAAGTCGAACTGCGGAAAACGCGATCAACGGATAAGTATGCAGCAGCGAATTTCTTACCTTTTGCTCGTTTGGAGTAGCATATTCGTCCACTTCGCTCGTGCAAGCCTCCACTGCAGTACCCAACAGAATGGTCGCACGATCAACATTTGCCTCGAGGTTGCTAGTCAGTCTCGCAAAGAATCTGGACTTGTTCTGGGTTTTCAGTTTCATTTCCGTTTTTGTGTGACATACGGGAATGTCCATGATGGCACAAGACGTCTGATCACGCTCGAGATCGCCACATCTTTGTGAATCTTGGCCACCAAGGAAGACCACTCAGAGCTGCGGCCTGCAGAACATGGTGAGAATCTCGAACAGGACAGACCGTATTACATACATAGGGGATAGCCGACAAAGAATCGTTGCCATGTCTGTACCATTATTCGACTTACGGTGCTCAAAGCGGGAATCGAGGTCCAATCTGCTTGATGTTATTCATCACTTCGTCAACTGTAAGATTGGATTCTCACCGTCACTCTCATTTCCTAAAACGGTTTCGAGAGAGACGAGTAATTCGTCTTGTACTTCAGCACATATTTTGGTTGCATTTCTAGCAATATGACTCTTGAGTAGTTCGGCAAGAAGATCATGATCTGGACTGCCGACGTTGATCTTCAATGCATCGTCGACACCCATGATCTCCAGAGCCGTGTCAATGGTTGTTGGGTGAAGAGACAACAAGGGTCTTACATCTTTCATAGCCTCACGGAACGAAAGGTCTTCTTCCGCAGCATTCGCAATTTCCATCATATGCTGGGGATCAGTGAGAACTACTGTCCAGCGTAGCATGGTTGCAACCTTAAATGGTCTATTACCATACTAGCATTGTGCGTCATTTACAAGCCGAGATGAATGAGAAACAGATATACCTTTTCGTATCCCTCCTTGAGGACACCTGGCGCGTCTACGAGAAATCTGGATGCGCCCACGTAAAAGTTGCTGAAACAACGAGACGGACCGAAGGAGCAGCCAACAGTCGGGAAATCATCTAACTGCACGAATAACATCAGTTCGGCGACTCTAGTACAATATAGGACTGCCTGCATTTTGGGTCCTGCGTCTTTTGGAAAAGAACACGAGAACAGGGATGACACCCGAAGTCAGTAGAAGGATAATCCTGGGTGCGTGGCCGTTCCACATGAAGGGAGATTGCAACATCATTCGTTCAAAGTCCAGGACAAATAACCTAGTCGAAAAAATCATCGCAAGGGAGATAGTTTTTGATCTCCTTTAGAAGGGAAAGAGCTCCAAATATCCATCGGATATCGGACGCGAACAGACTTTGCTCCATTCTGATGCGCGCATTTCACTGTCCTGGATACGAACCGGTTATTGATTACGGGTGCTGTGAGGAAGACATATCTATTAGGATCATACGATAGCTTCAAAGCTTGGATGCAAGAGCCGGGTATTGGTAATACGCAGAATTCTTTAACACTCCGCGTCCTGGTTGGATGCGGACTTTAAATTTCAGTTCATTACTGTCGGTATATTCCAGTTCCTTGGACACAACCCGCATGCTTGCTCCCACTTTTGTCTTCATTACTGTTCTTCATTGGATACTTGGTACTCCACTCTCGTCGCTGCTAAGTCCATTTGACGACAGATGGCGCCCAGTAACCAAGTGATTGCCACTCATAATGACAAACGGTATTGGGCATCTACAGAACCTTTTCCCGGTCTCGGGGATCTCAATATGTATTGGATTGGTGCTACCACCATAATCTGTAGTGTCAAGTATGACACGAGAAGTAATAAATCCGAACGAGTAGGTAATGTACAATGCATGGTCCTAGCTATTAACACAAGCCAATTATTAATCGAGGTTAGCCTACTACGCAATTGCCGCGAGAAAGGAAACGAGAAAGCCAATAAAGCATCGTGGAAAGCAATGATCGTAACCCTATGTCCAGTAACTATCGTAAATCGTCAGCGCTTGAAAGTGCCATGTTAAGTATCTCAGACGTTAACCAAAACCCATCCTGTCGCGGCGCCAAACGCACCCACAACCAGAGCGCTCATCATCCCAACGAGACTGCCACTCCACAACTTAACGGGGGTAGCACCATTAAAGTTGATATACGTCGGCGTCGGCGTACCTCCAGAACCGTCGAATCCATCTCCACCAGTTCCACCACCAGTTAGGTTGGCGCCGTTTGGCTTAAAAGACAGTTAGAGCGAACTGCATGACTTTAGGCTGCGACTTACCCCAATAGGTCGCGAGTTATCCGTGAATGCGCAAGCCGAGGACTGACACAGGCACGACCCGGCAATAGGATCCCAGAAAGGTGTGGAGCAGTTGGAAGGCACTACGGAACATCTTCAGCCCAGGTTATTGGAAAACAGTAAAATTAATTACATCTGTATCTTATCTGTTGACCCGCTGGGACTTGCTGCGGTGGATTCGGGTTTGAAGGGGACACCTCTACTTGCGGGCAACCATACTAATAATTCACCGGTTAAGTCTAAATGAGTACCGCGCTAGCCACGAACAACTTACGCAAGTGAAGAAAGGGAAGTCGGGGAAGTCACATTCCTCCAGGAGACCAGCTTCGTTCTGGGGAATACCATTGCAAATTTTGAGAGACGAGTCAACCTGAGGAGTCGAACATTTCAAAGGCTCAAAGGAATCGAGCTCTGAGACCGGTACAGGGTTCCGGACCCAAGCAAGAAGCTGCTCATTCGAAACGATCCAGACATCCTGTTGCATCTGAAGCCAATCCAGGTAATCATTGATCATCTGGATCGTGCTGTTCGGGGGGTCGACACCAGGGTAAGTGGTCTAAAGTATGACATTAGCCAATACCGATATATTATAGAATGGAAGTAACTTACCGAAAGATGAATGGGATGAGTGTAGAGACCAATCGGTTGCCTATTCCCAGTGTAATGAGCCGTGAACGTATTCTTCATGTACTCAAATGTGGCAGTGTCATTGACGGCACTGGCCCCGTTTGCAGTATCCAGCCAAGGGTCCATCAAGTGCGGTCCGTCAATCCCGAGCTCATCAAAGAATGCATACATAGGAATCTCCCAAAGACCAGGAATTTTAGGCAGGCCTTTGCATATACCCTCCACAGTCAGACAGTCGTTTGCGAGACCGTTGTCCAGCGTGTAAGGCCAGTACGCATCGGTACCTGGGTCTGTGACAGGAATCGAAGCGGCGGAGGAAGAATCATAAGTGAAGTCGACGTTCGCGAGGAGCTGCAAAGTCTGAGCGGTGTAGTTCAAGTAAGGTGCACGGAACCCTTGAATGGCGTCGAGCGGGATGCCAGCGAGTGCGTTGAGAGCAATTATGTTTCCGTTGATCTCGTCCGCAGGAGGTGAACCAACATGCGTCATCCTAAAGCCAATGATCAAAAGCACGAAGGACTACGATAAAATACATACGTATGATCAGCTATTTCGTTTCCAGCAACGTACCAATCAGTGACAAGGGTATAGTTGGTGTAGTTAAGAGACGTGAAGTAGGTCATCTTGATAGGACAACCGTTCGGATTCTGCCGTTGAGCAAGGAACTGATTGACAGAGTCGATCGTATAGGACTGGATAGCATCGTCGGCAGTGAAGACAACGAATTGCGGTACGTCCGACTGTAAAACCACGCATCAGAAGTGATGCATGGCAAAAGACAGTATAAAACATACAGGAGAAAGACCACCTGGGGGACTCGTGCTAGCACAATTGCAGTTGGGCAACTGGCATTGGCTAGGGTCGCATGAGTACCCAGCAGCAGACGAACTGCTGGTTGGACCAGATATGGAGCCGTCTTGAGCGGTCACCACTGACGCCTGCAGTGCTATACCAAGCACCGACAGCAGCGCAGAAATCCACATCTCTCTGAACAAAAAAGAGACGGACCAGCAGTGTGTGGTCAACGAATGAAAGAGAAAAGAGCGAAAATGCTAAGCAACGCACTAGTGGTGAAAAACCCTATATAAGTTCGGCGGGGAGGCGAAAAAGAATCCAATTAGATGACAAATATTTCGTTAACGCTACTATATTACCTTTTACCATTTGGCCTAGTGACCAGCGACGTAAAGAAGGACTCGGAGTGCCCATGCTCACTGTTACACTTGCAGATCATCATCGATGTTTGACGTGAAGAGATGATCCGTTCCCGAGCTGTTCATCTTTCAACAAAGCTTATTATAGCACACGGAGGTAATAAGTCGCTGCTTAAACGTGAAAGTCATGCTGTGCCTGCGGTTTTTAGTAAAATTCAGACTTACGTTGAACACACCGAGGCCGTGACCCGAGCAAGTCGTCCTCGGGCAGCCTATTAATAGGTCAGTCGCTGAGTTACTAAAGCGGTTAAGCGTCATGTGATGTGAGTCCTTGAGTTGTCCTTTTTCAGACACACTGAGGTCTAATTGGCCTCACTCAGGTCTCGTCGGAATGCAGACGGTGAGGGATTAGCCAGCAAAACAAGGACCCCGTTGCGCGAGCAAGGGGCCCCCAAGTGAATTCAGGTACAAATAGTCAGTAACCTAAAATATAACGCTGTACAAAAGATGATGGGAGGGAATACAAGGGAGGGTGCGCAAAATGAATCCCTAGAACGACAAATGGCTTGAGAGAGAAGAGAAAACTTAAACAAGACAACATACCTAGTGAGACGAATGGCTTGAGAGAGAAGAGGCAAAGAGCCCCTTACACTTCATCTCACCAGGTATAGCACACCCGCTCCACTAAAGGGGGCGACAAAGGAAATTGCCGAATTGGCAATAAGGATTGCCGAGATGACAGTAAGGACTGCCGGGTTGACAATGAGGATCGCCGACTTGACAATGAGGATTGTCAAGGTGGCAGTGAGAACTGCCGAGACTTAATAAATAAGCCATGAGATGCGCAGGGCATCAACAAACAAAAGTCAGAGTTCAGGACCCCAAGAAATGTGTTTCGGGAAAACCCATTTGGACTTAGCTGCTGAAGAGCACGCTCATCCAATTACCCTGGTATAAACAAGATTAAACTCGACAAATTGCGCCGCACGCTGGTCAGCGCCAAAGTAGGGCGGACACGAACACTTGCACATCTTAGTGCGTGTGCTGTCCTCCCCACTTTCTCTATTGTAACTACTACATGCACACGCAAAATATCATCAGCAGTGCTAGTGTATCTATCATTGGAAAAACAATCAAACAAGGACCAGACAAAGAAGTATGATGAGGTACAGGAACACGCACACCAGGATATCATTCCAAGTATGATCCCAATCTTCAGGCACTGCCCAGAAATTTACAAATAGAGATGCACGGAGGAGCACTTGGGTTCAATGATCTCGTCAAATGAGTCGATCAGCACATCCACACCCTTATATGTATCTCTGTACATGTGAAGTTGTAGCCGCTTCATCACATACACTTCAATTGAGACTGGCTGTCATGAGAATTTCGAGTTGGAAAGTCTGACAGTGATGACATCCAAACAGGAATACCAAAGCACCTGCGACACATCAGCATAATGTCTAAGGGTGTATCTGATGAAATTAGGTCCTCTCACGAATCAGCAGCAACATTACATGTTCGCCCAGTGTGCTTTTCAGTACATTGTTCTGTCGGACAACCATAAATTCAGGATCGGTGCTAGGTATCAAATAGGAAGGGAATCATAGAATTAAATGGTACAGTCAATATTGCAGCAATAAAGTCATTGTTACATGGAGCTGGAGGAATTGATGTTAGCAACTGCGAGGATGGATGATAAAGATTAAGAACTCACACATCTCGACAACTCGACCAGTGCGTCCCATGTGCCATGCAGCTCAGATCAAGCTCAGCATGTCCTCTGGGTATCACCAATGACGTCCAAGGAGTATAAAACACATGTTGGGAAGCGGGAGGTACCCAGAAAAGGAGCTCACATCTGGGTCCCATGATCCACCCATTGGGCTGCAGCAAGAAGGGGGTCGAATCAGAATGATGATCAGAGGCGGGTTCGAGCAAGTCAATGGGGTTGGGTAGGACGTGTGTCAGGCAGGACAAGAAGGAAATTAGGGAATGGTAACAAGTGTTGGTTGGCGTGATGTGACTTTCTTCAGTGGGAGGTGCGGTACTTGGATACAGTGGAGACATAGAGGGATCCGGCTCTGTTGACTTGGAGGATGGCAGCACTTGCATAAACCACACAGTGTTATCTGATGAACCAGACATGATGTGAGTACCATCCGGTGAGAACGAGACTGATTTAACTGGGCCAGCGTGCCCCTTCAAGGGCTCACCCAATGACTGTCCTGTCGCTGCATTCCACAGCCACACAGTGTCATCCGATGAACCAGACATGATGCGAGTACCATCTGGTGAGAACGAGACTGAATAAACCATGCCAGTGTGCCCCCTCATTATGGCCTCAACAACTGTCCAGTTCAAATCCCAGCCAGATGCCAGGTGAAGGTATAGTGAGTCGAGGCGAACGCACACGGGAAGATCGAGCTAGAAGAGAATATATTATCTCAGTCTCGCTAAGAGGGACTCTGTACATCAGTAGCTACCTAGAAGAGAATATATTCTAATGGTAATGTTAGCGTGTGTATGAAGGAATGAAAACATAAGGCTCACATCTCAGTCTCGCTAAGAGGGACTGAGATGTTTTTACGACGCAAATGTTCTTTTAACATATGGTAAAACGGTAAAACTTGGATAGAAAAGATATCATTGTGAAACATACGAAAACGCGAGGCTCGGCCGATGTCATAGCCAGGTACGTCGAATACGCTCGTACCCCTTGTTCCTAGTCCGATGCTCCCGTCTCTCCCGATCGCAACAGAAGGACATTTGAAAACCTAGCCATAAATTTGGTAGCAATGGTACAGTTGACCAGCGAGAATGGGAGTGCTGATAAATACAGATGGGGTGTGCTGTGCAAAATCATCCTGCCAAACACTTGCATGAATCTTTGTACGTCCATTGTGGCCGACTGCACATCTTCATATCCAGAATGGCCCTGTATTAATGTATGAGCTGTTCATCCAACTCTGCCTCATAGGCATGTGCTCACCTTCAGCCACTTGGCAACGAGTGGAAGCATGGTGATTGTGTCGCTGATTGCATCGAGAAGTCCGAGTGCTTCGATCCAGAACATCAGTCGCTTCTCGTTGAACAGTGATCTTATTTCCTTTGTGAGCTCATCATCAAAGTCTGTTGTCTGGACATGCGTAGCCCAATATCGACAGGAAAAGGACAGATGTGGGGGAATGGATGTTTTGACTCGTTCAGATAGCCCTGTGACTTGGGAATTAGGGAGGTACAACAACTTCAAATCACAGATGTTGAAGCCAAGGCCATCTTTCATCACTCGTAGTGATGCGAATGCAAGGTTGCATTGTTGGCCCTTTGTTCTCTCGACGAAGAAGTCTCCGCTGGATGATTCGTCTGTCAGGAATTCTTGGAATGTCACATGAAGGGTCGGATGGGGGTATATGAGTTGGTGGTGCCGCTGAGGAGGGATCCCATGTGTTTGATCACTAGTTCTACTTCGTAATGGTTGTGATCCTCTGGAAAATGGTGCTGCATAGCATTCAATGAAACTAAAGGGAGAGGTTCGGTTGTGGCAAGTATTTGTCCCATCACGGAACAGAATTTCGCCATTGCTTGCTTGTGGGCTGGTGTATTCTTATCCTTTGGCATCATTTCTGTTAAAATGAACCCATACATATCATACAACAAGTTCTTCCACTCCCCCGGATTGCGGTTCATGACAGCATTGAAGCGGTCCATTGAAGATGAACCGAACTCAGGTTCCTTGATGTATTTGCATGTGAGACACACCCACTCAAAAAGTCTGTTGGAGTTCGCAGCAAGTGTTGCAAGATGGTCGTCCTGAAATTCCAATAGCTCTTTCAGCTGCTCAGATACGAAGGCGTGAATGTCGCACTCCGCGGCTTCTGGTCGGATATCGTCCATGGACAACCGTAGGATATGACCAGCACCTTCAAACCCCTTTTTGATGTTGGGAAGCGAGTGAGAGGTGACGAGAATACGAAAGTTGGAAGGGAGTTCCGTGATTTGGGGAAGTCCTGTGTTCTGAAGTTTACCCGCAAGTATGCGGAGAAGGTCCTGCCACGTCTCTACTCTGCCGCTCTCATCCAGCACATCAATCACGATCAACACAGGCCCCACGCTTGACCCAGGGAACTTCTTCAGTGTTTCCATCAGAAGCTTGCACCACTGCTGGACAATGTCTGTCGTATTCTTGAGTGAGGTCATGTTCTTGACTGCATTTGCTAACACTCGTTTCATCCCTGGATCATGATCAGCAAGATCGCGCGCAATGGTGGAGAAAATCTTTTCATGGCGACAGTCTGCTTCTCTATGGCAATAGAAACAATAACATGAACCAAGGCCTCCTGTTTCCTCAAACCAGTTGGCAATCGTGTGCACGATGGCTGATTTGCCCTTGCCTGCAGGGCCAGATAGCCACATCACATGTTTAGCAGCATCTCCACTGTCGTTGATCCAATCCGTAATCTGGGAAAGAATCTCCTTGCGCGTCCCTGGTAGGCACTGTTTCATGGTATTTAGTCCCACTCCTGCTGCATAAGTCATGCCGTTGAGATCCAGTGTTTCACCTTGAAGAGTATGAGTACATCCACAAGAACAGGTACGTATGAATCATTACCCGCAAACTGGACAAAGATAGCTATGTCCCGATCCGTTCGGTCGCAAAATTGTTGCATAAGGCCATCCAAGGCATCATTGTACTGTGTGATGATATCATCCGTTTCTGCAATGACATTTTTACTGATTCTCTTCCCTATTTATCATCGTAAGTATGAAATCTGCGCCAGCGTGCGAATGCAATAGTCCGACGACTCACAGAAGCTCTTCATCTCCGAGTATTCCCTGATGAAACAGGCGCACTCCAGAGTCTGCTGAGCAATCTTACTGATGACGCCACACATCGATTCAATCTTGCTAAGACTGTCATCTAGAGTCATGAAGTGATAAACTTCAGCCAATTGCTCGAGAAGACTTTTGATCGATTTGTCACGCTCTGCTTGAGCGACTATAATCTGCATAGAGTGACTTCTGAGCGGGAGGCTGCACTCCGTGAGAAACCAAACATACTTTGGATGCGGCAGACAGCACACCCAGCGCCATCTTTGTGTATGGATGCATCTGTATGACTTGATTAGTTCGTGTCCAATAGACAAGAATAGCCCATACATCCGCAATCTTCTCAAGGACACCATTGATAATCTTTAGAGGTTGGAGATACGTTGTCTCAAAATCTTCTGCAGCAGCAAGATCCACTGGGACATTGCTGGCAGTGGATGCCATAGAAGTCGCATGTTTCCCGAGTAATCTCATTCGTTGTGTATTATCACAGGCACCTTGAAGTTCAGCATCGACTAATTGGGGATCAAACCCTTCCTCCTTGCGAGAAGGAGCAACCTGGTGCTGCCGAGATTAGAGAAGAAAGTCAAAGTATGTGGCGAAAATACCTGGGAAGCAGGCTCTCCGGACAACCCTTGGTTCACGGAGTCACTGAGAATCTCAGATGTGGTGGGATGCTTGTTGTTGTTGGATGACTAGAAGTGCCTCTAAGAAAACCAAGGGACTAAAATAGTAAGTTCGAGTACTCACATCGAGTTTCTGACTTGATGAAGCCCCTTCCATTTCGATGTTCTGGACAACAGTGGTTGAAGCATCTTCAAGGACTACCTTCTGGTTCGCAGGAATGCGGTTGCAGGAAGACTTGAATGGTTTCTGGACAATGTCAGACATATTTAAAATCAGGAAACCTAACAGTCCACTTACAGAAAGATTCTTGGTGGCGCGTTTCGCAAATTTCTGCATGGCCTGCTTGAGTCGACTACGAGGTTGGCTCTGGAAAATGAAAGTGTCAGAGGCAAGGATGAATTGTATGAGCGCTCATCCACATCAAGTAAGCCCTTGAGACCACATACCGAGTTTTCACGAATGGGTGCTTCGCAGGTTTCTGGAGGATCTGGCCTATGGTCTTTACTCGTCACAACTTGAAGTAGTCGATAACTGTAAGTGAGGTGAGGGTGCAAGAAGTAGATGGCAGAAAAGAGAGAACATCTGGCATGAGCCGAATACCCTTGACCAAAGCGGCATGGCTAACACGTTGCGTTAACCTTGAAGGGGCAGTGCCATGTAGACAAACCTGATAGTCACAGAAACAACAGCATATGTTCATTGAAATGAAGTGCATAACAATAGTGCACAATTGATTCACGAGCACAGTACCACAACTCGAGGTATAAGTACATGTAGAGGCAATAGATTCTTGTTCTGTCTATGTTTAGAACATATGTTAGTAGATGAGTAGTACTACTTACATCAATAATCAAAGTCTTTTGTCATACCGGATGCCATCGATGAATGTTTGACATAACATGACTTTGTGTTCTAGACGTTTCATTTAGTTTGATGCAGACTTTAAAATATCATTGATGCATGGTCAATCCTCTGCCAGGTAGACTGTGGCAACTATGGCCAATTTGACTTGTCGATTTCCATATCCCATACTATCATTCCCTGTAATATGTCCACAGTTCCTAATATGCAAAATGTTATAACAATTCAACATCATGCTCAACTGGCTTTGAAAAAATTCAGGCATATGCAGAATACATAGAAATGATGTTCTGCGCAAGTAGAATAAAATATTCTTAGATGTTGCAGTTCCAAGAGACGAAATTGTGCCAATTTACAACCTTTGTCCAACACAAATCACCCAGATCCCAAAGATCCTGCACAGGTACTCATAAAATTTTGCCTGGGACATGAAGGACACCTTCTTGCGATGTCATAAAACCAATTCAATAATAGTTACTCTCCTGCACTGAGGTGCTACAGTGGTATAATCAACAACAAGTCTGAAAATGTGACACCAGACAGGGGAGGTGCACAAATAATTCAATCTCCTCCTTGGCACATGCGGCATCTACCTTCTGCTCGAGTCTCCACATTGTATTGTATCATTCTCTCCAATGGCACCACACCGCAGGAAGGCAACACATTCAAAAGCTGAAGAAGATGCCACTCGCAAAGCCAATATTACAGCTGCTATCAAGGCTGTCAGAGAGAATTGGGCTAAAAACCTCTTGGCAGCAGCTGGCCAGTTTAATGTACCATACCATACCCTTCGGTGGCATGCACAGAACCTCACAAAACCTCATTTGAAGGCTCACAAACATCAACAAATACTTACCCAAGGGCAGGAAGAAACACTATGTCACTGGGCTAAGTACTTAGCCATGACAGGTCACCCTCTGTCAAAGTGCAACCTTCATGCAAAGGTATCAGAGCTCAGTGAGAAGCTAAAGGAAAGGAAAGGGCTCACTGGGAAAGATTCAATTCCAGGGAAAAATTGGATCAATGCTTTCCTTGCTCGTCATCCAGAACTAAAGCTAGGACGTCCCACCCCGTTCTTGCAGGCACCATCTCAATAACAATGCTCATACTACTGAATTAGTACAAGAGGACACAATCCCCCCACCAAATCAAATGCACGAACCATTTGGACACCAACCTCAGCCTCAGCCTCCACATACTTGGCACCCTTATTTTGCACCAGCGCCGAGTCACGGCAGTACAGATTTTCAAGTTGGCAGCATAGTGTGGACTGAGGATGTGTATGCAGGAGGGCACCAATACATTCATAGTAATTATTACCATCAGTATTAGATACTCTGAGTCAATAGTATTTACCATTTTCGAGCCTTTCCAAGTCACGACGCATGCAGAGTTTGAAGACTTCAGAGAGTGAAAGTCGAGCGTGCCGCTACTATGTATGCCAAGGCATGACAAGCCGTGACCAGAATTGTGCAGATTGGAGGGTAACCCTGAATTTTCTCGGGCTTGCTCTGACACTGCACTACATTATTCTAAAAATCAGTAAAAATAAGGTCCATTTAGAAGAGATATAGATCTATGACAGGTAAAATTTTCAAAAGAAACAGTGATGTAGTTGAGGAGCTAGAAAAGAATTTATGAAAATGTTACATATTACAGGGAATGATAGTAGCGGCGCTAGGTTGCGCCAGAACCCCGACTCCGCATCAAGACATCAAGACAAGATATGATTTGGCAGTGTCGAATGTGCAGAAACCAGGTTCCTGAGTGCAGCAGCCATGAATGTGTGTCCATTGACATTATCACACTCTGGATCGGAGACGCCCGCTTTCTCAAGCATTGTCACACCAGAATATTGGGACTCAACATCTAACAAAAGCTCCGCTGGATGCTCCTGACTCAATCCAGCTGTTTCCTCTTCAAAAACTCTCTGGACACCAAGCTCATTATTCTCAACTACATGATCAGATAATCCAGGCAACACGTCATTGATTCATCACTGGGATACAGCATCAGATTGTTTGGTTCGAATAGGATATCAGAATACAGACAATTGTGATGCTTCAACCAGAAGAAATGACCAGATTTTATTCTTCCGCACTCGAAACATGGGTCCCATTTGTTCAGGCTTGAATTTACCAGGACAAACGAAGACAATGCTGGAAACCCCATTAACATCTGCAGGAGTCTGAGGCAACACAGAAGCAGTCGACACGACATTCATATCATAAGCGCAAATATTACCATGAAAGACTTTTGGCTGCAACAGATCCGACAACTGGAATAAGCGCATGACATGAGCAGTGGTACTGTATATCATGATTGCATAGATTTTCTCTTCAACCCGAGTAAGGTCATCAAAATATGTCAGAAATTCGCCACGATACAAGTTGTTCGCGAGCGCAAAACGGGGAGCATGGTTATCCTTCAATAGAGCAGCAAAACAATCAGAACAGACATTCATTGTAGTCGAGTCAGGAGAATATTTAACGATACCTGCCTTATCAAGCATCAAGCTATCAAGAATTTCTGCCGTTGTCGAAAGTGAAAGCTGCGAGACGCACTACACAATACATTTTCGGATTACAAAGGCATCTGTAATGCACAGAGCGTCTAAATTTATTAGCAAAGGTGCTTCAGGCATCAAAGAAACAACAACTTCCGTGGACTCGCAATGCCTTCAAGAACAGACCGTACAAACAGGAGGATCAGTCCACTTCGAGCCTTCATGATAACAGTGTAAATAGTCTAAGATAACCTCTTTCGAAACAGGTGCTGGCCATTCACGCCGGCGCATAGCATCAAGATTCTGAGCTTCAATCGCCAACTCAATTTTGTGCTCACGTCGCATCAATTTATGTTGGTCGAGCTGAGAAAGGATTTGTTGACCAAGCCAGTCCACCACAGCAGATCCATATAACAACGGGGATAGTGCTTTACATCATGGGGCTTATTGAAAGGAGGACAGTGTCCTTCATCGAGAACGCGAGCCAAACGGCAGGGTGATTTTGTAAGAAAAACCCTGAACATGCATGAGCTATACGAAACAGTGAGTCGAGACGGAAATAAACTTACATACGCCTGCGTAAAGTGTCAGCTTTTGGAAGTTTCATGCTCAAGTATCTTATCGTTTGCAAGACCATTGTCTGGCGTGTAAGGCCAGTATGCATCGGTACCTGGGTCAGTGACGGAGGCGGAGGGAGAATCATGAGTGAAATCCACGTTCGTAAGGAGCTAAAAAGTCTGAGCGGGATACCAGCAAGTGCGTTGAGAGCGATGATGTTTCCGTTAATCTTGTCCGCCGGAGGTGAACCGACATGCGTCATCTTAAAGCCAAATCTGAAGGTTTGCGTCACATAGCGGAGCTTGAAATCGGTTACACGAACGGCACCCGATCAAGCCGTGTGGCTTGTTGCTTATATAGTTTATCTAATTATTTCCCACAACCCATTACCGCTTGTACTCTGTCACCGTCTAGTACTCCTCCTCATCAAGACCTCTACCCCTCAACATGGTGGGTGCTATCACCCGAACCATGTTTTCGTACTAACAACCTACATCACAGACAAAACGTACACGCAAAGTTGGTGTGACCGGAAAATATGGTACCGTATGTTATGTGTTCTCTTACAGGACAATTGACTTGACATCTTCATCTAGCGCTACGGTGCTTCGCTTCGTAAACAAGTAAAAAAGGTGAGCCTTTTGCTCTATGATGATCATACGATGTATTGAAACTAGCATTTTTCAGATGGAGATAACACAGCACGCCCGGTACACCTGCACCTTCTGCGGCAAGGTGAGCTCAAATATAATGTTCGCATGTGCGCAACATTCTCATCCCGTCACAGGACTCCGTGAAGCGTACCGCCGTTGGTATCTGGAATTGCAGCTCCTGCAGAAAGACGATCGCTGGTGGGGCATGGACAGTATCGACGACTGCGGCTGCTACCGTACGGAGGTGAGCCATCCCCATTCGCATTGTTGGGCATCGAGTCTGACTATCTACCTAGCACCGTTCGTCGTCTGCGGGAGTTGACGGAGGCATAGATCAAATATTATCGCTTATTTTCTTCATTTGTTCCATACAAGAGTACCGATCGCCTTCGGACGTAGCGAGTGTTTTCACAGTGAATTACAATAACAGGTGTCTGTATACTACGTTCGCTGTATTCTTCTCCCTCGCTTCTGCAAGAAATAGCGCCCGAATGTCTCTTCAACATCGTACTCGTGATAGCGCAGTGTAAAGCTGACCGTGCGCGAACGGATCTGTACGGTGGTCCAGCACCGCTTTCTCCCCTGCCAGCGCAGCGACAAAGTTTAGAAGTTGATTGCTCCGTGGATCAGATAAATTCAGACATTTATATTGCAGCGTCGTGCTTAACCAAATCTCTGCTTTGCCAACTGTTGAAACATGTCCATCGTAGCTTTATCCTTCTCTCGCAAGGCCGCAGCACGTTCGCGTACACCGGCGGTTTTATCTTCTCTCCCTACAGCACGCTTCTCCTCGAATCGTTTCCGCGCTGCATCTCGCCGAGCAATGCTAATACGATGTCAGAATTCAAAGGAAAGCGAAGGGGCACAAGACATACTGGTCCCTGAAACTATCCCCACCACCAAGGAGGGTCGACTCGTCGGCTTCAAAGCCGTCATCACCTTTCTCCCTAAATGCACGGTCGTCCTCTCTCCGGGCACGCTTCTTCTCCAGCATGCCCTCCTTACCGACCTCTTTCGGCCCCATCATGTCCTCGACGCGCTCTTTCGCTTCTGCGCGATCTCGTTTACGCTTCATGCTATGTTCTGCTGCTTGATACTCCGACGCAGCTTCCCGGGCAAGGACCCGATCAGACGCTGAAGGGAGAGTTGGGCCATGTACGCGGCTTCGACCTCCACCGGTATCGGATGAACTAGTGGCACGCCGGTACGTCGCGGAATCAACCTCTTCTCGAACAGCCTTCAAGGTTCCTGCGTCTGCATTTGAGCCCTTAGATGCGAAAGACCATTTGTAAGCTGTTTGGTTTGCTGCTGATGATATATGGGAGTTGGCTTCGGAGTATAGGGACTCTGGACGTCGGTTAGGATCCGTCAGAATTGGCCATTGTGAAATACTGAAGAAGGCTCACTCGGTAGTTTCGCTCTGTTCCATGCCTTGTATCACATACTCAGTACACGTTTTTATAGGTCGTGCATCTTCTTACCTTTACAAACTTTCGGAAGTAGCTGCCATTCCTCTTGAGCAACTTTGTAAGGAAACATCCTGATGATAAAACTCACCTTCTAGCTTTCTCACTTGAGAGCTCATCAAAGTACTACCAGATGAACACCTTAGCATTATTTCTTCGATTCAGAAAAGCGTAGCGCAGGACAGACCTTGTGTTTCTCCTCCTTCAACCATATTCTAAACTCCGTATTTTTCAAAAAGTAGTCCGACTCCGATATGGGTGAGACGCCTTGTGGAAGGTCATAGCCACTTTCTGGAGTAGGCGAACGTTCTCTTCTGTCTCTGGAGCGTGAACGGTCATGACGTGAACGGCGCTCATTGTCTCTATGAGAAGGCATGTCTATGTCGTCGTTTGTTCTCCTGAAAGTTGCACGCAGCGAGCGTGGTGTCGAGTAACTAAGACGACCACTGACCACGGTGATTATCGTACAGTGCTCTAACGGCTCCCTCTCTGCATGCAACGTTGCCAGCAGATATATAGCAGATATAGAAAACCACGAATAAGTCGAAGACAAGTCCAGGAAGATCACAGGTTACTAATGCGCTTCTTACGTTAGCATTTAGACCACAGATAATTTATGTATCCTGTTGACACTGCTCAACATTCACCTCTCCAACCGTTGAATTTCGAGTCTCCTTCTTGAAAGGCTGGATGGCTCTTGCCCGTGCTACTTTCTCTTCCTGGTAATTGCGACAACTTCTCGTTAGTACACCAACTTCGAGGCACTCTCATTCCTCTCATCGTCAAGGCCCAAGGGCCAAGGGTCCCTGAGCGGGCACTTTATAGGACCAACTACTTATGTTTGGTCGCATTCGTCGCCCTTATACTCAGACATTCATGGACACTGATGTTTTCTGGCTGCAACAAACGTATTTCCCAAGAAGTTTGAATAGACCAGTACGTAATACAGACATTCATTTGTCCACCTCAACGATCTCAATAATAACGGGTATTTCAGACAATCTATCAGCGAGGGTCAACCTATAGCTCTAGCCAGTGGGGTGATGTCTAACCTGCGTTCTACTGACGACTGTACAGCATCTCGTGGCTGCACTGTCAGTTACGTTTCTTGCATTTCCCAGCCTGCAACAGGCAAGTCAGCTGCGTCCACTGTGTTCGCCATGGCAAAAGAAACGGTATTTACCTGACATTTATAGTCAGGCCCACATTCATCAAAGCCCTCATTGCACTCATTAGTGCCATCTGCGCTAACAGATACGGCAAGAGCGACGAAAATAGCGAGAAGTGTCAAAAAACGCATGGTGGATATGAGAGTCAGTTGTGAGTTTCTCGAGGTGGGTTGTTCAGTACTGCAGACTTGTTTGCAGTCCGGGTATTTATGATTTTCCTTGGTACGTTGCTTGCACTATCCATCCTATTCGCTTCGCTTCTACATGACAGAACGAGTCAACACTGGCAGGTTGAATGGTCAGCCTCTTTTCGCATCCGGCTGGTGTCATATTTCACCTAAAGCTCCATTCTGGTTGCGGCAGAGACTGTTATTTACCTAAGGTTCCATTCCGGATACTGACAGAGTCTGGCACTATACTAATATAGTTCGTTGGTGTAAGTTCCGCAAACGAACAATCTCGATATCACTTCTTGCCAGTGCGATGGTTGACTCGGCGTCCGTTTCTAGCCACGTATAGATGGACCTAACTCAACATATCGTCACTTGTACAAAGAAATCCTTTGTCGCGATCATCCCCTATTTGCACAAGACGCGGAGTGTGCACCAGCCGAGTTTGGACCGCTGTCAAACTAAGTACGATTTAACCAAGAAAAGTTCAGGGTCGATCCTAGGCTCAGAACCGAACTGCGGGAACAGTGTATTGCTTTTGTAAGTCCCCCTGGGCAGATGCTAACGCAACGACAGAGAATATCCATTGATACGGTGTTTACTTTGGTGAGTATCTTGTACATCATGCCAGTACGTGAACGGCGCACATACACCATAGATACAACCTAATATATTACCAGGTCATTTCCTCCGGAATTCTCTACATTCCTCATTATCCCACTTCACAAACTGCCCGGTAAGCGCAAGAGGAGCACGTAACGAGAGAGCAGCGATCACATATCCAACGTCGTGTGGATTGACTAGGGCTCCTTCATTGTAGGCATCAACAAAATCCTTATGATCGGTCGCCTTCATGTGCTGCACTCCTGCATCCCGCAGTATAGCCTGCATCTGTGCAGTATTTGAGATCTATGTTCGACACAATACAGTCCAGACCTACCGCAGTATCGACTCTCCCAGGCGCAAGTGCCAATGACACGATCGAAGGTTCTTCATTTGCGAGCGTTCTATCCATTTCATAGAATCAGTTCAAAGCCTCCTCGCACGACTCAGCGCTGATCACCTGCTCAGGCTGTTCATAGCAGCTTTACTAGCATTATATGCGCCCCATCCATATATGTTTCCGGTAGCCGCTCCTGAACTTACAAAAATGATCCTACCCTTCGATTCTCGCAAGCCGGGCAAAGATGCCCTGATAGCAGTAATAAGCGAGAAAAAATTGATGTCGAAATAGCTTTTCCAGTCATCGAGGGTGATGTCGGCATTGTCGATGCGCGCTATGGGATCTAGAGTAGCAGCATTGAGGATTAGGCCGTCTATCTGTCCAAAGTGGTCTTTGCCGCGGGTTATAGCGCTTTTGAGCGCGGGTTCATCTGTACTGTGATTTTAAGACCATGAGTTCTATGTAATATGAACACGGGCTGAAAGTTTGGTGCTTACATGTCGCACTCGAGAGTCAACAATGATTGCTCGTGTTCCTGAATCAGTTGGCTGAGGTCTGGTGTTCGAGTCCGCGATATGGTAACAACGCGAGCGCTGTGCTCCTTGAGTAAGGAACGAGTGACTGCAAGACCGATACCTCTGAATATTAGATGGTCAGCACAAGGTTCTCAGAGATAGGGACTAGGATTAACCTGGATGCGCCTGTGATGACGACGACAGGATTTGGCATGACGAAGATGACAAGGAGCCTGACTATGTTTTTCAGAACAGCTTAATGGATACAAATACTCAAGGGAATCAAGGAGAGCCGCCTCGGGCTCCCATGCACGCCTGAACCAAGGTCTGATCTGTTTATAGTGTCGATGACGGTTCGGACGATGCCGACATAGCGCCACTAACGAGCACAAACATGATTCATCGCTATCGTTCCCCTGTTGCTTCACTTAATTGTCTCTCCTAACTACGTCCCGCAACTTTGGAGCGCGTCAAGGTGTCTTTGTAGCCACTCCATGCACGCATGAGATATCTGAAATGGACCTTCAGATGATTTGCACAATCAAATCAGGAGGGTAGAGTGTGTCCAACGACATGCCTTCCCCCTGATTTGATTGATCGATGACTCGTCATGATATATCTCGACCTTCTCGAGTCAATCGAGTATACGATTTACGTTGACTTTTTCTTTGGCAGAAATCATCAGCGCTGACTCAGTCGTTTGTCGGGTCGTTTGTTTCTTCTGAGTCCTTCATTTCAAAATTCACACAGATAACGGAGTCCTCCCGAAGAACGTACACAATATGATATACAACATGATAACAAATGTGAAGATGCAATTTTGGAAATGCAGGGTATGTGCAGATAATAAGGTTAGTGCTGTGCGTACAAAAAGTCTAATGTCACCGCCTGATAATTATTAACGATCCCTCAGCTGCGCTTTCCCAGTCCACACAAGACCAGCGCAGCTCGCATCATATCGTCGTCCTGAATCGTACTTTTTCTTCCGTTTACTACCACGGGCGCAAACTTCAAGTTCCGAGCCACGTGCCCGCGCTTCTGGACGGGAAATGCAGTTTTCTTATTCCAGGCGTCATCTCCAGCTCCTAAGCTCCCATCCGGCGTAACAGCTTCTATTTCTTCGTCTTCCGTTTCAGCACCTGCTTCGTCTTCTTTACGTCTTCCGGATAGGCGTGCCGCAGCACATGCCCATTCAAGGGTGCGCCCGCTGCCCATGAAGTCTATCAAGTCGCGCGTAGGAGGGCTGGCAGGTGCCAGTGGAGATGAGGGCATATTGTCCCATAGTGATGCATGTGGATTATGAGGCTTCGTAGGTGTGCGAGGTGGTTGGAGACGTGATTCGGAACGTGCCGCGACACGATCAAGGGAGGGACGCGGGCGAGGAGGCGTTATCCGTCTCCGTGGAGTATGCAAGCTCGAAAAAGAAACTGATCGGGAATGGACGTGACGTGACGAAGAAGCATGTCCATTCGCGAATAATAGAGAGGAAGGGTCATCATCATTGGAGACGTTCGTCGCATTGTGGAGGGCCACTTTGCGCTCCGTCTGACGTTTGTTTTGGAACCATATGGTGACAGACTTTATTTCCCTGTGGACGACGGTCAGATATGGAGCAAGTGACATCTGTCCCGGAAATGACATACATTCCTGCTGTGTTCGCAACGGCTTCGCGTTCCTCTCGCGTCGGGTGGGATGTCCGATGGAAAAGCTGTTCCAGCATCATAAGCTGAACAGTGGAAAAGCGTTTGCGCGTACGACGCGCAGTATCATCCGTGGAAGATATGCTGGCCAACGATGATGTCCTGGAGAGTGTAGCTGATTCCATGGTTGATGAATGACGAAGGATGTTGGGAAGAAGGACGGGAAATCGGGTGTACGCGTATTTAAGGTGACTACATGCCAGTGACACGCCGCCTGCAGCAAACAAGAAACGCGGTAGCGGAGATCAAATACGCGCCTTCCACGTGACCGTGTTCGGTGTGATTTATCCCCATCGAACCACCGCTATAGTGGTCAATAGATTGACTGTTACAACGTTAACTTGTCCAGTCAATGCCTTTCTACGTTGTCCAATACCCTTTCACGCCCAATTGATCATAATTCGGTAGTTACGAATTCTCCATAACTGACGTTGCGATTTTCAACTCGAGATCGGCGTTAACTTCCCACAGTAACCCTAGACTAGCAATGATCACATTAATGTATCCCTATCAAGGGCTGCCCGTCCACGCACGGTAAATATAAAGGGTATTACAATCCCGAGCATGCCTTAATGAACGCAAGCATCCCATATCTCAGTAAAACAAGGTCAAAATCACTAGGATGGATATGGTAAAACAGAATTAACTTAAGAACCACCCGCGCGCTTCTCCTTGCCCCTAGGGCGTTCCCGAATGACCATCTTATTACTGTTCTTAGGGCCCTTGGGTCCAGGTTTACGCGTACGTTTGCCTTTCGTGGCCCAGCCCCAAACAGAGACAGGATGTTTGTTGGACTTGGATTTACCACGTCCACCACCATGAGGGTGATCCTTGCTAAAATTCCAAATGCAAAAGCGTGACTAAATAGACCGCACACAATTGATTGATAGAAAAATACTGACGCATTCATGGCAACACCTCGGACTCGTGGTCTCCACCCCAACCACCGATTTCTCCCCGCCTTTCCTATCTTCCTCCCCTTCCAATTGAGGTTGCTTACGCGTCCGATGGTAGCGCAACAATCTTGTAGGACTTGGCGGATTTCACCGCTCTGGAGGCGCACATGACTGTACCGTCCAGACTCGTCATGGTGCACGACCTGAGCGAAGGAGCCAGCAGAGCGCACGAGCAATGCCTTGCCCGTAGGTAAAAGTGCCACACAGTGAATGACCGTGCCTGTAGGAATGAACCGAATAGGAAGAACATTGCCAGGCCTAACCGTCCTAGTACGGAGTATACCCGTGGTTTCAGGCATACCCATCCTATAGCTCTGCACCACATCCCCCGGCCTCATTCCCTCAGTAGCGAGTATGTATTTCCACTTCGCCTTCCCCTCCACAGTGGCGTCTCGTGCTTTGATAAGAGCAATATGTGCTGAGCGTCCAGGATCGTATTCGATACGGATGACATCGTACTCTCCAGGCTCGGTGCGCATAAAGTCGATGAGACGTACACGACGCTTGTGACCACCGCCGCGAAAGCGGACGGTGATGCGGCCATGAGAGTTACGACCACCATGTTTGCGAAGGCAAGCCGTAAGCAGACGAACGGGCTTCCCTTGGTAGATATGGTCATTTATGGGTCGACGAAGGTGGCGAATACCGGGAGAAACGGGTTTGTAGGTCTTGAAAATGGTGGTGTCGACATCTAGAGATGTAGCTTTAGGCTCATTTTTTGAACCCGATGCAAAATGTGTAGCGTAAGTGCGAGCTACGGAATTGATTGCATTGGCCGTTCGGAACGCTTGTGTGAGTGTTCGAGAGCTTGATGGAGCGCACAATGACGCAAAAGTGCGCAGTGCACGAACGCACAACATCCCGCAGTTTGTCGACGGAACAGCGCCTCTAAGTAGGCTGAAATGGAAAATGCAGGAATTATTTTTAGCAGGTCGAGGAGGAAGATTGTTTGTTCGGAACAAACAGACGCGCTCTCTGCTCGTTCATCATTCAAACAATGGTAGGAGAACTCCTAGATCCAAGCTTGTTTGCCATACGAAAAATGCTGATGCTAATCATCAGGCTGCTCAAATATCTACAGGAATGTCCGAGTTGCGGGAGATAACTAAAATGGAGCGCATAGGTGCGCGAAAGACTCATATGCGTTGAGAGTAATTAGTAACTAATGACTGCTAGGCGCACACTCGCATATCCGAGGTCTTGGGCTTGACGACCGTCTTGAACCGCGAGCCAATTCGCAGGGTATGGTAGGACAGGCCAAAGCACGAAAAGCTGCGGGCATGGTCATCAAGATGGTACAAGAGGGACGGATAGCGGGACGCGCTATATTGTTCGCTGGACCACCTTCGACGGGGAAGACAGCTATCGCACTAGGTAGGTCTATAATTACGATCGACTTACAACAGATGAATGACACTCTGCAGGCATGGCGCAGACCCTAGGCTCGGATGTACCGTTTACAATGATCGCTGGCAGCGAGGTGTTTTCATTGTCGATGTCCAAGACTGAAGCGCTGACACAAGCCATACGGCGGAGTATCGGCGTGCGCATCAAAGAAGAAAGTGAAATTATTGAAGGAGAGGTTGTCGAAATCCAGATCGACCGCAGTCTAACTGGCGTATGTGTACCATATCTCAGTCATCAAAGTTACGGGGTACTAACTACCTTCCACAGGCCACTAAAACCGGGAAACTCACGATAAAGACGACAGATATGGAAACTATTTATGACCTGGGTACCAAGATGATAGATGCGCTTTCTAAAGAAAAGGTTCTTGCAGGAGACGTGGTAGTGATCGACAAGACGTCAGGGAGGGTCACAAAACTTGGTCGCTCATATGCGCGTTCAAGAGATTATGACGCCATGGGTGCAGACGTGCGTTTCAAACTTTTTTACGGTCAGAATCAAGCGGTGCTAATCGAAATTGCAGACAAAATTCGTGCAATGTCCCGAGGGCGAAATACAGAAACGAAAAGAAGTCGTGCACACAGTATCATTACACGAGATCGACGTGATCAACAGTCGGACGCAAGGCTTCCTTGCCCTCTTCGCAGGGGATACGGGCGAGATTAAACCCGAGCTTCGTGACCAAATCAACTCCAAGGTTGCTGAATGGAGGGAAGAAGGCAAAGCAGAAATCGTACCTGGTGTATGTCACTTCTTTATAATAGAGCTCCGTGACTAACGCTGATATAGGTCCTTTTCATCGATGAAGTACACATGCTTGATATCGAGTGCTTTTCATTCTTGAACCGTGCGCTTGAGAACGAGCTGTCGCCTTTGGTGATCATGGCTTCGAATCGAGGAATGTCGCGTATACGAGGAACGAAGTTCAGAAGCCCGCACGGACTACCTGTTGACCTACTCGATCGTGTCCTCATCGTCAGCACGAAGCCTTACGCCGAAGAAGACATCCAGCAGATCATTCAAATCCGGTGAGTCCTATTTCCACGCTATATATTTCTAGTCACTAAAATCTTGAACACAGTTGCGATGAAGAGGATGTGACCCTGACCCCAGAAGCACAAAGCGTTCTCACCTCGATGGCAACATCCACGACCCTGCGGTATGCCCTCAACCTGATCTCTTGTGCGCAAGTAATCGCACGGAAACGGAAGTCGGATGCAGTGGACGTGGAGGATCTCCGTCGAGCGTACACATATTTTATGGATGAGAAGCGGAGTGTGCAATGGCTGAAGGAGCAACAAGGCAGCTTGGTGTTTGAGGAGGCGGGTCAGGATGATGCGGTTATGGGGGATGCGATGGAGCCGTAGGTGTCACTGCTTTGGAGAGGAGAGACTTGTTTGTTTCGTGAGCAATCATGTTTGCTTGGCGAAATTTATCCGATAGCGCGCCAGGCGTTACTATGTAAGCACATTACAAATGCATCGTGCTCTTTGCTTTTCATAAATAGAATTTGTTCTTGTTTTTCCTTCCAATTTTATGAGATGACACCTAATAGACTAGGGAGCAGCTCGTCTGTTTGTATAAACCGGCTAGTCAGCAGTCTAAGACGCGACTGCTTGCCTCGTAGATGTATATTCGTGTGTATGTCTCAAAATCAGACCCACCTTCGGCGTCACTTTATTTCATGCAGTTAACTTTACAACAAATTCACGGGTGGAATCCCAAGCAAATATAATAATTTTCAATCAACTACGACGAATACTGCAGTACTGCTCAACTGAACCAAGCACCACGAAAAAAAACGACCTCGAAAGCAGAAATGCCAAAGATACAAGTGCTGGTAGAGTCCAGTATAATGAAATGTAAGCAGCGAGCCCGAATATACAATAGAGTAGGAGGGGATGTGTATACGCCGTACGAGTAAGTGCGAGATGTACGCGTAGGATACACGTCAAAGGAGCAGTCAGAACGAGCGAGTGTAATGTGCAAGGAGCGTGGTGGAGCTATTAGCTATACTATACTACAGGAAGGCAAAACTGAGAGCAGCGCAGTTCGATATATCGCGACATACAATATCAGTCATATTCCCATTGTGGCTGGGCCTGCCGAGTGAGGAGCCTGAGGATTGGGGCTCATGGACTGGAGACAGGAAGCATGGATTAATGTAGAAACTCCTTACTGTCCTTCTCTGTTCCGCATGCGGTGTCGCAGCCTTTGGATTCGATGTCTACCATGTCGTAGTCATCGCAAGGCTCATCAATGACAGACACGACGGTGGTCTCCACATTGACGTTCAAGTGTGCCTAGATGTTGTCATCAGCGCGTTTTACCGGGTAAACGGTGACATATACGTACATTCTTGTTAGGTGAGAAAGGACCCAAGATACGTTGCTGTAAGCCACGAGAAGAGTGAGTGTCACCGCATGATAAATGAATATGGAACACGGACCGATGATTTGTGAATGTTCATCGAGGCAGGGTACACATCGGCCTCGCGCTGACTCGAGAAGGTATGGTCTGAACGCAAGCGCTTGCGTGTGTTTAGTCTAACAAATATTAGTTGGCCGGTAGAAGGACATGCAGGATTTGACTTACGTGGCGAGAAGGGAATTGGCATACACTGGTCACAGTCATTAGTCATTTGCAGGGTAAAACTATGAATTCACACGTACGCTTCGAGATGGCGAAGTGCATTCCGAGGAAGATCAAGTTATGTCGCATAACCATCCACTGGTTTGTGCATTAGAAGACATTCCTCTGAAAATAGATGCCTCTTACGCAAATGAGGGATGCGATTGTGACAGCGCTAAAAAAATATTAACGACATCCTGAATGATGGCCGTGAGCACTTACCAAGTAAAACTTCCAGTCTCGAGTGTATACAAGATTAATGAGTTGATGATGTGGTTCATTCTAGTGACTCATCAGATGAGATAGACATGAAGTGAGGGATGGTCCTACGTTGCGAAACCAGTGCGACTCCGTCCGAGGAATGTGACCATGACCACGGTTATGATGAATTCCACAGATGCAGATAGGGTGACACCGGTAGTGAACACCCACTACATTACGGAGTGAGCTTTTGAACGATGTCCTTGGCGTTTCCGCCCACTTACTGATGGGAATGGCTTGATGAATAGCGAGTAGTGGCGAAGTCGCAAGCTACGAAGACTCACGTAAGGAAACAAAATTTTGTAAATTCTGTGAAACTCACATTTCGGTTGTTGAAACTTGCGAGAGCCCGTTAGTAATATATAAAAAAACAAATTGCCGAGAGTAACGTACCACATGCAGCGACTGCGGTTTTATGATGAGCATAAACAATTGAAAAATGAAAAATAAAGGAACTCACGAAGACGCAAAAATGCCAAGAAGACCTGATCATCGAACATTAGATTTAGTGACGGTAAACTGGTACGGCTGAACCACGTACAAGGGGCGCAGCGAAATACCATTTCTTTGTCACTGAAAGAAGCTTAGCTTGGTACACGGTAACCAGTTTCAACATTACTGACGTTTACGAACTCTGTTCGCGAAGAAACTGCACAGGAACAGATATAAATCACCGTCATGCCAATTCAGTGTAGGAAACAACAAACCAGTGGACGAGGAAGGTAACCGCGGCAGTTATGGCTACAGAAAGCTATATGAAGAATTGTGAGACCGGTTAGTTGACCGCAACAGAGAACACGAACACCTAAGGACCTAAAGTGCAGTTGTACCATAAATTACGGTGCAAACAAAAGCATTTCAGCTGACTCACCTTGGGATGACATCCATCATTTCTGGTTTGTTGAAATTAACGATAACGCATTCCCAGACGGAGACGATGATGAGAATTGTGTGCATCATGTCCAGTCCCCTGCACGACAGTAAAAAAACATTTCCAACCATGTCAAACTTGTGCACCCACCAGACGATCAAGACCTCGAGTCAGTATCAAGTTAGAAAATGATCTTGGGGAGCAACGTATAACCAAACTCACCAAAATTTTATTTTGAGTGCAATCCGAGGGGTAGAATTTGAAATACAAGACGGTTTGCACGAACACAATACCGGTGAGGCTTGATACAACGTGTCACAGAGGCGTCCCGATAACAGACGAAGTATTACTCACCCGCAGCCAATGCAAGTGCCTAGAAAGATCGCACCGTATACCGTCGCGACGGTGGCTACATCGCCGGCTACCATGTTTTGAGGTGGAACTTGAGAGGCCCAGGGGGGAGTAAAGACAGTAAGTGGAAGAAAAGAAAAACAACCACAAAAAAAAAGGTTAGACACACCACTGGACCTTTATGTAGGTACGTGATGATTAAAATTAATATCGGAAAGCTGGTCGAGATCCAGGCATGCTTTCACTGATCTCGTCATCGCGAGTAATAGAATTCTCTGATTCTAGTTCGAAGAATTCGGTATACGGTAGCGGCACAGCCACATAGGCAGGGTCAACTTCTCGTACGGCACAGGCTAAATCCGCATTGAACCTGATAATTCGGATCTTCGTTCAAACCTGAATTCTATATAGGCAAATGAACAAGGCATATATGTGTTGACAAGCTTGGTGAATATGAACGTGGATAGAGCTGGGTTTGGGCTGTGGAAAGTGGACGAGCGCCCACTCGTTTAAACGAATTCCCACCTTCATCATTCTCTAAACACCGCCTGAGTCAGCGCCTGCACACTAATAACGTTTCCTCGGCACCTAATAAAGCTCGCAAAGTCTCCCACAAACGATCAGAAACATTGCTGTGCAGTGTTGATTGTGCGGGTGGGCGCTTCACAGTGTACATGCATAGATGTCTGTCTGACACCGCCGCTCATGGCTAGAAAAAACTATCGCTGAGTTGCGAGCGTAATAAATCTATGCCGTACGTTTATTGCGCCGTCTCCTCCGGACTGTGGGGGCGAACAACACTGGATGGAGTAGCTGGGGAATCTATTGTTTGACCCGTCACAGTCAAGTTCTTTAGTGCTTGTATTTCGCTGAGGTTTACCATAGCTAGTAGCAGCATGCACGTGGCTATAGTACTACGAAGCTATTTCAAATCCCTAGCTAGAGTTCAGGTTAATAATCAGAAGGCCATGATGCAAACTTGCAGAAAAGTTGAGCCTGATAACAGAATTTAATTTCGGGAGGTGAAAAAGTGCGGCTGGGGATCACGTAACCCGCCTGGCGGCAAGCGAGCGCCACTAGTACTTCGGGCCCGCGCCTAACAACATACTCTAGTACCTAATACACCACCCGCACCCTCCAACACATGTCTCTTTACGTCTCTGCTACGACCTGCAAATCCTTTGTTTCATTCTCCTCGGACTGCGAGTCTTGTGGGCGGTGTTAGTGGTGCACAATAATACGACCCGAGGCGCTACATAGGGTAGGCTAATGTTTTTTTTTGTTGGCTCGGCTAACTTTAGGACATATGGAAATGCTTCCCTCATCGTCGACTCTGCCGTCATTCAGGCCTCCCATAGCCACGATGAGATGATCTTGGGCGCTGATAGTTTCGTTGGAATCACTTTGTTGGTGAGTTGTCGTGTGTATAATGTTTAAAAACAATTTCTTTCATAACTGTGGGCGCTGGGCATACGCTAGATGACGGCAAGTTTGAGACAATTGAGTAGGATTCGTTCCACCGTCCTGGAGGCGATCCCTGAACTGTCCGGCGGACTGGAGTTCCCGGACTCTACGAATACTGAAACGCTGACGATTGAATATTGAACTTTATCAAGGCTCTACGCCACTCTGGACCATTATCTAACCAGCCAGTACGATTGGCTACCTGATTAGCTTCACAAAAGCCTTCATTAATCATTCTTATCGCCGAATGATAGTACTAGTCTATGGTAGTGGTCTCGGACGAGCAACCCATTCTGAGACGCGAGCCTCGGACGCTTCGATCTCCATTCTTCGGGTTTTTCTTCTATTTTATTTCTCCATTTACAAGCTGTCACTCGACAACAATCTGTACCTTATGAATGAATCTCACTGGCAAGCATATATTATAATATAAAATATAAATCTGTCACAAAAAAGATATGATCTACTGCTTTATGACGAAAAAGGTTAGTTACCGGAGTGACTCGAGCTGGCTGGACCTCATCCGATCGAGACCAGGAATCCTCGACGATATAGAAATATCGGGGTTGGCACTGCACCCCGCCCCCGTTGCAATTATACCGATCAGTACTGATATGAATTTGAAAATGTTAGAACCAGGCTATCTAGCTCAAGGACTTGGAATCTAGAAGGAACAAGCGTCTTCTATGGCCTGACTAGGGGAGACTAATACATTGGAAAAGGTCTAGACCACGGCAGCAACTACCACTATGCTAAAAGTGAGTACTGTCAGGGTCGATTAGTCAGCAGATAGCTCTGGCGCACTGGCCCAAAAACGGATACAAACCAACCGCCATAGTCGAAGACAGACGAAATCAACTCAAATGTACGTGCCATTAATGCACAAACGAATCTTGTGTCTGACTGCAGTTGCCGTATATGTATCGTGACTACTGGCGACCACCCGGTCGAGACTTGCCCTTTTCTGTGTTCTACTTCACTCAGTGAGCATAATAGAACGACACAAGTGTTTGCGTGCTTGCTTCCCCTCAGCTCTTCGCGAATCAAATATTTCTATCAGAAATTTATCCTTTCTAAACTCTGTTTCATTTGCCAACGATCACTTCCTGCATTCGAGAGCTCGACCAGTCCTGCGGTCTATAATCAGTGCAGCGGCGGCGATCAATTCCAGGAACAATCGCCAGGCGAAAACAGAAATTCTTGTCACGCTCATATCAAGTCGGAAATGATCATGGGCGAGTACTCGAGTAGTAATTCCTATACGCCTCGGCCTTACTAAATCGGTTTGATACCTTTATGTGTTTTTGACTCACTGTCCGTAATGCGCACTTTTCCGGGAGAAGATTACCTACCAGTTCAGCACTGCAGTGTTAGTCGAACCAGACGGTGTCTTAGCCGAGAAGTGAGTTCATCAATTTTATTCTCGCTCTTCGTGTGAAAAAGGTACAAGTACCACTCTTGCACCCTGTCCTTCTTTGACAGGTGGAGCGTACGCGTAAGGGTTGAGCTGTTCTTGTGGTATTGATTGATGTCGCGAGTCGGGACGTACGCTATCACGATCATGTGGGACGCGCTGCGGCCAGAACATATGTCGACACGGAACTGGTCCGGTGCTTTCTTCGCACGATGAAGTAGCCGTCTTGAAGTCAGCTGGATGTTATCTCAGTATCTGCGTGCACGGAGTGGTATAAGTTTGAACGGCCCCACTTCCACGCACTCACTCTGATAAGCACTCTCTCCTTTGCTGTCTGATTCTCGCAGTAGGTTTCGTCGCATTATCTGGTTTGATATGATTTCTCATTAGATTAGTATGCCTGGAACCACTCTTCCCCCTTTCCCGGATGATGTTCGAACACATCCGCTTTTGATTGTTGACTTTGAGCTTATCAAGGCTGGAGACAGGGAGGAAATCGATCGATTGTGGGAGGCTGCGACAACGCTCGGATTCTGGTAGTACGTCATAAGAGTTGGATCATTTGCCGAACATGAGTCGGACCTACTAGATCCTTCGGACAGTTTGAAGAACCATGGCGCAGATCAAGAAGCCAATGACATGTTTGATGTGGGTGCAGAGACGCTGGCTTTGCCCCTCGAAGAACGGTTGAAGTTCGAGCAAGGGGACAACGGTCAATCTTTCGGGTCTGTCATTGACATGGCTCACACTGGCAAGCATGTCTTATCTTATCTGGATTTTTGATCAGATACAAGAAAGCTGGGGCTCAAGCGATCGATGGAACGGGCGCGTACTTCCAGACCAGATCACTAGCAACAGACTGACATAAACCCAGGCAAATTCTTGGACAACATCGAGTTCATAAACGTCTCTAAAGACGATGCGCTCGCATATCCACGGGTCGTTCACCTCACTTATCCATCGACCATAAACGCTCGCATGGAAAACACCGTTGCGCCATTTGTCCGCAAGTCTCTTGACGTGACATATGTCGTGTTGAACATATTTAATGATAAGCTTGGACTGCCGGAGGGCACTTTGGAGAGTATGCATGCTATGGATGAGCACAGTGCCTGCGAGGTCAGATGCACTCGCAGCCCCCCTGTGCAGGACAAGGAAGCGATGGAAAGAGTTATGCTGGCTGCCCATACTGATTTTGGCAGTCTGGTGGGTCGCTTGATACATGCGGGTATTGTAGTGACGGAAATATATGTTTCACCAGACCTTCCTGCACAATCGGCTAGGTGGACTCCAAGTAATGCCACCTGGTCATGACGAGTGGTCCTACATCAGAGTAAGCATTTCTCTTAGGTGGCCGCAACGGACGCTCACCAACGCATAGCCCATCCCTGGACATGCTATTTGCAATATTGCGGATGCGCTATCCATTTTCAGCGGAGGCATTCTGCAGTCCAACATTCACCGCGTTGTGTATGTACATGCCAGTGAGGACCTGCTTGTGCAAACTTGCTGATTTTTCGAATCATCACGGATAGTCCACCTCCCGGTGCACAGGCAGGATACGAGCGGTGGTCCCTAGTTTTCTTCACCCGTCCGACCAGCTCGAAAGTTCTCCGGGCCCTTGTCGAATCCAGTCCCATTATCGTAGACGCTGTGAAGAAGCAACCTGACAAGAACTTCGAGAGTGGTTCTACTGCTGCCGAGTGGCTCGCAAGAAGAGTCAGGAATCAGAGAATTAATAACAGAAGGGTGAGAATTCCAGTTGTGGTGGATAGGATAATTGATGCCGACATGTTACAGGGACCAGATACATGGACTGCGAGTCGTGGCACTGAGCACACTCCAACGGCAGCTTAGGTTATTTGTCTGCACTATTCGACAACCAGGTTTGAGTCAGTGCGAAGGTTCTTTGTACGGTTCTGGTTCTTAATTAAAGTGAGAACACAATTTACTTACTACAAACTTGGGGAACTTGTTCTTTGCATCAGTTCTGAGCGATTCTGAATTCTGCGATGTGTAGAGGAGTTGACGGTATCCAAGATGGCTTCGAGCTCGACTCGGTCTTTTTAGATTCCCCGAGGTGCGTCACCCTCTGACGAGTGAAAGATGGTAACCAGTCCATGGGGAAGTTCCCCGCACTTGAGAAGACGAGAACTGATTAGCTGAATGATTGCGTAAAGTGGAGCCGGGTAAACGAGCGATCACTTCGTAGAATTCAGCTCTTACGGAGCAACGATTTACGCATGCGGGAATCAAGGTTGCGTGAACTATGTGGTCATGTTGCAATTTAAGGTGCGAGGCCGCGCGAATGAACGGTACTCGCGACATGAGATGACGACAGCAAGAAAGTCGTGGGTCTCATATCGATAGACCAGATCTTGAAACATTCAACCCGACAGGAGCTCCATGTCTCCTGAAGCCGAGTGGTGATGTGTTGTCTAACTCGCGGGAGGGTCCCCACTCTGCCATGTTTGATCCCAGCATTTCAAGAAGAGACGTGCGACATGTTTTTTTTTGTCCTTGGAGCGGCTGTGAGATTGTAATTTGCTCTATCACAGCCGCCACACGCTCAGGGAAAACAATCAGTGTATGCAGAATAGCGGAAATCCAACTGGTCTGTGAACGATGGTAAATCTGCGATGGTCACGATGTATAGTCAGTCATTGCGCAAACAGGGACACTGCATACATCACACGACACCACCAGACTAGATTGAGGCGGGTACTCAACTCGCATGAGCCTGGAGTTTGTTTCGTCGAGGGTCTGTGCTGCATGATGGAGTGACCTGAGAGGATCATCCTGGCTGTGTTTCAAACCAATATTGATACGGGCGTATCGAGCGTGGTGTCGATCAATGAGGTATGACAATTGGAACTACGCAGCAGATTAAGAGTCAGGCTATTCATGATGTGGCACACCTAGGCCCAGCATCAGGACGTCGAGTTGGCGCAAGAATGAAGGGTGTAAACTCGCTCGTGAGATTTGCACCTATGGTGATTTGCTGAACCGCTGGTCTTCAGATAAATCTATAGGCACATAGTGAGAACAATATTTGACAACTTTGAGTGAGCATGAAAGCCTAGCACAGATATTTGCAATTCAAATCGGTTGACCGCGAGCGTGACCAACGTGACGTGACATAACGAGTTCTGTGACCTTGTCGTCTCATTAACTGACTTGAATTTATCATTAGGGTCTACTGACAAGGATTTTCATCCTACACACATGGATCCATCTGAAATATCACCCGAATACGAGCTCACAGTCCGCAACCACATTCGCCAGACCTTCCTTCCTTACGTCAGGAAGTACATTACCAGAGACCATGTCGCATATACCGAGTCTAAGCTCGAGCAGGTCCGTTGCAATTATTTCCGACCAATAATACATCATATGACATAAGATGTGGCGAAGATCTTCACAGAATCCTTAGATTTTGTCCCATTAGCGGACCCGCACGTGCTCGTGCTACCCCCAGATCCACTCGATACGCTCGTCAGGTCTCTGAAAGATCTCGACTTCTCTTTTGACGAGCGCTTGACGACAGACGGAGATACCGTGCGCAAGATCAAATCATCACTCAAGACTATTGTGGGTGAAGGCAAGGAACTCCGCAGCGAGACATGTTGGCAGGAGGAGGATCACATGTGTCAGTTGTGTTCCCTTTCATCGCTCACACTATCTTTGAGGTGACGTGTTGTAGATGCACGCATTGCAGAGATATACAGACCTATGACACCAATACTTACCAACCGCGCGCGAAAGCAGACCCCGAAAGCAGGTTCCAATGCTTTCCGCGCATCTCTCCCTCGCACACAGCCTGCGCTATTCGAGCACATCGGTGTCAAGTCTGTAGTGGTAGCACAAATCGAGGATTCGGATATACCTAACTTGGAGGAAGTTCTGTGCGCGATTTTTCTCTTGCTCTTAAATTACCACTTACGAATTTGGAACAGGAATGTTCGTCCCACGATAGAATCCACCACTCGCACTTATATCCTTTCGCTATTTAAATCGGCAAATCCACCTGCACAATTAACCGAGACAAACGTACATGTCGCTTCTTTCCTACGCGCCGATTCACCACCGCTTCAGATTCAACGTCCACTTTCTCCCCCCCTCTTTTCCCGATCTCAAGCCAGCACGGGTTCGTTATGGACAGGTATTACGAATGCAAAAGACGTCGTGGGTAGGCTGAATGCTGCCCCTGCTCCGGTTCCGGAAGAGCTAGAGGACAACGTAGATAGCGGTAACATGTCGATCGTTGATGGATGGGGTACGTGCGCCGTTCCCAGTTCTTCATTCTTAGTACGTGGGGGAAAGGCTGACTATCAAATGCTTAGCTGTCCTCCCAATCTCTTCTCCCCCTTCCGCTTCGCCTCTCTCCTCACAAGGCACAGAAATCGACGAACTATGGGAGGCATCATCGACTCCGCCTGGCACGCCTGCTACAAGCCTTTTCAGTGCTAGAATGGGTGAGCATATATTCATATATGCAATACATTTCTCTGATTTTACCCTCCAATCATGCTTTTTTGGATTTTCATTATGGGCTGGTAGACGAAGTAGAGATCCCGCGTATTCATAAACCCGGACACGTACTCCCACACTCACTGAAACCAAGGGGTTCTAACAGGTGCGTGCTGCAGTCCATACACGAGCACTCACTCACTCGCTTTTTCAGTCTCAAGTCACTTATCGAGCACCTGAAGCCTGTGGCTACTGTGAAATCAAAAGAAGGCCATACTACAGCACCGACGAATCAGAATACTAATATTTCGCTATTTATCTCTTCCCCAAGCGCAGAGGATGGGAGGATCATTGATGCAGAAGACTCTATGCTCGGGCAGCCACCTTCTGTTTGTACTGCTTCACCTCTGCCTGCGCATGCGGGAAGAGACAGAAGAAAGAAGTCAGATCAAGATCAAGCCTTGGAAGACATTGATGTGGAACAGGGTCTCGACATGGCTCTCAGGCATATATACCAAACGGTGCAGCAGGAGAACATCGAGGGGTGTGTATTGCGGGAGAGGTTGGATGAAAAAGATGTTGCATTGATGGATGGTGCGTTCGTTTCTGCCATTTTTTGGGGTTTGATGACAGTCTTCGTAACTTCGTTCTTTTTGATATACTTTCTCGATGTTTTCTTTCGAATGTCTTTCGGATTTCTTACAACACCGTCACTCGGCAGTGCCACACCTTCCCTCGCCTACCGTGCACCTGGGGCCATCTCTACAACCTACAAGCATGAGGGCCCTCATCCATAGAGGCGAGATGAATACAAACGTCCAGCGGCACGCTACACTGGAACCTGTAAAAGGCATCAAGCCACTTAACCTCGAGTTATCTTGGAGGTACGTAATCCGCACTCCCAGCCCATTTGAATACGAGCGCCCTGTGGTCGTCGTCTCGAAACTGCTCTCATATATATCGGCACATGCAGGCCCTTCAAATTCGCGGCCCCGATTCCAACCGACGAAAGCGTCTCTCTTGTCGCCGAACCTACTCTGGATGACCTCGTGAAACTGGGCTATGCTGACAAAGCAAGCGAAGCGAAAATCCATGGACTGCTCGCAGACCTCGACACTACCTCCTGTCATTCGGTCAACGTGGCAGAATCGAAGAAACCAAAAGACAAACGCGGCACAGGGAGTTTTGGTCTTTCACCTCCCCGCCCCCTTAAGTCCTCTATGCTAGGAGAGGGATTTGAACTAGTGCTGACGAAAAGAGAACGAAGACTTCATGCTGGCCTTCCTGAATTCGAGGATTTGCATGAACATCGTGCCAAATATGGTGAAGATTGTCATGAACGACAAGATAAAGTCAAAGGCGGAGATGAAACCTCACTTGAAACGGACAATGAAGATCTGCCTGCGAAGCCCCCTCGCCTTGTCTTTCATGATTCTGGCATTTTAGAGAGTATTCACAACGTTGTCGACGACTCCGATGTTGCATATAATGGCCTTTCTGGGCCTACGTTCGGCGATCCGGAAATTGCGTTCGATTATTCTGGTGTTGCATCCCCCAACCTCCACGACAATGAGACGCGTTATCGAGATCAAGACGATCCGAGTCCCTTGGAAACTGTCTACTCATTCGATGGTGTTGATGACTCTGACAAGGACGAGGAGGATAACCCACACTATGTGTGCCAACATCAAGGTCAGGAGCAAGATGGGGATCAAGGCCACGGAAGACCATCTTCATCTTTCCCGTTACCGGCACGGCACCGGTACGGCCCAAGTCCATATCCGGCCAGCCCTCCTCTCCGAGGACTTGACCAAGATTATGCAATGGCTAACTACTCCCAAGACAAATATACGGAATCCGCTTTTTTCCCACTTTCATTTGGCTCCCAGGGCGAGCGGGTGTCAATGTGTCCGACCGATCTAGTTGTACTTTCGGGTGGTGATGAGGAACGAAGTGTGTTACCGGATACCGACAGCCCAAAGAAAACTCAAGGCATCTCGGACAAGGACCAACCGGCGAACATAACGGCATTCTTACGACATTTTGGCCCGGAAATGGATCCTAGTACCGCTTTCCCTGCATTCAAACGCAGACGATTGGACGATCCCATGGCCGCCGCCGTCGTCACCCGAGGGTTTTTAGACGACTACTTGGCACTGCGCAACAAGAACGGGATGCGTGACCCGCCTCCGTCGGTAACTCCTGCGATCGTCTCCTCTGAACCCCAAGGTTTGCAACTCGGCAGCATTTCGCCACCCCGTGCTGCACCTGTAGAAATCCTCGACACCTACACCATGCATCTCCCCGATGTATGGAACGCACCAACTGCGAACCATTGCTATCTTGCAAGTATGGCTCTCATTCAGAAACGTGCGCTCGTCCGGGCCTTGCAGGCCCCTGAGTGCCGGGTGCATCTCGTAGAGAGGTATGTGTTAGGTGGGGTGGACATCGCGATGGATCCAGACACAGCCGTGCTAGTTGCGCCACTGCTGGCGCTCCCCTCTCAGGTTGAAGGACTCGTCGATCGCATCTCGCAGGCGTCCTGGCGGTATACACGTATCCTTATCATTTTCGAAGCGTTCCCAAGTGCAAATGCATTTACGGCAGAAATAAGTACGAACAACGTCAAACTAATGCCCTATGCCTTCTCGCCTCCCATTCTCAAAGCAGTTAAGAAGCTCCGCCGGCTCTTGACCATCGCCGAGGGTTGTGGGACGAAGAATGCAGAGTGTAAGATTCAATGGGCGTTTGCCAATGATGTGGGCGAGGTAGCCTTATTCGTGAGGATTTTTGGGAACCTAGCTCAGGAATGGGCTTTCAATAGAGGTGGGAATGCACTTTGGGAAGATAGGGGGTGGCTACAGGTCGACGAGCACGAGGTGTGTTCACTCCGTGCTTCTCATTCAATGCTGTAGGGTGTACATTTTGTCGCCCATCTTCTTTTCAGGATGAAGCGGATCTTGCCAGTGTGGACGGCATGAACCCTTTCGCAGCCTTCGTCATGCTGCATCAGGGAGCGCTGCAAGAAATCCTCGATATGACTTCTGAAAGTCGTGTGGCAGAATTTTCTTATCTGGTAGGAAGCCAGCGGATAGTAAGATGTTTTGCATGTTCCGGTGTTCGCAAATTCATTGCGGACTTTTCAGGCTTCTCTAAACGCCATCATCAAGGAGCGCACACAGGAGATGCTTGTAGATGCGGCTAGTGAATCTGGTCTGGGGGTGGACGTGCCGCATGTATGATTTCATTTTGCTGTAAATATACTATCTCAACCGAATTTCATCTTGACCTTCCTGTGTTGGTCTCTGATGGGTCAAGTTGTTTGATAAGCGAACTATGTCGGAAACATCCATCCGGTGTGGGTGGGGAAGTTGGTAATCGCGTGTGGTACGGAACAACAATCACTGTGGTGGTCGGAATTACAGTGGTTAAAGGGTGAGAGAACAGGCAGTATGATTTGAGAAGGGGGGACGTTCATACAGTGCACGCAGGTCATACGGGTGGCGGGACAGCCACCTTTTATCACCACGTTTTCTTTGCTTAATCTCATGAAGTCCCGATGCAGTGCAGTTGGAGCAGCCACGCGGACAATACCAACCACTTGGCGAGGTGAACTTTGACAGGCGCTGACAAGCGCTGAGGACTAAGTGCCGTAGACCTAATTCCGACGGCCGCGGTGCTACCATGGTATGTTGTGAGACGATGTAAGGAGTATTGACAGTCAGTAGTAAGGTCGAACGGAATCGGACGAAAGGCCACTCCGGTAGGGGCTAGACGCTCAACTGCGGGACGCCCACAGGGCGCTTGGGTGGAGCATGTATGAGAAGATATTAACCATGTAATAATTACTACTTCCTGTGTTTTACATCAAAGTTGTAATACAACGTTCATATGAAGTGGCCAGTATCGAAGCTCCATTCTGTACCTTCGCCGCTGCCGGTACTGGGGTGAAGATATAAAGCCATGGAATGGGAACCTTCCGTCCTCAGAACTAGCATCTTCAATAGCCGAAACTCGATAAGCTATGGACAACCAGAGACCACCACAAGGGCCGCAAAACAGGTCCAACTTGCAACGGGACTATCGCGAGAGGGAGCGGCTCGCCTTTCGCAATCTGTTGGGGGCCCTGAATGAAGTCGAGCGCACTAATCCTCGTTCCCGACGCGAGATTTTGAGACGAGGTGAGTATCTCGAAGTCCACATTTTGCAACGCTGACAAGACAAAAGCGGCCGAGTGTCTCCGACGTCTGGGACAAGAACAAATTGACCTGCAACGACAGCTCGGGGTGTTCCCAAACAATGTTGTGGGTACTGAGAGTCAGCCAGAAGGTAAGGTTATTTGCAGTCCCATGTACTCCGGACTGAGTAGGCGCATGCAGCTATAATACTATCCGATGAAGATTTCGAGTGGTTACAAGATTATATGGCTCAGTGGGAACAGCAGGGGGGAACGGGGGGGCCGCCATAGTGGGGAGTACAGTATGGGTTAGCGCGAAGATTAGCTCAGGGGTCAGAACGATGCAGGCATAGATATTAGGAGTACCGCGCAGAAGTTGACATGAGACAGAGTTTTGGTGTTCGGGGTCCTGGAGTATACGCAATGTTGTAATAGATAGGCAGCACCAACACACACTAGCACATTCCCTCCCCTTCAGAAAGCTAGGCCGGCGGATTCACGTATGCAGTAGGGAGCCTAAGTGGAAGTGTATACAGTCACCCTTGAAAGATGAGTTGGAGCTAATGCTCCCGTAGCAATATCGGAAGAAAAGTGGATACCGATGATTAGAGTTGTGACACCCGTGCTTCATAAGTGTAGTTCCGGATGCACTGTAGCCAATCAATATGGACAGGAAACACGTACGACGTACGGGTAAATCCATCTTGTGTTACAGAAGAACGAGGTGCGCTAGGTCAACGTAAAATAAGCTGTAGCTTGACATTAGGCACCAGATCAGCGAGCCCTGAGCGACTCATTGTCTTGAGTGGTTCTGGTGCCTCCTCCATCGAGTCGTTTTTTGGTGGAAGGGCATCAACGAAGGGCCAAGTCAGCCCCCAGCGACGCGACCTCCATTGACTCGTTGTCTTGAGCATTTCTGATACCGCCTCCATCGAACTATGGACCTATTGGATCGGCCAGGCATTATTGACGGAAAAGCCTTTGTTTTGCTACGTGTCCGTGGCGGTCCACGGATATAATTATGGTTGTATTCAAAAAGTTTAAAATCACGAGGCCTGCGAGTGGGTCAGCGAAAAGGGTGAGGAGACCCGTATGCCATCGGCACTCCTCTCATCCTAAATAAAAAAAATGTTTGTCCTCTGAGTAGCCTCGACGAACTAGCTGCGGGGTAGCGTGGCTGGGGACATAATTGGCGGTCCCCGATTATTAGGCGCATAGCGCCAGTCATGTCATGAGGTGAAAATACTGTACCCCATGTCAAAGTCACATGCACTATAGATGTGCAATAATAGAAGAAGCCGTTCAGTGGGCTGTGTCAAAGCCGAGCCCCCTAAATATATCAGCACTTGAATGATAAACCAAAAAAGCCAAATGCAGCATGAGATTTTGATGCAGCGCCAGAAGGTCTCCAAGACCAGATCTGCAGACCTGGGCGTAATCCTATAGCTGGAATGGAGCCGGTTGTTTTTAGAGATGGGGACATCGTCTCGGAGAACGATCGGCTCTCGGGCCTACTAGAAGAAGTCGAAGTTTTCATATCCCGAATTTCCCGCAGGTTACATTTCAGCAGTCAATTGCCGAAAACGTGGGGTACACATGTGTCCGGGCTGATGGAGAGACCAAATGCTGTGCACAATCTGATAAGCAACATTGGGCGCGACATCATTGGACTAAGTTCGCAAACTGGGAACGCAAACTAACATGTAACAGGCTGTCTGCCTACCACGCTGCGGAACTCTGGCAACGTACGGGTAGAGTATTTCGTTGGGCCGCCTCTACTGTACGTAGGGAGTTATCGCATGCGTCGAACACGGCGTCCCAAGTGAACTATTCCGTTTATGACGGGGAAAAACTAGCCGTATGAGAACAACCGGGGTCTCATGAGGTTGCTTTAACCCTTCCGATCTTCTTGGTGATCTCTATGACCAAGCTGCTGGCGGTAAAGTTCTTTAACCTTCAAGAAAACTTTATTTCGGCCCGAAACTATCGTTGTCAAAATGAGCTTACCACAAATACTGTTCTTGTTCTTGTTATACTACTTACCCTGAATGACTGTGTGTTCAATCGGTCAACGTGGTACGGAAGTACCTATAAGACGCGCACTTTTCAAACGCTAACCCCAGTCGATCACCACATCAACTTGAAGCTTTCGCCTTCCACGCCAGGTGAACCTTTTCTTCGACATGAACAGCTTCAACTCTCCTATCCCACAAAGTCCGCAGAGTCCGCAACCTGCGAGGGACAACAGATCTGCTGCTCAGCGGCGATACAGAAAGAAGGAAGAAGATGGGTTTTTGCAGCTCCGAGAGGCCCTGAGGGAGGTGGCCAAGGATGATCCGCGAACCAGACAGGAAATCTTGAGGAGAGGTCTGTCCACTCTTTATATAGTCTTTCTTAATCTGACGGTACATTGAAGCTTCCTGTGAGCTTAGACGCCTGGCGGATGAAAACCATCTGTTATCGCAACAGAAGGCACTGATTGAGTCTCATGGAGGAAATCACAAGCATGAACATTCTCAATCACCATCATGTAAGGCAAAACTTGGCAATATCATAGAGACCAACTAACTTGGCGACTTTGTGTAGGTAGCAGTGTGATTTACGAGGATCCTGCGGCGCCGGAGTGGTCACATAACATGGCAGAAGTCACGTGTCAATGGACTGACAGGGCACGTGCACTAGACACTGCAATGTCGGCCCATACGCTCACAGCACAAGACTGTGAATGGTTCACCCAGCTGTACGATGCAAATATGGCACAAGATAGTAGTCAGTCACACTATCCATGGGCATCACAACAGAGCAGAGATTTCGCCAGACGGCCTCACAGTGGAAGTGATTATTATGCGAGGTGTGCCAACTGTCAGCATGGAGAATAACTGTACTATACTAGTAGCAATTACTACTAGGGGTCATACTACGCATCGAGGGGCAGGTCCTCCATATACTACTAGTCCGACGGTCCACATTGGGTCTTCAATAAAGATGTACTTTTATCATTGTAAACGTCGCGCAGTAGTGGTAGTAGTAGTAGGGTTCCGTAACAGATAGTTAATGAACCAGGCTTTTTTGTTCATGAAGTTGACCACTTGGGCTCGAGCCGCTGAGTTTGAAATATGATATTATGGACCTGGCGATAACCCGAAAGATTATCGTTTCGGACGCTCAGCACAAAGATCGCTTTATCGCCAAGGCACCAGTACTGCTTTGTCAGTAGTCCCTGTTCTGTGCCCTGCAAACACAGTACTGCGTGCACCACTCAAGGCATCGCAAGCAGCTAGACTTCCCATCATCCTAACTTTATACTGTGATCACCATGCCCGAGGTCAATAATAAGGTCTGCCTGATGTGAGTAGCGCAGTGGCACCTGAATGTAAAGGCTTCATTGACGATCATCACTACAGCGTTCACGATGGGTGGGGAATCGCTCCAGAGAAGGGCATGAAAGGTGATGCTATCGATGCAGCAGACACCACTAACATGGATACCATTGCCCAAAAACATTCCTATCGCACCCTTTTTGCGCACGGAAATGCGGTCGGTTTGAACGATGGGCTCATGGGAAACTCTGAAGTCGGGTATGTACAATATGCGTTTCCGATTTATCCCATCTCACCAAGATTGATCAATATCCATATCTCAGCCACCTCAACATCGGGGCAGGCCGCATCGTGTGGCAAGATATTGTCAAGATCGATGTGTCCATTGCCAAACGGCAATTTCACAAAAATGAGACGATCCTTGCGAGCATGAAGCGTGCGAAGGACGGAAATGGCCGTCTTCACCTCCTTGGTTTGGTCAGCATGTTACGATGACGGCCCTGCTTTACATCATGCTAAATTCGCTCCATAGGTTTCAGATGGTGGTGTGCATTCCCACATTAGACATCTCAAGGCACTTTTGGAGACTGCGAAGGAATCTGGCGTTCCTCACACTTACGTCCACTTTTTCGGCGATGGCCGTGACACTGCACCTCGTTCGGCTAAGGGTTACGCACAAGAACTGTTGGACTTTATGAAAGAGATTGAGTATGGTACGCTTGCCACGGTTGTTGGCAGATACTACGCGATGGACCGTGACAAGCGTTGGGAGCGCATCAAGATCGCTGTTGATGGCCTCGTTCGCGGCGAGGGCGAAGAAAGTGAAAATATTCTCGAAAAAATAGAGGAAAAGTACAACAAAGACGAGACCGATGAATTCCTGAAGCCCATCATCGTAAATGGAGACGAGGGACGCATTAAAGAGGGAGACACCCTTTTTTTCTTCAACTATCGCTCGGATCGTATGCGAGAGATCGCGACCGTCATCGGACTTCCGGACAAGCCCATCGAAATAGATATCCCTAAAGACCTGGTAAGTCCGTATCTCAGCCGAACATTTTATTTCAAACTAATTGCATAGTGTAGCATATCACCACCATGTCCCGTTACAACGCTGAGTTCCCATTCCCGGTAGCCTTCCCTCCCCAAGCCATGACCAACGTTTTGGCCGAGTGGCTGTCTAAACAAGGCGTCTCCCAAGCGCATATAGCAGAAACGGAGAAATACGCTCATGTTACATTCTTCTTCAACGGTGGGCTCGAGAAGCAGTTCCCTGCAGAGGAACGCCATATGATCGCATCTCCCAAGGTCGCTACATATGACAAGCAGCCAGAGATGAGCGCCCAAGGTGTCGCAGACAAGGTCGCTGAGGTGGTGAAGAGCAAGAAGCACGAGTTCGTCATGTGCAATTTTGCGCCGCCCGACATGGTCGGCCACACGGGTGTGTATGAGGCTGCGATAGAGGCTATCACTGCTACTGACAAGGCGGTCGGGACGGTCTACGATGCATGCGTTGAGGCTGGATACGTTTTGCTCATTACTGCAGACCACGGAAATGCGGAGCAAATGATCAACTTGGAGACTGGTGCCCCTCATACTGCACACACTACCAACCAGGTGCCTTTCATTATGACAGCCCAGGGCCTTGAGTTTGCGAGCGACGAGGAAGACGGCGAAGGAGAGGGGGGTGCACTTGCTGATGTTGCACCCACTATTTTGGCAATTATGGGCTTGACTCAGCCAGAAGGTAAGACTTGTATGCAGTTGGGCTTGATGCCTTATTGATGAATCGATTCCATTAGAAATGACTGGGCGCTCGTTACTGAAGAAATAGATAAGGTAGACGGCGGATGTCAATGTGACGCAGACGAAGATCATAGAACATTGTAGAAGATACCGTTATTGTGGAAGTAGAAAAGACCATGTAAAGCTAAGTAGTGGAGTAGGGGACCCCAGGGGCAGCAGCATAGCAGCAGCCGGATAGCTCCGTAGATTAGTCAGCCACTTAGCGCTCTTCGGGCTTTGCAGTAGTGTAGAGGGATACCACTTCTTCCCTTGCGTTCGATACGCAGGTGCTTAGTCGCGGATACACCGCTCCAACTGGTGAACAGAGCGAGTTCGCCTCAACCAAGCTTCGTTTTGGTTATTTCCCCTTAGAGTCCAGAATCCCAGAGTTTAGAGCCAAGTCCAGAGCCGAGTCCAGAGCTGATTAGAAGCCTCGTGGAACACACGAGAACACGTTCGAGAACCATTGCGTCAGAACCACGAGGAAGACACGCACAGAGCATAGCCTTTTAAATTCTGAGTACAAAAAACGGAACGCTCATGACTGCTCTTTCCTCAGCTAAACAGACGAAGAAGAAATCTCTTCCGCCCAGAGACAGTACAGGTCGATTCATCAAGGCGGACGGAGCCACTTCCTCAGAATTCACATCAGAAGCTTCATCACCGTTGGATACCCCAGAGATCATCGAGAGAACCCTTACAGACAACGATACATCAGCATCGGAGCATGAGGTCAGCAAGCAGTTAGGAGAACGTGAAGACGACGAAGAATCACTTCCGGGAGCGCCCAGCCCAAATATCATTATACCAACCCCAGAAGCCATTTCCCCAATCCCATTCCCGACAACCCAACGCACAGACCAGCTCACCGTTCCAAGCAAAAGTAAACTAAGGTCACCGTCAAAGACAAGTGTCGTACCACCAATTGTTCCAACACAAGCTCAATTCGTGCCAATGGCAACTACCACAGCACCAGCGCTATTCAGCGGGAATGATAACGAGAACCCGCAAAACTTCTTGCAAGAGGTAGAAAGATACATTCACCTTAACAGAATCACCGATGAAGCAACCAAGGTCATCATCTTCAGTACCTTCATTTCGGCAGGTTCTCAAGCCGACATCTGGTGGAACAGCTTAACAGTAGCGCAGACTACAATGTGGGCCAACGTTAAAACAGCATTCCAAGCACAATGGCCGGCCATAGTCGTGGCCGCAAAGTCCACACTAGAGTATCAGAAAGAGCTACTCTCACTGAGACTCAAAGAGGACGATGTGGGTGAGCGCATCACTGTAGCGGGAGTCTCCACTTGGTCACACCTCCACTACCATGGACGACTGCAGAAGCTGGTTCACGATGCGGGTGTAGCAAACGCACCAGTATTCATACACCAGGTTCGCGAGGCATTGCCACACGTCATAAGAGAACTCACATCTCCCGCACCACCGGACTGGACGACGTTCTTTGATGAAATCAAGAACGCGAACATAGATACCATCCAGGACAAGGCACGACGGGAGAAGGAAAGGAGAGAGGCAGAAAAAGCGCAGAACCTAAGGATAGCAAGGCTCGAGAACAAGCAAACCGATCCGGTCGAGGTCTTACGTTTACAGATGCAGAGAGCAACAATCAAACCAGTAGACGCACCTTCACTCCCATCCACCAGCACGCAAACCAGACCCCATAACAGCACGAACGCAACACGTAACACCATGTCCAACTCATCTCACCGGCAAGTACGATATGTGACAGCGAATCAGAATACGCTACAACGTCCAAGAGGTCAGCCGCCAACACAAGAAGAGCGGGACCTCATGAGAATACGCATCAATGAACTCCCACACCATCCAGATACAGCAGACGGACAGATAGCATACGAGGAACAGATACGGAGATGGGAGACGCAATGGGGGAAAGGAGTTAGATGCACAGAGCAGTCTCCCTACCCACTGATGCCGGGAACGGCGCAAATTTGCTCAGGAGAATGTTTCAGATGTGGCGCGCATGGGCACATTGGCCCAGAATGTCAAGTACCGGTGGACGACCAACTGCCGAAGAATGAATCAATCTGGAGAGGATTAAGCATGCGCACGCTGGGAACGTTCAACCGAGCAACAGCTCCGCAAATTAACATCGTGTTTGACAATGGGTATATGGGAGAGCAGGGAAAAGAGAGTGGGTCGTTGGTGTAGAGGACCACGACGACCCACCCAAAGGACATACCTCATAGCTACGGACTGCCAGTCCTCGCGTGCAAAGAGGAGACACGTGAGGACCAACATGCCAATCCTGCCGAGTATACATCCCAATCAGTCAATGTCATCGAAGTTAAGAACGAACAATACGATATCGTTAACTTGTATTCGATGGATGAAGAAGCGAGGCAGCGGACATGTCGACCATTTATACAAAACATCTCCTTCGAAGGACCAAAAGGAGAGATAGTACGAGTAAAGGCGTTATTTGACGAAGGTGCCATGGTCAGCGCAATGTGCTCATCCATGTTCAATTGAGTCAAGCATCGGTTGGGGAACTGGACACCATCAACACGACGATTGCGCATGGCCAACGGAACGATTACGCCATCGCAGGCAACGTGGAAAGGGAAGATTACGATCGGAGGAGTTCAAACAGAAGGAGAGTTTGAGGTATTTGACGGAGGGGGAGGATGGAATTTTCTTCTAGGGAAACCAATGCTGGGAGCATTCCAAGCTATACACGACTACAGCACAGACCAAGTGCAGGTAACGGGGAAAGGCGGGACAAGAACGCTCTA